TGACCAACAGAGGTTTATTTGATAAAATGAGGCAGTCATACAAAGCTTGGCTATAGCATAAACAGCCTCTACTTTTTGCAGTCTGAATTCTGAAGTACAGTTTCATATTATGATATATGGACAATGAGCAGCATGTCAAGTGCCCAGGGAAATGTTTAGGTCTTCCATTGCAAAATTATCCACACAATATTTTCTGAAATGAATAATGAACAATTTTCGGTTAATCAGAACAGTATTTGTCTTTAAAAAAATAAAAGACCACACATGCTCCGAAACAAAAGAATACATTACATGATTTCCAGTGTTGCCAACCAACCTGACTAAAATGTACTGACACGACACGCAAAATTTACTGGGACAGCCAAGTTTTTACTGGCATTTCCAAAAGTTACAATATTACAGTTTTAAGCTACAAACAAGCACAATATGCAATTAGCAATGCGATTTGAGGTAGATATTAAGGGTTAATATAAGAGATGGGGGAGGTCCTGAGGGGATTTCTAGGAATGAGGGGGTCCTCAGAGGGAGTCTACAGCAATATGAAGGGTCAGCTCATATTGCCGTCTCTCCTTTGGGGTTCCCTGGCCTATAACAATCTTACCCATACAAAGTGTGATTGTTTTTGTCATAACATGCAGTATTTTTTTTTTTTATACTGCTATAGATAAAATTAAAATAAATGTTTAACTTTATGGCCATGTTTTCTTCAATAGGTTTTATAAGACTAAATTTCAAATGGATACATTTTTTTTTCTATAGATCAGAAGTTCAAATGCTGTCACTCCCACAAGGCACTGTGCTGGCCATTCGGTGCCTGGGGTTTTATAGCGACTGATGGTATGGCTGGAAATGCCCATGACATCATCATATTCACCTCGTGCACAGCCTCTGACAGACATGCCCCTGTGCCAGCACACTTGGATGGGCTCGGGACTCTGAAACTGCACATGAACAGTTCTGAGCTGAGCTGTCACACTCAATTTCCACTGCACTTTTATCCTGTTACAGGCATTACACGAATTTAGGGGCAGGAGAAAAGCACTGGGGTTTTTTTACTGGCTGTCTGGAAGTGATCAGTTTTGCCAACCATCCATGTTTTTACAAAGTTGTAGTCTGTCTTAATAGAATTTTCTTAACTTCAGTAACCTATTCATTTTCAATACGAGAGTAGCATGCAAAAAAACCTGACAATCATTCATCCGATATTCTCATCGTGTGTCCTAGGCTTTAGACAATGCACAATGTAATTAAAGTGCTGGATAAGGAGTATTCCAAGCTGATAAATTGAGCATGGATAACATGAAAATGGACTTTTTTTTTTGCAGAGGATAAGGTAAGAATTGTTGGCTTTAGCTATATCTACGTGCTGTAGAAAATGAGGCACTTTGTTCCAGGGCCTTTAAAGTTAAAGGGACCCTGGGGTAATTTCTGGGAAAAAAAAAAAAAAAAAAAAAAAGAAGTACTCTTTGTAGCAAACCTGCTCAGAGTCGGAGCGGAGTTCTCCTTCAACCTTTTTTTTCTTGTTCCGTTCGGTTATTTGAGGTATTCCTCGCTCACTCCTCACATCCCCCCTTTCCAGTCCTGCGAGGCAAACGTCATCTCCTGACAGATGGTGCGGGTCAACCAGGTTAAGACATCTTGAGTTGGCACCAGCAGTCTGGGGGAACTGTCCCCTTTCTCACCTACGTCTGATAAGGCAGCATTTCTCAGAGGGCTGGGAAGCATTGACCCAAAACGGCGTAAGCCCACACATTATCAAACTGATCAGAGTAATTGCACATTCCTCAGGTCAACTGTATTTTTCATGTCATGTATTATGAGGCTATAGTTAATACAGAGTTTCCCACTGACCACTCCCAAAACATGTAGTCAGAGCCCCCCTTTGAGAGGGACTTTTAAGAGAGACAAGTGAGTTAGAGCTGCTCACACAGATCTCCCAGCAACATTGTAACAAAAGGAGATCAAGAACTCACCCTGCTCTATAACTTGGATCTGCAAACCCAGGCATATGGGCAAGTAACTTAACCCTGTAATCTTCTTCCTAATTATCTCCTTGCTGTGTCTTTATATACATATATATATATATATTTTTGTGACATCTCCTTGTATATATTGTATTGCACCTGTTTGACCCCGTTAGTAATAAATCTTTCTTTCTGAAAGTGTTAAACTGTTTCTAAGCGCTTACTTGCAATTCATGAATCCCTGCCTTTGAAGAGACGCTACTGTTTGGTATATCTCTGTATAACAGGTCCGCGGGCCGTGTTATATAGATCAATATTTCAATCATTATAGTGTATATTTGATAACGGGAGTTTCCCAGTCTCCAACAAAAGTGGTGGTGGCAGTAGAGGGTTAGTTGCATAATTAACCCGACCCAGTAACAAGCGCATTTAGGCTGCAGGCACCGATTGTAGTCCATTAGCTGGGCAATCGCTGTGCTGGGTGCAGCTGAGTGTGGCCTTGTTACACGCGTCACACCGCGGTTTTAGATCGGCCGGTCCTTCGGTCACGAGTTTGGTGAGAAGGTCTGGGGTCTGACGCCGTGGGCGTGACTTATTACTGTTAGTCGCGGTCGTGCGATTGTCGCATGTTGGTGGCGGCAATCGTGGATCCATGAGACTCTTCAGCTGCAAATTTAGGCTAGTGCCGGGGCGGACTGACAACTCATGGGGCCCCCGGGCAATAGGGGATCATGGGGCCCGTGTCGTTGCCCAAACTCAAAAAAGCCTATGAAAAAAGGTACCAGGGGCATCTCATGGGGCCCCCTACTGACCCCGGGCAGTGCCCAAGTTTCCAAATGGTCAGTCCGCCCCTGGGCTAGTGTTACGTACATCCACCAAAGACATAGATTTCTTCACATATTCTCCCTACTGAAGTGTTTTATTTAGGGTTTGTTTGAATACATTCACAGATATCTGAACATAGATCCATGTACATGTGGTGCTATTCTTCCACAGCTTGAGGAAATCCAGTCTTTGACTTTGAATATTTTATGGAGTGTAGTGGCATGATCTGATTGCTGTGCTGCTTTATTAGGGAAATAACAAAATCACAGTGGCTTCAGCCTGGCAGTACTAGGGTCGTCTGTTCGAATCCCAAACCACGGCACCACCTGCCTGGAGTTTCAATGTTCTCCCTGTGCCTGCGTGGGTTTCCTCCGGGTACTCTGGTTTCCTCCCACACTCCAAAGACATGCTGGTAGGTTAACTGGCTCCTGTCTAAATTGGCCCTAGTATGTGTATGTATGAATGTGAGTTAGGGACTTTAGATTGTACGCTCCTTGAGGGTTAGGGACTGATGTGAATGTACAATATATATGTAAAGTGCTGCGTAAATTGACGGCGCTATACAAGTACCTGTAATAAAGCACATGAGTATGCAGTGAGTTTGAGATTTGTAAAATCAAGCAAAAATGTACACGTTACCCCTTTTTCTCAACCATTTGATATAGCTTTCACCTCCAGGTCAGTACAACTTCGCCAAAATACCTTGCATTGACTCTGATTTCTCTTGTATTATAACTGTGTGCGGTCTCCCTACATTTTGTAAAGTGCTGCACAAACGTTTGGTGCTAATCCTGAATAAGACAAATATTTTACAATGTGGTCCAAAGTTGGTTATTAATGTAATAGCAACAGGACCTTCCAAATGCCTGCAGCTTAGTCAAGTGTTTCTGTTACTGATAAAATCATTAAACAGTGAAAATGGAACTATAATACAAAATAATGCACAGTACAACTTTACTGCTGGAGCAAAACAGATAGCCAAAAAAAGGAGGACTTATTACATATTAATGTTCCAAGGCAGAGTTAAAGGTGCAATAGATGTTTTCCTGTACTTAACTGTAAATTACTACAAAAGTTTATTTGGAGTTTGAAGTGTAAGTTCACCGTTTTAGAAAAAAAATTAAAAGGTAAACACTGTACACCCTCCCCACCCGGTCCCTGCTGTACATACCTCAGTGGGTGATGAGCTATGTCAGTGCCCATGCAGCTAGTGCAGCAGTCAAATCCCCACCCACTCTTCTCTCCCAGTTCTTTCTGCAGTGATTCTGGAACCGATCAAAAATGATTCTGATTGATCAGTGGTTCCGCTGATCCATCCCAGAAGTCCTGCAGTAAAGAGGAGTGGGGAGTTTAAATCCCCGGATTGCTGCACAGGCTGCATGGCCACTGATTGCTCATCACTCGCAGAGGTAAGTACAACAGGGTGTGGGTGTCAGTTCACCTCTTCATTTTATCTGAAAAGGTGAACTGACTCTTTAATCTCCATTTATCTTGCCTCCACTGCATATTGAAGTGAAAGGTAGAAAGAGCTACTCCATTTACCCTGCAGTGGGGGTCTACTGTTGTCTTGGCCTGCAGATTCACCCTTTCATTCCCCTAGACTGTTAAAGGAGAATGACTGAAGGGAGAACTGGTCTTATCTCCATGATCAAATACTGATAAAGCGTTCCTTTATGTCTGGTTTCTTGCAGAGTTCCCAAGAATCAAAGCTACTGAACATCTCAAGAAGATAACAGAGTGCATAGAAAACTTGACACAGTGACATTTATTTAGTGTTTACAAAATTTTACTAGAATTGTAAGATTACTATATAAAAAGTTCATGAATATAATGGTGCTCTGTCTTTTGTTCTCATATACACACACTGGGTTTATTGCACATTTTTATAAAATAGTATTTACTTTGGTGAAAAAACAACTCCCGTTATTACACTTCTCAGGATCAGCTTTTCAGTAAAAGCAGGAATGTGTATTTCTGGAGAAATTTAGTAAACAAATTAATGTCACCTGGAAGTGTACTTGTGAAATATTCTTGGCAAACGCAACTTACTACACAAGTCATGACCCCACGAACCTTCTGTAACCTTGGTTTTAGATTTCTCCAATTCATTATATTTAGCAGACATGAGAACAAGGTTAGATCTACTTGAAACATATTGCAGGATCCAGCCCAACATCATAAGCCAAAACACTGTTATGGAGAAGATGCATCTTATGAATTTGGTCTTACAATCTTCATTGAAATGTAATTCTGTATAAAAACAAATGTGGAATAATCACTAGAATGTATAAACTTTACAATGAAAAAAGCATACCCTACCAGCAGAAATCTGAATATTTTGCTTTGATTACCAAAATTTGAAAAATAAAAATTAATGATAATTAAAACTTGTATTTCTAAAAGAAATATAAAAAATATAGGGTTTATTCTGAACATCAGCACAATATCTGGGCAATTATTGCCACTAGAGCAAAATTGAATGATAAAATTAGTGAAGTGATTAGATTGGCCAATATTCACAACAAAATTAGACAAGTTAAAAACTTATCAGCTATGTGAGCTGATATGCCGAAATATCATATTTGTTCTACAACAACGAATCACAAACTAAATCCAAGAGGTAATAACACCATTCTGTTAGAGATTGAATTAATCATCTGAAAGACCTTAAAAAAAAAAACCAACAAAAAACAACTTACAGGCAAAGAATATAAGAAGATTCCAATGAAGAGCAGAAGGAGCAGCAGTACGATGATGCCAATGAAGATCCATTTGAATCTGCGCCACACAATAAATTTCATGGTCTTGCATGGATTTGTGAACCAGAGGAAGGAGGTGTCAGGTCGGCTGCATTTTGAAAGAAACAATATTAATCAAACTAGCAGAGGAAAAGACTTTGGTACTTTAAGCCGAGGAAGATAATGTGATTCAATTAATAATTAACTCTCTGTGAGATTTCAATTAAAAAAAAAAAAAAATATCGGTTAGCAAAAGGAAGAAAAGCGATAAAAACTATAGAGTTCCAAGAAGATAGGAAGGTAAGAGAACCAGAATGGGCAGTGTCTAATGACCGCCATGTGTGAGCTGGCACAGGATGCCAGGTTAATATGGGCACTCCGATACCAGTGATTAAGAAGAAAAATGGCTTACTTTGGTGGGTCTAACTTTGGGTTCATGTTGGGTTCATCACGACCCTTGCCAGCTGGCCTTTCTTCTACCTCTTTCTCATTCAGGATTTCCAGAGTCAGCTCAAGTTTTCCCTTTTGGCAAAAGAAAACACATTCATGACATCTCACTAAACACCGTGTTCTGCTTGTTTAGGAAAATAATAATGTATTCTGGGTCTAAAGCAGCAAAGAAAATCCTCTCACTGTTCAGAGTGTGTGAAAGCAAGTGGGGCGGATAAAATGACAACAATACTAATGACACCTCAAGTGGCTTAAACTGCTGCCCTCAATTAAGAATAGTGAAATCTTATAAACAGCAGCACAGTTGCACCGCCCTGAATGGGCAACCACAAAAAAAAAAAAAAAAAAAATGAAAAAAGGGGAGTTTGTTAGAAGGTAAGGGCTATCAAAGTTCTTTTTTCACATTTTTTTTTATTTAAAAAACACAGATTTTCATGAAAAATGAATTGTAATAATAAAATGTAATGGACAGTATTAAGATTGCTTGTAATTAAGGGCAGATGAAACACATACACTGTCCGCACACAAGAGGTCATGATGAATTGCCTAAGAACCAGAAGGTTTGGCACCTGGTATATCCTTCAGGCTTTGTATACACAAGTGAAGCTGTTGTGGTATGATGCATATACTAACCAATATTGTCTTTACAATTTCAAAAATTTCACATTCTCCACCTGAAAAAAACCGTTTTCAGCCTCTGCTTCGAAATTTGGTGCCATTGTACATAAAATGTCTTGTCTGCTATAAAGTATATGTATGTAGATATGTGGTGGTTGAGCAAGCCTTGCCAATACAGTAATGAAGCTTTCTATTTTAAACAAAAAGGAAACCCCTGATTTTTAAAACCAACTGCTGCAGCCTAACAGAATGATTTCCTTTCATTCTCACACATCCCTCAGCAGCAGAGCATTCATCTTGGACATAAAGCAGAACTAAAGTCTAATTTTAAAAATTGTGAGTAGGCAAACATGCAAGGTCTCTTCTGCAATAAAATAAACCTACCTGCCTGCTCCCAATCTTCCTTAGAATGTACACTGAACTGTGCATGTCCGGCTCAGTATACATTTCAGCTCTATGCCTGTGTGCAAGGATGACTTAAAGTGGGGCTTTACTCATTTTTCCAGCACTGCGCGAACTCCCAGCCTCTGACATCTTCAGCCCGGTGGCTTCTGTGTATCGAACCTCAGCTGTTTTAATTGGCTGAGCCAACATTTCTCTTCTGCATTTGAAATCCATAATTCTTTAACAAATGCACTTGACCTGCTTTGAGCTGGTTTTGCATTCCCATAGACATCTATGGAAATGCAAAACCTGCTAGAAGCAAACAGCTCATCGCTACAAGCCCTTTCATAAAAAATGAGAGAATGCTCTTACAGTTGTACTGCTAATGGAATCCATGAGTATGCTTACTGCCAAAATACGATTTCCATCCTTCTCTGAATAACACGGCCACCAGCCTTTCATGGACTTCTGTTCAAACAAAGAAGCCTCTTTGGAATGTTTGGCAAGATCAACCATACCTAAATGGCATTTTTCTGCGGTTTTTGTTGGTATTAAGGTGCGGTGTAAATCAAGTTCAACAAAACCTACAGAAGAAAAGAAAAAAGCAATATGTAAATAGAATTTTATTGTTCACTGAACTGTGAGTTTTAATTGGCATGTATGTTTTATTGTGGCTAACCTCCGCAATCTGCAAGAGTATCTCAAGCCATGAGAGTATAATTGAATGGGTGGAACATACATGTTCCAATCATTATATTCACATCCATTTCTCCACCCAAAGTCTAAAATCAAAAATCTCATTCAAATAGCTTCTTTTGCTGGCCACACAAAGCCAGATGTCTGGACAAACTGATGAATTATCAGATACTCTCCAAGCAATCTCCAACTCTCTCTTAGCAACCCATAATGGCTTCCAAGTTTTCCATAAGACTCAAGTGAATAAATCTTTTGCAAATGTTTTTGTGGTTTTAATTAGGAGGTTGGATGCCTATAGTGAAACTACTTAAAGTATATGTAAACAGTGAATTTATATTATTTGCTCCATTTTTCTTTACAAACATAACAAAATGTTTTCAATTGTATATTTAGCAAAGTGAAAAAAATCTAATGATCTCATCGAATCACACTTAAGCAGCCCATACACGAAGCAAATTTTTTTCCTGCAACCACAGACAGTGTTGAAAAGGGAAGCCATTGTATTTTCGGGGTGGGGGAAGCTGTCCCTGCCGGGAGAAGACAGTGATTAGTTTTAGCAGCTAGTGTAGCTGCTAGTGATAAATCGCAGGTAAAATCCAGCAGGCTCGTTGTACCAAAGTTCATCAATCAACTTGGTACATTCAGCCTGCCCATACATGATGTGAATCTCAGATAGTTCCTGCTGAACCAGCCAAAAGTCGAATAGTCTATGGCCGGCATAGTGCAATCTACTTTCCTTCCACGATGGGTGGAAGAAAAGAAAATGGTTAGATTCCACCATCAACATAGTCAGTGTTGATATGGAAATCCCTCCCGCAGCACTATTGTGTTCTGCAGGTGAAGAGCCTTCCTTTCAGGCAGAACACAATGATCACTGCTGGGTCTATAGAAACCAGCAGTGATTTCATGAAAAAAACAAAAAAAAAAAAAAAAAAAAAAAAAAATCAGGCAGGTTGGTTGTACTGAAGTTGACCGGTAGTACAATCAGTCTGCCCATAGATGTATCAAAACTCAGACAATTCAGCAGGAATTTCAATCAGTCCATGGCCGGCTTTACACACTACTTGCGTCATCTCAAACAACCCTCCTAGTTCTTAATCTACAGAATGATTACCATTGCATTATCATGCTGTAGAAATCGGAGATGAGAGTGGTTGAATAGCTTAGTAATATCCAAGAGGGCCAATACCATTTAGTCCACAAAAACACATTCTCAACCACAGGAATTAGATGAGTGCATTTCAGGTATTTTTCTGTTCTTGCAGGGTCTTTAATGGGCTTAAACAGGAGGAAACGCGCACACACACACACACACACACACACACACACACACACACACACACACGATTAGGTAAATTTAGTTCTGTCTCACTGCAATCAGTGCAGCTGCATATGATTAGTTAGGTCTGTTGTGTGTTTCTTAGGCTGCAGGTTTGGTTGCTCTCTCCCTGCATTTCAGAACTCTTTGGGAGTTTCTGGAACGTAGGTGTTGAGTAAGCAAAATGGACAGCATGAATATGTATACTGTCTCAGACAATCCCTGTGGAGATTACACAGATGGGTGTTGGTAAAGGGTATAAATAGGCTGTGATCTCCTCCTCTGAGACCTGGAACAGAGATGCCTTGTTTCTGACTATGGGGGGCTGATTGCCCCCATAGGCAATCCTGCCATGTACTTGCTGTTCGTTGAGCCCTCAGCTGGGCTAGCTGAGAAGACTAGTTGCTGAAAGTCGCTGTAAGTTGACTGAGGGGCTGTCATCTGATGTCACTGGGAGAAAGTGTCAGGATGTTGGCTGCCTCTTACGAATATCTTTCTAAAGACATTTGTGAATACAGACTGGTGTGAGAGATCCTAGAGACTGTGGGCTGTTGCCAACCCTCTGGTGCTAGAGAGTCAGCTGTGTGTGTAAAGGGGATATCAGCTGGTCTCCTGAAGAGCTCAGTCTATACAATTCTTTGTGAAGAGAGACTTTGCTGAGATTGTTCTAAGAGAAATATTTTAAATCTCCAAGTGGCTACCACAAAGCGCAGTCCACTAACTACTTGCTCACAGTTCTAACAAAGGAAGCTTGGTGTCCTCAAAGTTGCTACTAAAGGTTACCGGAGTATCCCACAGTTGCCCTACTCCTATCAAAGTTCACGTTTTTCATTAAAGCATCAGAAAACCATAGCCCTAGACCAGGGGTGTCAAACTAGCGGCCCTCCAGCTGTTTTGAATCTACAAGTCCCATCATGCCTCTGCCTTTGGGAATCATGCTTGTAACAGTCAGCCTGGCAATGCCTCATGGAACTTGTAGTTTGGTAACAGCTGGAGAGCCACCAGGTTGACACCCCTGCCTTAGACTGTTCATTGAGCCAAGGAGTGACTGTGACTGTGTGGCTGGCTGTGAGGCAACTATTGGGAAAGAACCTTGAGCATTATTCTAGTGGCTCCTACCAGGGTGGCACTACACATACATACACACAGTATATATAAAATGCACATATTTTTCCTTTACATATGCTTTAGGAATGTGTGCATGTAGAAATATGTTCAGTGCCTGTAATGGGACCAGACAACATAAATGACAAATAGCTGTAAACATGCTTGCAATATTGGTCATAGAAAATATTTGTAGTGTGAAAGTAAGCTGAAATATACAAGATATGCATCCCACACCACTGACTATTTCCCCAATTCAATAGATAAAGAATTTTTTTTAACTGTCAATACCTCTTTGTGAAAGAGCAGGTCAAACACTGACACACTAACAGGTTACTGTTGAAATAATTATTTTGGTAAAAGCCTTCTGTGACTTAAGTTAGTACACTAGTAAAAGTGTCAGGCTGATTTACTACCTTTCCCTGAAGTGCCCCACTTCCATCTTACATGAACATATGGTCAGTTGTACTATAGTGAATCAGATGATCACATCTAAGCTGTCTAATGGGAGATGTCTAGCTGAGAGGCTGTCTAATGGGATGCTCAGACCTCACCTGGCTGTTTACAAATGTCCTTCATAAAGTTTCTGGTTGACTTTTTTCATGAACAGAAATTTTGAGAAAAAGTTATAATATTTTGAAATGTTATCATAGTTTATGTGGGGGTCAGCATGCCAATTACTATTTTTATAGCTTTAACTAGAGTAATTCACTTATCACAGATCTCAGATGTCCATACCCAAGTAGTCATCCAGGGAAAATTTGTCATTGTCCCAGATTTGAAGTATAAGCTTTGGTGGCAACTTGAACTCTGTTTTATCAAGGCTCCAGAAATGCTCCTGAAATTGTAAGGTACAAACAAGGTGAATATACATACACATGCATTGAGACAATGCAAATAAAACAGAACTTGGCACTTTGCCTAAGCAGGCTAGGCCAAACACTGTCTTATGAGGTCATTAACTCGTATCGTGTGATTGTTTGGATCAAGCTGGTTCAAGCTACATACAGTATACAGCGCTATGTTCCTGTGGCAGGATGAAGACTTCCCATCCCGCTCCCGGAACAAAATTGAGATGGGCTGAGCACTGTGTAAGGTAGAAAGGTAGGATAATATCAGAATATCCACCTCATCCAGTACCAGCAAGCCTTAAATTCATAAATACAAGGCTTGCTGTGAATGGATGTGAAACTTGATTTTGTTGTAGGGGCAGGATAGGAAGTTAGCTGATGCCACATACAGTTTATACAGCGCTCACAGTGGGTGCATTGGTTAGTGAAGCAAATAGTTTATTTGGACCAGCTTGGCCCAAATGAACTATAGTCACAAGAAATCTGGATTTAGGCTTTAAGGTCTGATTCAGAGCTTACAGACTGAGTGTGAAAATGACAGGTTGTCTTTAATCATCAACAGAGTTCTTAAACACCCCAACAGGTCATGGATTCATGATTTTCTTTGTACTGAGCAGGATATATAGCCATAAAAAGGACCAGTACAGGGGTAATGACTAGAGGCCTGCTTACAAGGCCCAATCTCTGTTATGCTTGTATACCAAAGTGGTCGAACGGCTAAATGGTTTCCATAGAGCAATGCAGACTGTTTTTATTCCAGAAGACCAACATCGCATTTTAGTACCAGGATACATTATAGAACAGTTTCTCTGCCCTAGCTGCAGTTTTGTTTTGGCTTCAATAACCCATAGAAGGAAAACTGGCAGAGCTGAACTTCTAAAAAGATCTGAAACCAGAGTGACTGAGTCAGATCTCGGCAGAAGTAAATCTCTGCCACACACGAGAACCCGCTGCCTTTACGCTCAACATATTTAATACAGGCACAACAATGTTTCAGGCGCCCACCTTCTTCGAAATAACACAGAGCTGTTCTGCTGGAAGATATTCAAACGGGAACACAAAGCGCCAGTTAAAGTTTCCTTCACCGTCCAATGACCGATAGTGCACATCTGTTTTTTGCTTGTTCTCCTCATTGCCGGGAATCCAACTGAAAAGCAATAGGCACATACATATGGGTTTTATATGACCTTGATAACTTTGCTTTCACTAGCTTCCAAATAAAGTCTGCCCTGATTACAAACTCTTGAGTGTGTGTTTACAAGTGTGCTTCACATACTGATCTTCTCAGACCAGCCATGAAATCGAGTAACAAGGAAAGGAAGCTCTCAAGCCTATAAAGCAGGTCTGGCGCTATCTCCAGTTGCCAATTCTCATATGGTGCTCATTTAGCCAATATAAACACAACCAAGTAGACTGTATTGCAAAGAACTACATCATATCTGTTTCTCTACTGAATTGCCTTTATTTAGTTCAGAATTGGGAAGAAGTCATGCTCTAAACAAGGTCTTGCACCTAAACTGGCTACACAAACTAGCCAAAATGCAAATAGTAACCCTTTCACACTCAATTCAGAAAGTGAACATACCAAGATAGGTATTAGACAGGTGCACGCCGGAAATTTTCATTTTATCGAAAAATTTAGTATTTTCATATTTGTTATGTTGAACGGATTCATTTATGAAATTTGTTTTGCATCTTTGGCATTTCATTTATTCATTGGTCAAGGTAGATTTGAAACGTTTTACAATTTTTCCTGAATATAGTCAATATATTATCAAATTGGAAAGGTACCGTATTTTTGGACGTAATCCAACCCACCAAGAGAAATGACATGAGCTGATTGCACAATATCGAGCTGCATCATGTGCATCCAAATTAAGAAATGGAACGAAATCCAAATCCATTTGTTATTAAATCCAAATTATCAAGCGAGTTTGAATACTGAATTCATTTTCCCACGGGCCAAAACTACTACTGCATCATGGGACATCATCCGAATGAAACAAATGATTCATTAATTTCATTTTAACTTTTTTTCAGGCTCATTGACATTCATTACTATGTCTACTCAGAGATTCGTATACATCCAAATCTTTGAAAATTTAATTTTTATTTGAAAAACTAATCAAAATGAAAGAAACCGCACATGTCCAATAGGTATTCTTATTTTGTTAAAAAAGCAACAGTCAATTGCAGGCAAGTCCAATGGAATTTAAAATTTACAGTCACATGGCTTAAAGTAGATCTCTAGCTTTTAGTGAAGTTTAAATAGATTGTTTGGACCATGCTGGTCCAAATGGAGTATTGCCTTTACCAACACATGCAGCAGCTGTGTGCGCTGTATAAACTGTATTTAGCCTCAGTTGTATACAGCACTGTGCTGTGGCAGCAGGACAAAAACTTCCTGTCCCACTCCTGGAAAAAACTGAATTGGGTTGAGCACTGATCTGCCATTCAAATGGAGGTTTGTATTCTATGAATGAATACAAAGCTTCCTCTGATCAGCTGGGGCTGAGATCAGATCATCATCAGTCCACCTACGCCATTCATAAAAGAAAAGTGCCCTGAGATGGGCTGAGCAGTGCTCATCCTGACTGGATTTTGTTCCAGGAACAGGATGGAAAGTTCCTGTCCTGCTACCGAACACAGCACTGTATACTGTATGTAGCTGAGGCTACATACAACTTCTACAGAGCACACAGTTGCTTCTTCAGTTAGTAAAGGTAATACTATGTTTGGATCAGCTTGGAGATCGACTTTTAAATAGAGTGCTTTGGCTGGTGCTAAAGCTTTGTGATTTAAGCTCAGACACAGAGGACACAGACTTTACACACATTAAAAAAAAAAAAAAAAAACCTTCCTTTTTTCCCATATAAGCTATGCGGTCTTTCAGCAGGATGCAGAGGGTAGGATAAGGCTGGATTTCAGGACCTAGATTGCTAATTAGCTGCTCTTTCATTGCACAGAAAGAAGATAAAAGGTGCTGAATAGTTGTATACATTGATAATTCATGTTCACATCTTTAAAAAAGTAGTTCGCACATCTGTCTGCATGCTAGTCAATCTAGTCAGAATCTCTACTGAACAAATACTTTAGGACCAAATCAACTTAACCTGATAAACTACACAATTTGGCCAACAGTTTGTAGACCCCTAACCATCAGACCTACAGTATATGAACCTGTGGGACATTCCAGCCTAGAACCATGCTCATTAACATGGTATTGGCTCTCCCTTTTTCAGCTATAACAGCAACCACTCATCTTGATGGGTCTTTTAGAAGAATTTCAAGTGTGTCTGGAAATTTGCTCCCATTCAGCCAAAAGCATTGAGGTCAGGGCTATGTGTAGGCCACTCAAGTTCCTCCACACCAAACTCTTCAAACCATGTCTTTATTGAACCGACTTTGTGCACCTGATCTCAATCTGAAGGCGTGTTCACATACTTTTAGCCATAGAGTACACCTGTAAAGTGTAAAGTATTCTGAACACATTCAGTCCAAATGAGATTGTGTGTCACAGTTTAACAAATTTACAGCTTCAGCCATTTTAACAGCTTGCATAAATATGATGATCTCCATGTCCATATTTACTTTAAATCATAAGATAAATGTGGAAGCTTCCACTGCTAACCTCCTGCTGAAGATACCAGTTGCAATACCGAGTCAATAACCAGGAACAGGCATTTGGCAGATGAGAGTCAGAAGTCCTAATCTCTACGCCTGTTTTGTGTCAATAGCTTAAAATTACTGACATTGCAACTAACATTTTCCTACAGATGTACCAGCAATGGGAGCCTACATAGCTACCTCAGTACAGATGTACCAAATATTTTTTTTTATAATTCAGAAAATCTGCTTTTAAAACATTCACAAATATTGAATTATGATTTATATTATGTTTCACATTTCCAAGAGCAGAAAAGCACATCATAAAACTGATTAACTGAAAATATGTGAACACTCTACATACAACAGTCAATATGTACAGGAAAATACTTCAAAGATATTTAAAAAAGTTAGACATTAAAAGAAAGAAAATGTTACCCTTTGACATAGATATCGCTCATCTCTTCCCCAGTAATACTTTTCTCATCCAGAATCACATCTTTAGTGTTCCATACTATCACCCGCAGGACATAACTAATAATACAAAGAAAGATGGAGATTGGTGTTGGGCTTTAAGTGCAGGCAGAGCAAATTTGGTGTTGGCACATTGGAAAAGGAAAGTTAAAACTTCCGTTTGGTTTATTACTAGTACCCCACTATCAAGACAGATGTGTAGAAAACATACATTTCTCTACTGTACTTAGAGCCTAACCCTAAAGGTCATAGAACATGTGTCAGGTACCATGTCTAAAAAATTATGACAAACTTTCATTGCAATAGATCCAAGTAAGACCACCTACTTCTTGGCTTTGCGTGGTGTGATGTTGAAGGGAGGTCCAGGCGGTCCCAGACTTTTTGGGAAGACATCAACCCACATTTCCAGTTTGCCCTGCAAGGGATGAATTGATAACGGCTAAGAAATGTGTACTTTAGAACATAGTTTGACAGATTTTAGAATGATACAAAATTATGTTACACTGTAAATCCACATTAGACCACTTAAGCCAGCCATACATGGATCGAAATCTGTACTGTTCAGCAGGCACCAGCCGAATGTGTGGGCAAGCTGGTTGTATACAGGTCAATCTTTAGAATGACTTGTCCACAACCAGCCTGTCAGGTTTTTCCAAACAACCAGTGCCACCGGCTATAGCCGGCAACACCAATCACTGTATTATGATGGCAGGGAAGGCTCCCTGATGTTCAAATACAACACCATAGTGGAAGAGATTCCCCCATAACATAGAATGTGTGGATGGGGGAAATCAAGGCAACCCGTTGTTTGGTTAAAAAAAAATGCATAATGTGTGGGCTGCCTTATAAAGGCATAAACAGATTCATTTATTTTATTCCCATCAATGTGTTGCATACCAGTTTACACAGTACTAAGAAACATTCACATCAGTGCCCAGCCTAAAGAAGCAAACATTATGGTCCTTTCCAAACGGATATAGATTCACTGGTCTAAAGCTGGGTGGTAAAAATTAAAGTAACCCTGTCATAAAAGAAATAGGGGGCTGTTATGGCTGTACTGAACTGTAGATGTTGGTGGTTGTTCTGACCCTGAGCCACGGAGTTTAAAAGTTTCTGACCTGAAACATATGTGCAGATCAGAAAACACAGACTGTCTTGTGTCACTGACATAAAAGTACTGAATAGAATGAAACAATTAGCTTTTCAGACAAGGTCTGCTCTCATTAATTGTTTTCCTTTAACCTATCAGCAGGTTCTGGTTTCTAAGGGGAATAATGTTAATACAAAAACATTGGATGATCTACAGACTCAACATAAATTCAGTGGGAATCAAACCTAAGATCCCAGTACTGGAAATTTAGTGTTTGTTAAATCTAAATTATGATTCGGCACTTATATTGATGGCAAGCTTGCAAAATATTTGGTTTTTATGATTAGTCATAATAATATTAATATGTGTAAGTGGTCTTTGACAAATGGTAGTATTTACTATTCTTCAATTATAGCTGAGACCAAAAGATATACAAGTTAAGCTGAAATAGTATATACCAGTTGAAAGTTGAGTAGACTATATTTAGAGATAGTTGGTTAAAAGTATTTGATAGTTATGTCAAAGGTTATTAGAAGTGATTTACTATTACATTACATATTTTCTGTGTATATTTAGTATACGTTTTCTTACATTAATACATATATAGTTTAGTGATTATACATTGATATGTTCTTAAGCTATACTATCTTTTAAATATATAGCTAAGGGTTACATCATTGGTATATCAGCATACATATGTTCCTGTCCATCAAACATCATATGTATAGCATCTTTTCCTTTTATGAAATGGCTTTTCCAAGCAGTAATACTTTCCATAGAAGGTATTAAGATCACTAACTATGACGTACATTTGCCTCTTAAAAGTGCATGAGACACAGAGACTCTGACACACACTCTCTCTCATACACACAAGCTACATGACTCTTGCATACACACGTCTGAGAAGCTGCAACAGGTGCATACTGAGATCACTTCCAGCTACAATTTAGTCACATCCGGCTTCTCCTCCTTAACAAAGTCATTGGGAAGGACACATGGAGCATGGAGCACATGGCAAGGACAGAACAGCCATGACAGATAATGGTGACTTTGTTTTAAACGTTTGCTTGTCATTTTTACAGTAGTTGTATCTACATGGAACTGTTCATAATACGCTTTACATTGTTATTTGACATCATTGTGTGATAGAATAAAATCACACTTCATTTTTTATTTCAATGGCTCTTTCATTCATAATCGCCTCAAGACACTAGAAGAAGTATTATATGTGTCTAAAAATCTAACAGTGTTACATCACTAAGCCATCATATTCCCCTAATTTCTTTTATACACAACCGGATATGCATTGGTCCCATGGTTTGTCTACTCAAAAATACGGATTACTGGGTACATAAAGAGCAACATAAATAAATTAGTATAAGGGTAACTTACTTGTGGGAGGTTTGGTTGGAAAGTGCTAAACAATGTCCTGGTTTCAACATGTTCTGGAACTTGGCCTTGGTTTCGTAATACATACAGAGCAAGCCTTTCATTGGCAGGCCCCAAGTGCTGATGAATTTTCTTATTTGCCTCTAAATAAAACATTAGGCAGATGTTTTTGTTAATAAACAAGTTATACAATTATACACACACAGTTCTTTTAGCATTGAAAATGAACAGCAAATGAACAGGTTGCACTAGGAATCTGATGGCAGCTTTTACCATGTCCTATCATTGGCACGTTTTTAACGACAAAATTTACTTTAAGGGCACCATGTTCACATACAAGTTCACAGGTTACCAAAGCACTCAGGTAAGTTTGGCATGATATATTACCACAGGCCCTTGGTGCCCAACCTGCAGCCCTTCAGCACTTTGTGCTGCCCTCGGGGCCCCTGCAGACACTAATCTGTGTTTCCCTATTACCCTGTTATAGTGATTTCTAGTAGTCTCATGTAATATATCTTCTGTTAATGATCGTCTGCTGAAGAATGTCCCTAGTCTCCAATGCAGCTTCTCTAGCATGTCTATGGTCTCTGGCCATCTCTTGTATCCTGTCCGCAGTCTCTGACCATCTCCTGTATTACGCCTCAGTCTCTGATCATCTTCTTTGTCAGGCCATTAATCTTTGATTGTATCCTGTTGTGTACTCTTCTCGGATACTGGATCGTCACTACATTTTATGTGCGGGTCTTTGGTAATGTGGAGGACTGCATTTGAGGCCCCCCAATATCAAGAAAGTTGACCACCACTGCCATAGACAAATACAATTGTAACATGGTATTTATATTTCAAAATGGATGAATTCATTAAAAGCAGAACCATATTAAAGGGTCCCAATGACATAGGCTTCTGAGTGCTCCCATAGGATTGGTCAGACTCCTTAGTATTCCTTTCTTCTCTAAGTAATGTACTTTCACTGACCTATGTAGCAAGGCAAATTGCAACGTGCCAGATACAGTAACCCATGACAATCAGATAATTATCTTATATAGTTCTCTATGGTCCGAACCATTCAAGGATGAAATCTGATTGGGCATTATGAGTTTATGCATTTTCCACATCATTCGTGATCTTATACAGTATTTCTTTATTAAGAAGCCATTCTTTTAATGGCTGTAAGGATACAAGACAACACCAGCAAAAAAAAAAAAAAAAAAAAGGTCTCTAAAAAAGGACAAACATCAGAGTAAGCATTACTGAAAGGGTATTTCATTAGCTTAAATGAAAGTATACACTTCACTCAGGTTCTCGCACAAGTAAACAAAATGCAAGTTAAAAAATTAAATGTGACTGGTTTTACCAATGAGTTCTTATGTAAGTCTTAAAGTACCTTTTCATTTCAGGAGATACAATCTGAGGAACCTTTATTTTAAAACTTTGATTTGATAACAAAAGACATTTAGTATGCTTGAATTGAAATCTGGCAGTTTACAAAGATTCCACTCACCCAAGTCATCAAGCAGATAGTCTCGTCCAGAAAAACTGACCTTGGTCCCACTTTCTGAGAACACTGGTGGAGGGACACCCTTTAACCTGGCCACATTCTGCAATATCTGTGTTGGCTTTAGCTGGTCCCTCCACTGATTTATTCCTGTGCTATAAAAATATACAGCAAAAAAAGAGCATCAATTATTAATTTTGAGTTGATTTAAAAAGCCAGTCTATAACATAGGTCTAAGGGGAAAAAGCTGTAGAATGGATAATGGAACAAAAAGGTATTTATATTTTTAAATGAAACCACTATTTAGCATAGGAAAATATGTGTCTGATTGGTGGCCTTGAGAAGCCTCTTGTAATTGTACATCTATATGAAAGAAGTTGCAAGGAGGGTGTACCAGCATCACCAGCAGATATGTACCAGGACCAACTGACTACTAACACAAAAGATGAGCAAATCTCTGAATAAGGCTGCATTCACACTTGAGCATTTTTGTAGCTTGAAGCTCAAAACTCCAACTTAAAAAATCAATTGTTCTCTATGGTGCCTGTTCACACTTGATTGCACAAACAGGCACCATAGAGAACTGATTTTGTTTAAGTTTGAGCGTGTTTGGAGCCTCGAGCTTCAAGATACAAAACTCAAGAATGAAAGCGGCCTCAGTGCCAAGCTGGCTTTGCTGCCTGGAAAGCCTTATTTTCATTTCTGGACACAGACAGAAAAATAGCTTTCAAGCTAAAATTTACACTTTACACTTACACACAGTAGGTTTGTGGAAGGCCACAATGGCTTCCAAAGCGAGAAAGGAATCTGTTTTCCAGGTCTATAATAGTTTCTCCTACTTTCTCATCCCGTGTCACAGCATCATAATCATAGACCGAGATCTTCAGGTCTTTCTCTTGAGGTAAGAAGCAGCTCAGTTCATACATTCTGTTGGAAAGTAAATTGTGAATTTTTATATTGGTGTTATATAACTAATGTATATTACAAACTATATAGCATATTATGTAGCACTACCCCATTAGGAGCTGCTAGAAGATTTGGGTCACCCCACAATCCTGCACAGCCAGGCAAAACGCATCATCACACAGGCTTGCATCCAGAGTCAGAAATCAGTCCTTGAGCTTTGATTTTTTTTTTTTAATTTAGGGAAGTTGAACTAGGATAGGGCTAGGGGTGTACAGGATGCCCAAGAAAACTGATAAACTGAGGGCAACTTCCTGGAACTATTTACAAGCCTTCTCTGCAGCACAGTGTTTGTTGGAGAGCTAGCCAGCGTCTCCTTAATGTACCACCCCAGACCCTAAATTAACTCCTCTTCTTCATTCAGCAATCTTGAGGTATCACTAAATAGAGGATCTGGTGTCTGTTACTGTTAAAGTGGACAGTCCCAAGCAGGCAATGAATCTGGTTTCCCTCCAGAGTGCTCATTCCCTTGTCGGCCCAGAGGGTGCAGGGGTAAGCACTCAGATTGTCTCCTGTACCGCTGGTGGGTTGGAGGCTGCTTCCAGGCCTTTCCAGCTAGACCGCTCCTTCCCTGCTATACAGGTGGTCCTCATATTGGGGGCGAGTCTTTGAGCTACTCCCTTTCCAGCTCCAGGCCTTCAGGTAGGCCCCGTCCCACTAGGCCTCCTTGCAGCCTCCTGCCTTCAGCCTCACCATCTTCCTCCCGAATGTTCCTGCAGCTTCGCAAGCTCCAACACTTAAGGGTGTCCAGCCCCTTTCCAACTTCCTGTTGGGGAGTGGCTAGGACCCTTCAAGAGTTCAAGCTAGCCACTCTTCAGATCCACCCACTGCCTCTAGGGCCTTCCTCCAAAACCCTAGAGCAGAGGGAAATTCCAGAGAGGTTGGAGAGCCTCTCAGCTCCTGACCGCAATTTGATGACCTTCTGGCTATTACACCCAGGCTGCTACTCAGCCTTCCTCACTGACAATCAAGACTCTAGCTCCCCCTAGCTAAACTAGGAGGGTGCTACATATACAACTTCTATTGAATAAGTCGCCTTGTTTTGAAAAATTTAGACTGTTACACTGTATTAGTATACAGGATTTATATAGCTCCAACAGTTTGCGTAGCGCTTTACAAAATGAAGGTAGACATAACAGTTATAATACAATTTGGCACAAGAGGAAACAGAGGGCCCTGCTCGTTAGAGCTTACAATCTAAGAGCTGTATCACACAGTATTTGAACTTTGGTAGTTAAATCTATAAAACACAAAGTAATGCAACACTAATGTATAATAAATCATTAAATGTGTTTTTAAAAGCAAGCCATGCTAGAACCTGCATTTGATTTGGAATCAGTCTCTTTTAGTGCCCAGGCAGCAGAACTCAGGCTGGGAAAGAAAGAAGTAGCACAAGTAGCTAATCAGTGAGGACACTGATGAGAAGAGTGACAGAAGAATGAGCTCATCAGTCGGCTGCTTCTCTTTTCATTGCTGAATCATAGACTGGAGTATTATTATTATTATTATACAGTATTTATAAAGCGCCAATAGTTCGCTCAGCGCTGTACATTACAAAGGGGGACAGAACATGTGACAGAACAATACCAATACAATGCAAAATATGAGGGGATCGAGGGCCCTGCTCTTTCAAGCTTACAATCTAGATGGGACGGGATAGTGGTACAGGAGGAGATAGCTGTGGGGGATGGAGTGGTAGGAAGAGTGGAGGAGGTCGGTCAAGTTAGCAGGGGGTAGGGTAGGCTTCCCTGAAGAGATGGGTTTTCAGGGTGCGCCTAAAGGAGAGGAGAGTAGGTGATAATCTGATGGGTTGGGGCAGGGAGTTCCAGAGGATGGGCGACACCCTGGAGAAGTCCTGGAGGCGGGCATGGGAGGAGGAGACCAGGAAACTAGAGAGAAGGAGGTCTTGTGAGGAGCGGAGTGTGCGTGCTGGGCGGTACTTGGATATTAGGTCAGTGATGTAGTATGGGGCAGTATGGTGGACAGCTTTGTACGTCAGTGTTAGGATTTTAAATTTGATCCATTGCGCAATCGGAAGCCAGTGGAGGGATTGGCAGAGGGGGGTGGTGGAAACGGAGCGGTTGGAAAGGTGAATGAGTCTGGAAGCCGTATTCAGGATCGACTGAAGCGGGGATAGCCAGCGGCAAGGCAGGCCAGTGAGGAGGGAGTTGCAGTAGTCGAGTCGTGATATGATGAGGGAGTGGATGAACTGTTTAGTGGTTTCTGGGGTTAGGAACGTGCGTATTTTGGCGATGTTGTGGAGGTGGAGTCTGCACGAGTTTGTTAGCGATTGGACTTGGTGTCATTCTGGACTCCAACCTATCCTTCCAGCCCCAAGTACTCTGACCTGCGGGGCGGGTTTGATATTGGAGTTGTTGGATGTGATGGAGAAGTCAATGGGGGGTGGTGTCCAGGCTGGGGGGAAGACAAGAAACTCGGTTTTGGAGAGGTTCAGTTTAAGGAAGTGGAGCGACATCCAATCTGATATGTCACTCAGTAGGTGTGTGATTCGGGCAGAGACCGAGGGGGTGAGGTGGGGGGTTGAGAGATAGATTTGTGTGTCGTCGGCATAGAGGTGGTAGTTGAAGCCGTGAGAGTGTATGAGTTGGCCAAGGGAGGAGGTGTAGATGGAGAAGAGAAGGGGCCCAAGGACAGAGCCTTGAGGGACCCCAACAGAGAGGGGGAGTGAGGGGAGGTGGTAACATTATAGGTAACGCTGAAAGAGCGTTGTGACAGGTAGGATGAAAGCCAGGAGAGAGCAGAATCTCTGAGGCCGAGGGAGTGTAGTATTTTGAGGAGGAGGGGATGGTCAACTGTGTTGAAGGCCACAGAGAGGTCAAGGAGTAGGAGCACTGAATAGTGGCCATTAGCTTTGGCGGTTAGCAGGTCGTTGGAGAGTTTGAGTAAGGCAGTTTCGGTGGAGTGTAGGGGACGGAAGCCGGACTGTAGGGGATTGAGGAGGTGGTTGTCATTGAGGTGAGAGCATAGGCGGGTGTAGACGAGGCGCTCGAGGAGTTTAGATGTAAATGGGAGCAGGGAGATGGGTCTGAGGTTGTTCGGGTCATTGGGGTCCAGGGAGGGCTTTTTAAGTATGGGGGTGATGTGTGCATGCTTCAGAGGGGAGGGGAAAGTGCCGGAGAGGGAGAGATTAAAGATGTGGGTGAGGGAGCGTAGGATGGAGGGGGAGGGAGGTCGTACGAATTGTGAGGGGATAGGGTCGAGGGGGCAGGTGGTGAGGCGGGCATCAGAGAGGATCTTGGAGACTCTCCTCGATGGTAGTAAGGTCAAAGGTGTGGAGTGTTGGGGGAGCTTCAGTATGAGGAATGTAGGGTGGGGTGGAAGTGGAGGTCAGAGCAGTGGTGGGGCCGTGGGAGAGGGGAACGGGGTTGGAGGGAGTTTGAGCAGTGATGAAGTCCCTGCGGGTAATGTCGAGGGGGAGGGGGGATGAGGGGGTAGCTGTGTGAGAGGGGACGGGTTGAGAGGGCGTGTGAGTTGCGGCAATGTCCTTGCGAATTGTGTCAATCTTGTTTTTGAAGTGATTGGCAATCTCAAGGGCAGGGACAGGGCTGTGCTCTGTGGCAGACCTGTGTAAATCTTAGAACTGGATTGACAGAAAAATCGTTTTGCAAGTAAAACAGCTTTCATGTATTTAATTTCATCTGAGTATCAAGTCATTTGCCTGGAGTTTCACTTTAAGAAAGTATACTGAAATTCAAAATACAGCGACACAGGTCCCCTTTTATGGATGGGAAGGTTGCGGAATTTTTACATTTGCTCTGAATTGCAATGCCTGTGTGTATCTTTCTCAGAAAGACCCTGTCACTAACCTAACAAAATTGCAGGTAAAAATCAATTATTTAAATACTTACTTGCAGTGTATTTCCTTTTCAAAAATTATTTTTTATTGACTTGCAAAATTTGTCTTTAAAAACTTGAAAGAAAATTTGACAACTTCAGAACAGTCAATTCCCTTAGTACAGACCCCTCTGTTCTGCCATGCACAGCATAGCCCTCTCCTCTTCTGAAAGCGTCCAATTACTCGCTGTCCAGCAGCTCCCTTCACCCCTTTACATAATTTTTATGCAGCTACCGTGGGGGAAGCAAATGGTAATACTATCATAGTTTAACTGTGGGGACTGCTCACATCACATCCAAGATGGCAGTGCTCAGCAGCAGTCTCAAGGATTTTGGATGTCCCTATACATGGGAGGATTTTACCGGTAATTATTAGAGTTCAAAATTACCTTCCAAATACAGGATTCAAAGTGTTAGGAATATAGTTATCCCGATCTTCAATCACTTTCTTACTCAGAGTAATTTTGATGTAAGGATCACACTAAAAGGAAAAAACAAAAGAAACGGAATTTTAAAAATGGTTGCATTAGGCATAGATTAGCAATTACACCATACATTACCCTTGGTCTGCCTAGACACTGACTGTTCTATGCAGACAAACCTTGGTTGTGCAGCCTCCTTCAAGTCAATTCATACTTCTTTATTTAAAACAATTTGCACATTTATTGCATTTTCCGACTTTGTTGTGTGTTTCACATACATTTTGGTTTGCTTCAGCCTTTCTTTTTTTGCTTTTGCGTCAGCATGCACAGTGGCACATGTTGCTTAGTTAACAGTTAAAAGTGAAGAAACACTTCAAATGCACTGTTCTTCACCTGAAACACACCACAAGGCATGGGAAATGTGCACAAAATGGATATTTAAAAAAAAAAAAAAAACTTTTTTTTTTTTTTTTTTTTTTTTTAAAAGTGGTGTGAAAGACCACCAAAGCAAGTCAGAGTACTACACAAAGTATTTCACATCTTGAATGGTAGGTTTCCTGTAAAGAAAAATTATGTGAGAAGGGCCCACCTGACACCAGACTTTGTTTGAAACAAAGGGGGTTATTTAAAACTGGAGTGTGCAAAATCTGGTACAGCTCTGCATAGAAACCAATCAGCTTCCAGGTTTTATTACCAACGCTTAATTGAACAAACTGAAGTTAGAGGGTGATTAGCTACCATCAGGGGCGGACTGACCATTTGGAAACTCGGGCATTGCCCGAGGGCCCAGGGTCAGTAGGGGGCCCCATAAGATGCCCCTGATACCTTTTTCATAGGCTTTTTTGAGTTTGGGCAAGGACACAGGGGCCCCATGATCCCTTATTGCCCGGGGGCCCCATGAGTTGTCAGTCCGCCCCTGGCTACCATGCACAGCTGCACCAGATTCTGATTTAGTAAATCTCCCCCAAAGTCTCTTGTATGAGGGGTTGCTTACTGTATATCCAGAGGTCTCATCTTTTCATAGACTTGTTAAATGTTAAGAGCTGTTTAAATGATAGATATAACACTCACCAGGCCATTGCTATCCTTTGGCTGCATATCTATTCCTCTGATAACGTAGATACGAACAACACATTCCTGAGGTCCGCTGTCCGGCAGCTCCCGGAATTGACGGGGTGGGCTAGGGACACTGGGATCATCCGGGAGAGGGTAGATACGGAAGGAACCCTACAAGATCAAAACTGGTTAATTATTTGTATTTTAAAAAATGACTGTAGAACCATTTACAATGAGAATGAATTATGAGGGCAGGGACTGATCTGAATGCACAATATAAAATGCTGCGCAAATTGTCACCGCATTAAAAAAATACCATTACTAAAAATTTCCTTTTCTTTCCATATTTTTTACATTTTTAATGCCCAACTTGGCATTTTCATTTTATTGTTTTTTATTTATTTCAGATACTTATATAGCGCCATCAATTTACGCAGCGCTTAACAAATATATATTGTACATTCACATCAGTCCCTAACCCTCAAGGGGTGTACAATCTAAGGTCCCTAACTCACATTCATACACACACATACTAAGGACAATTTAGACAGGATCCAATTAACCTACCTGCATGTCTTTGGAGTTATATTCAAAAAAATGTTACTTAGAGAGCTCCACAATACCTAAAAAGTATTTTGTAAACTGAGTCGGCATCTGGAGCACACGTTTGGTTCCTTTCCACCTTTCCTTGGTATTTAACAGAGTTATATAGGCTCAATGAAAAACAAAAAAAAAAAAACTGTCAAATGCCTTCATTTCTATTTACAGTTGTGGTCAAATGTTTGTATACCCTTGAAGAATGGGTAATATACTGTATATACCATAAAGAAAACTTGAGTGAACAGGAAACACATTTCTTTTATTTCCTTTGGGATTCATATTCAACTGTAGGTCATTGCAAAATGGCAAAATTATAAAACAAAACATGGCACCAAGTAAACAAAAATGACCCCCTGTTCAAAAGTCTGCATACCCTTACAGGGGTGTGGACATTTTTGTTAAAAATTGTGTATAAACTTGTCCAGGGACTACATCTGGGTCCCAATCTACTTGTCCCTCATGACAAGCTTGTCCTGGTGATAAAAAAAAAAAAAATAACCAAAACAGTATTTAAATCTGAGGTGCTTTTAGTCTGGGACTTTTAAAAATGAAAGGGGTTTTATGGCGACTTAAACTTTCAAAATTTTTAACATTGTGCTGTTTATCTTCTACTTACCTCCCTCCCTGTCTCCAGCACTGCACCTGGGAACCAGCAGGGAGGGGAGAGATGTTGCAGTGTAATGAGTACGGATTGAGTGCTCCTCAGGAAAGGGGAGTGGCAGGCTCTCTTAGGCTGCATTCACACTTGAGTGTTTTGTATCTTGAAGCTCCAAAAAAGCTCAAACTTAAAAAGATTGTTCTTTATGGTGCCTGTTCACAACTGATCACACTAACAGGCACCATAGAGAACAACTGATTTTTTAAGTTTAGGTACCAAGTAAATAGATAGCAAACATGTCAAACCTTAAATTTGTATGAACTCGTGAAATGGTGAAAAGCTTCAGTACTCTATATTTTCTATAGGGGATGCTTTAAAAGCCCCCTATAAGTAATCAGTTTAGTGTTACGGAGGAGTCTAGAAATATTGCTCTCATTCTGGCATGTGTGGTGATATGCAACATGTGTATCACAATCTCATTTTAATGTGTAGGTGCCCCAAGGCATGCAGTTGTATGTGCATATACAGTCAGGTCCATAAATATTGGGACATGGACACAATTCTAACATTTTTGGCTCTATACACCACCACAATGGATTTGAAATGAAACAAACAAGATGTGCTTTAACTGCAGACTGTCAGCTTTAATTTGAGGGTATTTACATCCAAATCAGGTGAACAGTGTAGGAATTACAACAGTTTGCATATGTGCCTCCCACTTGTTAAGGGACCAAAAGTAATGGGACAGAATAATGATAAATCAAACTTTCACTTTTTAATACTTGGTTGCAAATCCTTTGCAGGCAATTACAGCCTGAAGTCTGGAACGCATAGACATCACCAGACGCTGGGTTTCATCCCTGGTGATCCTCTGCCAGGCCTTCAGTTTTGTCTTCAGCAAGTGAAATGCATGCTCAATCGGATTCAGGTCAGGTGATTGACTTGGCCGTTGCATGACATTCCACTTCTTTCCCTTAAAAAACTCTTTGGTTGCTTTTGCAGTATGCTTTGGGTCATTGTCCATCTGCACTGTGAAGCAGCATCCAATGAGTTCTGAAGCATTTGGCTGAATATGAGCAGATATTGCCCAAAACACTTCAGAATTCATCCTGCTGCTTTTGTCAGCAGTCACATCATCAATAAATACAAGAGAACCAGTTCCATTGGCAGCCATACATGCCCACGCCATGACACTACCACCACCATGCTTCACTGATGAGGTGGTATGCTTAGGATCATGAGCAGTTCCTTTCCTTCTCCATACTCTTCTCTTCCCATTACTCTGGTACAAGTTGATCTTGGTCTCATCTGTCCATAGGATGTTGTTCCAGAACTGTGAAGGCTTTTTTAGATGTCGTTTGGCAAACTCTAATCTGGCCTTCCTGTTTTTGAGGCTCACCAATGGTTTACATCTTGTGGTGAACCCTCTGTATTCACTCTGGTGAAGTCTTCTCTTGATTGTTGACTTTGACACACACACACCTACCTCCTGGAGAGTGTTCTTGATCTGGCCAACTGTTGTGAAGGGTGTTTTCTTCACCAGGGAAAGAATGCTTCGGTCATCCACCACAGTTGTTTTCCGTGGTCTTCTGGGTCTTTTTGGGTTGCTGAGCTCACCGGTGCGTTCCTTCTTTTTAAGAATGTTCCAAACAGTTGTTTTGGCCACGCCTAATGTTTTTGCCATCTCTCTGATGGGTTTGTTTTGTTTTTTCAGCCTAATGATGGCTTGCTTCACCGATAGTGACAGCTCTTTGGATCTCATCTTGAGAGTTGACAGCAACAGATTCCAAATGCAAATAGCACACTTGGAATGAACTCTGGACCTTTTATCTGCTCATTGTAATTTGGATAATGAGTGAATAACACACACCTGGCCATGGAACAGCTGAGAAGCCAATTGTCCCATTATTTTTAGTCCCTTAATAAGTGGGAGGCACATATGCAAACTGTTGTAATTCCTACACCGTTCACCTGATTTGGATGTAAATACCCTCAAATTAAAGCTGACAGTCTGCAGTTAAAGCACATCTTGTTCGTTTCATTTCAAATCCATTGTGGTGGTGTATAGAGCCAAAAACGTTAGAATTGTGTCGATGTCCCATTATTTATGGACCTGACTGTATGTGGCGGTGTGTGGGCTCAAAGTTTTTTTTGGGGGGTAGGAATTTTATGTGCAATTTGTAATTTTTTTCTTATACAAAAAAAAAAAAAATTTTTAGTTCACTTTTATTTTTTTCCATCACGTAGGAAACAAAAACCCCTATGTGATGATTTTTTTGGCGACAGGTTCTCTTTAATGAGCCATGCATGTCTCTCCTGTGCTCCTCTGAATGTAATGCAGATTGTACTGCATTACATTCTTTCTGGCCTCGATGGCAGGGGACATTGACAATGGAGACCCAATAGTGATGTCATACATGTTGCTTCTGGGTCAGGAACAGGAAGGGGAGGACAGTGGACATGCGTCTGCTCTAACTGGTAGCACTCGCTATTCCTGACCCAGGAGTGGGTTGGGTGGGAGGCACTCTCTCTCAGCATGTGTGGAAGCAAATCGGGCGGCAGCAGAGCTACCCGAATGCTTCTACCTGACAAGCCCTGCTGCTTATCCGCAGCAGGGCTACATGTAAGCAAAATATACCTGCCCAGCGCCCAATGCTACATGTCCTAGGCGTCAGGCGATACAAATTGCTCATCCCTGCCTTAGTTCTTAAAAAAGACTGCATGCGGTCATTGATGCTAAGGGGGGCAGTACAAAGTATTAATAGTTGTCTCTGAGGCTCAGAATTCTTGCAGGTGGTATAGCTGCCCATTCATCTTGGCAAAATGCCTCCAGGTTGTGCAAAGTCTCTGGTTGTCTTGCATGAAGCGCACGTTTGAGATCTTCCCAGAGTGGCTCACTGATAATAAGGTCAGGAGACTGATGGCCTCTCCAGAGCCTTCACCTTTTTCTTATATAACCAATGTTAACTTGGCCTTGTACTAAGGGTCATTGTCGTGCTGAAAAGTCCAAGAGTGTCTCATGTGCAGTTTTCGTGCAAAAGAATGCAAATTAGCTGCCAGTATTTTCTGATAACATGCTGCATTCATCTTGCCATTAATTTTCACAAGACTCCCCATGCCTTTAGAGCTCACAACCCCCCAAAACATCAGTGAGCCACCTGCATGCTTCACAGTGGGGACGGTATTCTTGTCTCTATAGGCCTCATTGACCCCTCTCCAAACATAGTGCTTATGGTTGTGACCATAAAGTTCTATTTGGCATCTTCACTTCAGATTAAAGTGTGCTAGAAGCTTTGAGGCATGTCAAGGTGTTGTTGAGCATATTGTAACCGGGCTTTTTGCACTGGCGTAGTAAAGGCTTCTTTCTGGCAATACAACCATGCAGCTCATTTTAGTTTAGGTACCGTTGTATTGTGCTCCTTGAAGCAACCACACTGTATTTTTCCAGAGCAGTCTGTATTTCTCTTGAGGTTACCTGTGGGTTTTTCTTTGTATCTTGGATGATTCTTCAGCCAGTTGTGGCAGTAATCTTTCTTGGTCTACCTGACATTGGCTTGGTATCAAGAGATCCCTGATGTTTCTACATTTTATTGAGTAAACAGTACTGACTGGCATATTCAAGGCTTTTGATATCTTTTTATATCCTTTTCCACCTTTATAAAATTTGTTACACAGGTCTTTTGACAGTTTTTTTCCTTCTCCCCATGGCTCAATATCTAGCCTGCTCAGTGCATTCATGTGAGCGTTAAACTCATTGACTGTTTGTACACAAGAAATTTAAAAAGCCAATTTACCTTTAATTGCCATTTTAACCTGTGTGTGTGTCAACTTGTGTGTCTGTACCAAGGCCAAATATTCCAGAGTATGTAAACTTTTGATCATGGCCATTTGGGTGATTTCTATCATGATTTAAAAAAGAGCAAAACAACTATGTGATAATAAATGGCTTCATATGATCACTACTCCTAAATTAAAGAAAGCTTTTTGGCATGATCAGTCATTTTCAATAGCAATGCCAAACTGTCACGATTTCTACCACGGTGTGCAAGTGTTTGAGCCCAATTGTAGGTGTGGGAAATTTAAAGACTAGCTCTGAAAGTTAGTAGTGGTATTTATAGAAAATTCAGGATATAGTACTTCAATAATGTGGCCATATACCCAAAAAACATTGCCATGTATACTCTACTCACTGCTCCCTACATAAACCTAATAAAAACAAGAATATTTATGTTTGAGCTGGCTTATGCTCTGTCCATGGTACTGGCACAGCTTTTTGTACAAGCAATTCATGGTAAGACAACCACTGCTTTTGACCATACACTTCTATTTCTCCACAACATCAGTACCCTGGAAGGAACATTAAATAGCTCAAATGCAACCAATGCAGCTTTTTGGGGTGCAGCATGAGGAGAGTAAATGGCTAAACCGGATATTGTTTTAACACAAATAATGAAAAAAGTGAAGGTAGTCAGTATTCATAGATAAAATTCTCTTAAAACCCACCTTAAATTCCCCTACAACAGAAGGATCGTCACTCTCATCAGCCTTCCCTCTAAAAAGCTTAAATGTTTCACAGAAGTCTGTAAGGCCACGGAACTCAGGAACGTCCTCCAGCTCAGTGTTATACACCTATAAAGGTTATAATTGGGACAGTAATGAAGTCCATTTTCTTGTACAGTATGCAAAATAATTGTATGTTTGAATTGGATGCTAGAGGTAAAAACACACCCATACAAGACCTAATATTTACAGATAATGAAACCGAAAGGAACAGATTAGATAATTAGTTTCAATAGATTTTTGTTCTAGACCAGGGGTAGGCAACCTGCAGCTCTCTAGCTGTTGTGGAACTACATTTCCCATGAGGCACTGCAACATTACAAAACTAACAGTTACAGCTATAACTTGCAGAGGCATGATGGAACTTGTAGTCCTGCAACAGCTGGAGAGCCGCAGGTTGCCTACCACTGTTCTAGACTGTTTACATGGGTTTACTAAAGTGTATGACCACGTGGGGCCGTGTTTACCCACAACTGGGAAGCACATGAGTTCTATACATCCCTCTGCAGGCAGTCTCATTCATGTCAATTGGTACGTGGTAGCCGCACAGACACAGTGGCTGCTCCCAATTTGTTATCTGTGCAGCTGCAGGGCACCAAACGTAGACAACGAGGGGTTTATTTATTAAAGCTGGAGAGTGCAAAATCAGGATCACTACTGCATAGAAACCAATCAGCTTCCAGGTTGTTCAATTAAGCATTAACAATACAAGGTTAGACGCTGACTGGTTTCCATACAGAAGTGAGCCTGATTTTTCTCTCTCCAGCCTTAGTAAATAAACCCGAGTGTCTGTGCAGCCTCCACATCCCAACTGATTTGAATGAGACTGCTTGCATGGGGAAGCAATTGACTGCAATTCATCTTTAATGCAGAGTATTGTAAATAAAAAACGTGCGTCTTGTACCTTTAAGCTGTCATAGCCTTTCTGCAAATACTGTCCACATTTCTCATGTTCTCCAATTGATGCATAATATTTGCTCCACCAGTCCACAATTTCTTCCTCCTGAGAAAAAAAAAAAAAAAAGAAGGATTAGGGATTAAACGGAATGCACTCTCTCAATCAACATTGACCAGATTTAATTATTATGCTACTAGCATTAGGAAATTAGTAAATAGAAAGTATATCATGTTTACTTGTTTTAATCAGTTGCAGACTGGCCGTAGTACATATACTGCGGAAGGCGGCAGCTACAGGGTAAGGGACATACCAGTATGTTGCGTAGCACACGCGCATTGTTCCCATGACTGCTGTGTCCTGTGGATTGTGGTTGCTGGTACCCAGCCGCTTTGATCAGCTGGGGGATCATGGAATGACCATGTAATGTGATTTTTAGTTTATATAAAATATTAAAAGAAACCCAGTGATGATCAAATACCACCAAAAGAAAGCTCTATTTGTGTGAAAATGATATAAATTTAATTTGCGTGTTGCATAACCCTGCAATTGCCAGTTAAAGTAGTGCAGTGCTGAGTAGCAAAAAATGGCCTTGTAATGAAGGGGGTAAAACTTTTTTTTTGGTTACATTGTACAGTATTTTCTTAATTTGTTCAGTTACTTCCTGGTTTCCAGATCTAGGAAAATTGTGTCATACATCTCATGGGTCTTTGGGAGAGGAGGGGTTTTCTCAGCTAAGCACACCCTCCTTGTCTGCATGCCTGACCTAGGTGCAGATGTTTTTTCGAGAATCAAATGCTGCCTGAATCATCTGCCCTTACTCAAAATGGTCAGCCAGAAATTCGAGGGGGTGTTTTTCAAAGTGATTTCTCAGCAAAATAAAGCACGGAGACATGAATGGAAGGGGGAGTTTGCTTGGAACATTATAAATGAATTAGCTAGCTTTCTTGGTTTGCGATACTTCGATGCAGTGTAGTTCCACTTTATTAATGAGTATATAAATTCAGTCTGGCAGGAATTCCTGCTTACACTAAAGAATCAGGTAAAGAGAAGATTTCAGCCAGATACACTGCAAGCTACAATGATCAGTCAGCCCTGCATGACTATTTCATGGCATTCAGATACATTGCTGCCAGCAGTAACATGACCTTCCCAGGGTTAAGGTGGTGAAGTACAACGATTTATTGGTTTGGATTAACTGTTGCTTGAAAGGTTTCTGTACTGTACAGTATTTAGAGAAGAACAGGCTACTGGTCTTTCCAATTAAAAAAAAAAAAAAAAAAAAAACACAAGAATTACTAGCTGTAAGAACCAAATTACGGATACTCAAGTTTTTAGTCTAACCTTAGCATAATATAAATGGGCAAACTATTCAGTGGTTTCTATTTTCAGTTCACAAGACCACTAAAACAAAATTATATCAAAACCTAAGCAGCCAATAGGAAGAAACACTACAGCCAGGAAAATTATATGTCTGCATATCACCGTTCTTCCTGGGTTACCTTTCACTGGAAACATTGAATAAATTACACATCTGAATATTGCTGCTGAATAAAAAAACCGCCAGCAGATAAGACTTTACTACTCTGGTTACTTCATAATCCTCGATTTTTATTAAACATGCCTGAAATGTGTTCTCTACAGGATTGTGTATCCCAAATCTGAGCAAGCACGAAGAAAATAATCAGACCCAAAAGTTATGTCAGTCTGCCAGATATACAATTCGTGAAACCACTAAATAAACAAGTCGGATTTGGTTTCCGCTCCATGAATTTAAATCAGCTAAATACTAGACGGGACAACTCAGGAAAAGATTTCTAATACAGTTTCTGCAAGCATTCTTCTAGGACATTGTAAGTGCATGCTATTCAAATGGATATGGAGACACAGAGCAGAATTTGATGGGAACTTTGTGAAGTATTCTGAAAGGACCACCTTCCCATATGAGAGAAGTAATAAGGCTGCAATTACTGGCCTCCCACTGCTTGTAGCCTGGCCGTCCTAACTGGATAGATTTTTTTTTTTGCACAGAGCTAGGCTTATGGCGTATTGTTTTATTGTACAACTTGCACAACCTCTCCCAAAATTAGGTGTAAGTTGAATACTTTTGGTGGTGGTCTACTAAGATTGTACTTTGATTAAACTGGGACTCCAGTCAAGCGGCTAGATATATACTTAACATTTATATAGGTTAGCTGTTTCACTGGTCAATTTTTTTCATTATATTCTGCCACTCTTGGGATGCATCCATTCAAACCACACTATATAGTTGAAGGTTAAATATCCCCTGCTTAGGGTCATCATCATGCGTTGTCATTTTCCTGCCTTCAGCTGGCTTACTGGGCTATGAATTATAATCACTACACTAGTAGAGTTTTCCGTATGCTTTAACCTGTCCAAATGATTAGCCTCCAGCACCTGAAATGTTAGGATGGTCTTGCAATGCAACATAAGCATACATTTTCTCAACTGGGGATTGAAATTCTGTATATAGGTAAATATTTCTTCTTGTGCATGCCACCTCTTTACTTTTGTACTCCAGCAACATGGTTTCATCTCCCTGTCTTGTCTTCTCCCAATAGAGTTACATCTTTCTGGGTCTCCTTATTTCCTGTGCTCACAGTTCTCCGATAAGAGGAACTCTTAGTCAGAAATGCAATTTTTGCTATTTTTCAGAATAAACAGGATAGCAATCATGTTTTTTTTTTTCCTCTAATCCACTTATGTTTTAAATGCTGTTTCATGTCTGAATTAGTCCCAGTTTCAGTTTTTCTGTTCAATAGCAGAAGAGAAGACCATACTAACCACTTGGAAAAATAAGACATTACTGGGAAATTGCAAGGTCTTATGAATAGCATCCATGTCCATGCAGAAGATAGCGGTCTCTAGGACGAGGTTTATTTATGTTACTTGCTTTATAATATAGAGGACTATTTTTAACTTTCGTTCTGAATGGTAAATGTATGTTCCCTAAAGTTTCCTGGCAGCCTGCGAGTTCACGGGACTGCAAACGTAGTGCACAATTTGATTTTCCATAAATAATGATGTATACAGTAGAAGCTCTGAGGGAACCAAGAAACCAGCTCATGTATATACTGTACATAGCAACTAGGGAGGTCACAGCTCTGTCAGAGTTATCCATATATTCTACATGAGCAAGAAACAAAAGGACTCTGTCATGATAAAGCTGGTGGTTAATGTCAAGCTTGTTTTCTTTCTCTAGAGAAGTCAAGAATAAAATAATTCTCCTGAATTCTCCTGAAATTAAACCACAACCTTGTATATCAAGAGTAAATTCTAAACTCTATTCAAAAAGGTAATTGTAGTGATTTGCCAACTCCCTATTTATACCAAGTCCAGTAGCATTATATTATCACTGTATTACGACTGGAACATATACTGTACGTACATACACATACATACTGTATATATATATATATATATATATATATATATATATATATATATATATATATATATATATATATATATACACACACACACACACACACACACACACATATACATATATATATATATATACACACACATACATACACACATTTTTTTATTATACCTGTCAAAGCTGTCAAAGCATTTGAAATACTATTCTGACAGTGCAAGACCCTGCCACTTTGTGAGTTTAGGAAATGAAGGCACAAATGACACAGGATTAACATTAAAGTTTAACGTAAAGTTCCAGACGGTGGTTTGTGAGTGGAGAAAGCTGTGTTTTGAGCTCTCTCTGCGTTTTGTATTCCCAGATCAGGGCCTGGAGCTTGAGAGTTCCAAAGAATCTTAGGTGGAACGGGACCTTCCATCCTGTGTCCAGGTTTTGCTCTGTGTACACAGAGGTTTAGGGTCGTTATATGCAAGTCTGAGGATAGCTCACGGATGGCATTTGCAGACAGAGCCCTTATGGGAGGGCTGCGGGTTCCTGCCAGAGACTGCATCTCTTGCGAGGGGGAATTTTTGCCAAAAGACTGGGAGAATCTGGATTCCATTTGCAGACAGAGCCCTCATGGGAGAGATGGGTGTTCCTGCCAGAGACTGCATCTCTTGCGAGGGGGAGTTTTTGCCAAAAGACTTGGAAAGTCGGGACAGCTACAAGAGTCTGGGAAAAGAAGACAGGGTCTGTGAGACTGAGGAAGATAAGGTGGCTAGTGAGTCCAGGGGGCTGAAGGGAGTCAAGAAGTCTTTGGAAGAGTGAGCAAGCTTGAGAGGGCTGAAGAACCCTATTTAAAGACCAGGAGTGGGCCTGTGAAATAAGGTGCTGCAACTGAGGCTGAGTGATCCTGAACAGCCAGTGGTCTGAGGAACCAGTACTAATAGCAGCGGTGCTGATGAAGCATAACCAGGTGGGCTAGCGTTTTCATTTGATTGGTTGCATATGCAGGGGGAATTGGCTTCTCAGAGCAAAACAATGTGCAAATATTCTGCTTTTTTCTTTTTAATAAAAGTGGGCTACCAGGCCCTTAAACTGCTTCAGACTGACATGTTTCACTAAAACGCATTTACCTTATTGAGTGCAATTACCCCATATCACACCGTACAGACTTTTATTCATACACATTTTACATGCTGCACTGCCAGACAGATGATGCAAGCAGTTTGTGATTAGGCAATTCATCTGTCTGGTTCAGTATTTCAGCTTCTTGTGTCACCTCTTTGCCTTGCACTGGAAAGGGAATCATCATCACCCAAAATGTCCAATGAGCTGACCAAGGAATCAGTAATGCTAAACCACAACAGAAAGTTTTTTTTATGAAAGATTTTTGGTAAGTAACATTTTAAAAAATTTGGACATAGAATTGTGGCCAGTGTGAGTGGCACTATCAGACTGGCCAGATTTTTATCTAATTTTGCAATTGTGTATTTTTGAAAAAAGTCCTGCTCCATCTTCAGCTTCACCAACCTTTGAGGTTGTCACTTTGCCACTCCTAGCAAAAACAAACAATTGTGAAACTTGCTAGCATTACATATTATCTAGTGTAGAAAGCACATCTGGCGATCAAAATATTGAAGAAAAATTGAAGATGACCTACTAACATGCCAAGAATGTGGAACAAGAATTTGTTTTACAATAAAAAATGACTTGAATGGAATGAATTTTCCTGTGTGGTTAAACTTCACCTTGCAAAGAATTCATATTTGCATGAGGGTGATGGAAGTTAGCAGAGCTTAACCTCATTCACTGAGCAAAGTGCACAGCCTTTAATAAATCCATCCCTATTTACTCAAATGGAATACAAGCAAAACATCCACATCTATGACTTCTAAATTTGTGTTTTTACATTTAATTTACAGATGGTAGTGTGTTCAGCCATGAGCCATTGTTTGAAATCAAGTGTGACAATATGGACCAGATGTTAAGTGAATTATTGCCATGGATATCTATTCTGTGAATCTCTATGGCAGCAACTCTAATATTTCTCAGTGTAGCTAAATTCAGAACCCTTAACTTGCTAATGACAGTTCATGAGCTGAGAGGCGTAAAAGGACTAAAAACGGCCTTTTCTCCATCTTATATAAGATTATATTTCTACAAGCAGATAATAAATTTAGTTAATAAGCATATTTGATGACGCAGATACAAGGTTACATTTATGAATGGCACAATTACAGTCAGTAAAGCTGACCATATACTAGAAGATTTTAAAGAACATTTGACAGTTTGATGAATATTGATTGAAAGTACATCAAAAGTGAAATTTGCTTTTAGCATTCAATTTTAAAAAAATGTAATTTTCTTTTAACATTCAAATTTGGAACAAACTATACTGAATGAAAACCACATGCATGGTTAGAAATTTGTTTGAGAAATTTTCCTTACTGCTCTATTGTCTCATCACTGCAGAAAAAAAAAAAAAAAAAAAAAAAAAAAAAAAAAAAAAAAAAATCGATATAACCTAATAATTTGAAAATCAAACGTTCTTAAAATGGGAGTTTATAAAAAAACAATTCTACTAGCGTATAGCCAGCTGTAGTGCAGATACCTTGATGACCAACTCTTAATTTGAATATGCTTACCAAACACAAAGCTAGAAGCATTTTTTTTTTTTTTACAAAAAAGAAGCAAAAGGGGTGCAATACTACTCTCTAAGGTTGTCTGCCTTGAATGTAGCCAATAATACAAAACATACAAGCCTAATGTGTGCATTATTTGATGGGAAAAAACCCTTTAAAATAGACAACAGACTTCTTACCTTCTCTTGTAACTGGTAACAGTAGTAAATGTTCCAAAGGAAAATTGAGAAAAAAGAAAAAAGAAAATTACATTAATACAGGATAAATAAGACAAAAGTTGTTAAATTAACCAAATCACCAGATAAACTCAAAAATGATGAATCTTATGTGTTTATTACATACTTCAAACACAAAACACAGGCGTAATCATGATTTTTAAGCATTGTATTTTTAATACAATATGGCGGATAGTTGATTTAATTTTTTACAAATTACTTGTGTATGTATGTATGTATGTATGTAATAAACCAGCACTATGAAAATAAGAATACAACAGATCTGGAAATGTTTGGTTCCATAACCATGAAAGAGAAGACTTACCTTTTACTGACCCCAAACAAAAAAGGATTAATTATGGAAAATGTTTTATGGAGAATGCGTTATGCTGGTGGATTACATACTTCAGTTCTGATCACTTAAAAAAATGCATAGATGCACAATCGGTTTTTGAATTGCTCATCTAGTGCTCATTTTGCCAAAACAGAGATCTTACATGGATAGCCTCATCAATTTGTTAAAGCTCATTTTCAGTGATTCTGCATTTCTAAAGCTGGCCATATATGTTAAGATTTCTCTCATTCAGCCACACAGACTGGATTAGAGAAATCACTTGATTCCTCCATCCACAATTAACAGCTTGGATGAAGAAAACTCCCCTGCTGGCTACTGCATTCTGACAGCCAACACCCACAACCGTCAGAATGCCAAAACAGTGCCTGCATCTAAGTGGAGGATGCAGGCACTCTTTGGATGAAAATTTGCTGCCAGATGATGCTGACAAGACCATAGATGGACTGAATTTCACCTGATTCAGTAAGAATCAGATGAAGTTCAATCCGCATATGGCCAGCTTATGAATTAAAGTGATATCATTCAGAAGTATGTTGAAAACACCCAACTTACTTTTAATGGTGTTCCATGTTTAATGTTTTTTTTTTTCTAATCCTTAGCCCATACAGTGCTGCAGGAAAAGGCCTATAGTCACTCAGTGACCTGGCAAATCTGGCCACATTGGTGCAGGGGTCCTACCCAGTACTACCCAAGAAACTGAAGGGACTCAAGCTTTACTAAAACTTAAAAAAGTGCTGGTTTGATTTATTTTAGCTAACAGATTTGTTCATTTTGATAGACATTTTCCTAAATGTCATATTCTCGCATTATAATTAAATGTATATTCATATAACTATTATTCTTTTACTAAGCCTACTCAAACAACTGATCATCTGCTAGTCTGTACTTACAACAGTAAACCGTTATAAGAACTCATTAGCACATTCCCGTGTTACTGCAGCAGTGAAATGCAAAACAAACTGGATATAAGAATTGTGCCGTGGTATTCAGCTCAGCTCATATTTGATAGATGCAATGTGGCATACGTCCACAAAATCATGAGGTTCTAAATGTTTCATCTTTCAAAGGCACCAGATGTTTCACATTTATAGTGCATTTTCAAAATGAAAATATGTGAATGGGCCGAATTCTAAAAACAGGTGAAAAACAGATATTGTTAGAGAGGGCCTTGAACACTTGAGTTTAGCAATAAAATATATATTTAAAATGTGTACCTCTGCTTGGCAAATGAGAACAAAATGAGCATGATTGGCTTGGCGACATAAAGCAGTCAAAAATCCAACATCTCTATAATATTCCCAAACCCAATAGTACTGCGTGACCTTTAATTCCATCAGCTGTAAAATATTTATATCCATGCCAAGATACATTTAGGAGTACCTGGCATGACACACAATGTGAACATGTTTTTGTCAGGTAACCCAATGATTTGTCAAAGCATATCTAAACCTAGAATCAAAAATGAATACATTGCAGCTTACTAGACCTTAGAAGTGATGGGTGTATTAGTTTTTTTTTTTATTTTTTCAAGTTAAGAATATTTTCAGCAATCAATCACCAAAAATACCTTTTGATCTGGTCACTTCCCATGGGCTGAATAAAAGCAAGTCTAGCCTGAGTGACAACCATAGCTTCCTCCATAACTACAATTAATGAGAAATGAGTGTAGACACAAAGGAACAGGAAGTGTGATTTTTTGCAGTTCATCAGGTGAAAATAAAAGAGGAAAAAAGCCTGGAAATGCAGCAGCCCCACTTAAGGGCTGAAAAGCTGCAATATGGTATATTTTTTTAGGTTTATATATGCTTTAATGTCAACAGAAACAGCTTCTTTATTTTTTGACAGGCTTCATATGTCATTGGTTAGGATAAACCATCCATAGTGATGGTGCATGCAGTCACAGAAGTACTATTGTTTGCCCATCATCGGATATGATGTGACTTTTTTAAGTGATATTAACCTCCATTAAACCATTAAACCACTGGTGGGGATTTTGGAGATATTAAAAACTGAAAAGAATACAAGAGATACAAGATGTAGATATATTTAATTTGTTAGAATAAATGAATAAATCACCTGAGTGGTGTATTTAAATGAAGATAAAAAAAGATTATAGGATGAATTTATTATGCAATCTTGCATGCATTATTTGCCATAACCATCTTTATTTAAGTAATTAAACTTTTTGTCCCATTGTTAGGTCAAATAATGATTATAGCTTAGAGAATAGAGCCTCATGAGTTAGTTTGTTTTCTTTCTCTATTAAAAATATTCTCCAAAATCCATCCACCGCAGGACCCCAAGCAGTGCTGGTGATAACCGGAGACCCTTGATCAGTGCATCCTTCATACAACATACATACATGCACTGTGGTCGGTGATGTCATTTTTCCAACTGCTGTTGACATGCTGCTTAACAGCTGAAAATTGGAACATAACGCATAAAACTCAATTCTCTTCCTACCCAGTTTACTACCATTTTCAAAAACTTGAAACAGCAAGAGTTGCAAAATTATAATTATGATTTGGGGGGAATGAAGCAGATTATTTTCAGGCCTTTCCTGTTGTCAGGTAGGCTTTGCATGGCTGTGAGAAGCAAATCTCCAGCTCAACTTTTCAACCACGTTGTCATGATCAATGCCCTGAGTTTTCCAAATGTTTCTAGGGAGGGTGGATGACACTGCCCTTCTATGTCTACCTTTTAGTAGGTTCTTCACAAAATAATATGGAGAACGCACTCAAGATGTGCAAAGAGTAGCAAGGTTAAAATGCTAAACATAACAAAAATGAGTGATCGGCTAATAAAAGGTTGTTCCAACACACCTAAAATGCTAAAAAAAAAAATTTTTTGGGTGGATTTGCTTTAAGGCAATTTGGTATACTCCCCCTCCCAAAAAATAAATTCAACCAAAACGACATGTTTGTAGTACAGTTGATATCTTTAAAAAGTTCAGCTCCTGATAAGAATATCTGTCAGGTACTTCTACATGTTGTAGTTGTCTATTCAATGTAGAGAAAAATTCTCCTTACTTCCAATCCTAATATATACGCAAATCTCTCTAACAAAGAAATCAGCAAAAATGAAAACAGATTGTAGTAGAGTGTTAAAAGGTCAGATCTTCTGTTTTTAGAATTGTTTTTTGAATAACAAAAATTTTTCTCTTATTTGGGGCAGAGTGTCGCAGATACAGGAAATAATGTTTTATCACTTATATCACTCCAATTGGCATAAACCGCAATAAAAAAAAAAAAAACGTTTTCTAATCCTCTGCTCTATCAAACACAAAATAATTTTGGCTGCAGTAGGCGTTTAACGATTTTCAGACTTTTGAATTACGGATTATGGGAAATAAAATTTGTTATATGAAAATTGCAAGCACAGTTGTGTCTGGAGAAATATTAGGAAAGTATCACAGCTACAAGAAGCACATGGTTCTTCAAAAGGTTTCTGAAATGTAAAATATATATATATATATATATATATATATATACACATTATATATATATATATATATATATATATATATATATATATATATATATATATACACACACACACACACACACACACATATACACACACACATATATATACATACACACACATACACATATACACACACACACACACACACAAAAAAAGTTAAATTGACGTTTTTCTTACGGCTTACATCACAATAGACTGACAAATAGTTGCTATAAATAAAATTGTACTAACTTATAGCAAGTTCCCATTCTTAAAAATATAAAATAAAAAAATTTAACACAACACAACATGGGAAAAGCAGAGATCACCAAATTGCAAAATAGAATATTCAGGCTTATTTTCACTATTCAAAATATGGTTAAAATCAGTAAACTGTCCAAAAAAGATTTAATAAAAACAGCATTTTTTGTTATAAAATGGCCTCATAGGTGCAATTTTGCTTGTAATTTCCCTATGAGTGCAAGGATATATCCAGGAATATCATGTATTTTCGAAAGAGCACTGCACAAGTTTATCCCTTTGTGTGTATTGGGACAAAACAGGAAAGACACACATAATGTCACACAAACCTATGGCAGTATTGGGTGCGGATAAATAAGAATGAAATGTGATGCTCCTGGTCACCTGGGGCACTTTTTATCACAGCAGTGCATTGTGTTGTCTGTTGTCCAGCTAAGTGTAGTCTTAGTCTTCAAAAACACAATCTCAAGGTTATATATCCAGAGAAAGATCCACAGTAACATATCAACCCATAGAGGCTAATCTCCCTGGTCGTGGCCATATTGTATCTAGGCTCAATGGTAAATGCATGTTACATCTTCAGCTGTTTCAGGATGTGTCACGCTGTCCTGGTTACAACTACAGCACTTGATAAGCCAAAAGATACACACACACTCGGTAAAGTATTTTATGTTCAATGTGCCATAGATTATGCAGCACTTTACATACTGTACATTCACATCAGTCCCATTTTTGGGGTTTTGTGTGACTTAGTCCATGTAGTATGTGAGCTTTTCTGCCTTATGTTTTATATTTTGTTCACAATTTTAAACATTTGTGTTATGTCCAAAACATGTGTTAAGCAATACCTTTTTGTGGGCCTTGATTTTCAGGATATCTAGGGTGCAACAATTTCGGTCCTCAAGGGAGCCATCTAAGAACCAAAGGAATTGAACACCTGTGGAGAGATCTTAAAATTGCTACGTCAAAAGGGGAGATTGCTTGAACACCTGTGGAGGAGAGTGCTGTGTGGGAAAGGTTTTCGTGTCCTTCCAATAAGAGAGACCGGTAGCTGTTTGCAAAGGAAAGAGTGGTACCCAAAAATTCCGGGTGAGAGGTGTCAGAACTTATTGATGGTTATAGGAAGCTCAGGTCCAGCCCTCAATCTATAGCAAAACATGCATACCTTTTTTGTGTGTACACGCACACACATGCAGTATGGAAATGGGTCAGTTGTTTGGACAGGAGCCAATTAAAAATTACCAGCATGTCTGTGGATTCAGTTTCAGGGAGGTTACAACTACAAACCAAAGTATTTTCTGGAGATTATGCAGCACTTTACCCATGCAAGTACAGGAAGCTTAACGTGCAAACTCCATGTACACGGCACTTTCCAACTGGAATTCAAACTGGGGACCCCAGTATCTGATATATGCAACAATCAGTCAATATGGGCTTTTTATAAAGTAGATGGTACTTAGTCCACTAGCCCTTGCCCCACTTCATTACTAATAAAGAAAAAGGAACTGAAGCACTAATGTGCTCACAAGATTTATTTATCAGGAAAAATCACAGTATCAAATAAAACATCAAAAAGTAACCCACCACCTGTTAAATATCACAGATACATCATTTAAAACGCTACAACAGAGTACCCCCACATTTAGCTCATGCATGCTGTAAGTAAAGCTTGGTAGGGAGGTTGTCTAACACCTGCCCTACGTTACAGGGATAGAATTGATAGCCATCACCCAAATTCTGAATTAATACTGACGCCAAAAGTCTCCAAATGTGGCAATAGAAAATAAATGTGTCAGTATACATATAGCAGAGTCTTCAACTTGCCCCAAATTATGCTCAAAGTAAAGTGGCACTACCACAGACATACAGTATTTCACGAGGATCAATTTGCTGATTGAATTTTCATGACGTTTTTAGACTGTGGTAAGAGTGGAATGCCTGGATCATACAAATGAAGGGGTGTGGAGTAGTGCTACAGTGCTAATCACATACTAAGCGAATGTGTAACCTTTAACTGAATTGGTCAGGACAAAAACATTTAAGTTGGCATGTCTAAAGCTGTCCATACACTGATCAAAATTTGGCCGTTAAGCAGGAACTGGTTAAATTTCAAGTAAAGTGTAGCCATCCCTGATCCACAGAAGTTGATCAATTGATCAACTTTTGTTGAAGGGACATTGAAGGGAGCTGCAACTGTTGATCATTCAATTCTGAGAGCAGTGGGTTCTGCTATCAGAATACAATGTTCCAATTGGTGGCAGTGAACTAGAATTCCTCCATCTTCCTTGCTTCATTCCAACTTTACTTGGTTATAAAATTCATAGGACTAGTGGCTGTCATTTCCGTCCTAGCTTAACTGTATATCAAGTTATTGACTGGAAAGCAGAATTGGATTTTAGACTTCTCAAGATGCAGGCTTGTTCTCGGTAACAGGTTAACTGGGCAGTGATGCAAAGATATGAATAACAGCTCCAGAACCTGCACTTTTAAAAATCAAGTTAATAATGGTAACACTTTATTACTACCTTTTTAATTTTCCTTTAAAGTGATTCTAAAGTCTAATTGTTCTTTACCTTAATGTATTCTCTGCATTAAAGCGATTCTAAAGGTTCATTTTTTAGTTTTGAAAAAAAAAAACATGTCTATACTTGCCTACTGTGTGCAGTGGTTTTGCACAGAGCAGCCTGGATCCTCCTCTTCTCAGGTCCCCCACAGGCTCTCCTGGCCCCACCCTCCTGTCGGGTGCCCCCACACCAAGCAGCTTGCTGTCTCAGTGAAAGAGGAGGCAGAGACCCGGGATAGCCGAGAGGCTATCATGCACATCGCTGGATCATGATGAGGCTCAGGTAAGTATTGAGGGGGCTGGGGGTACTGCTGCACACAGGTTTTGAGCCTGTACAACCACTTTAGGGAAAAACTCCTCATTTGTTCCCTTCATTCATAAACACTTTCACTGATCTGGCCCTGTTCCAGCTGCAGTACCACTCTCCTTGTTTCTGGATTCACATGAGACACTGATGGCAGTGGGATCCATAGGCACACTGCTGCTGCTGTTGGTCAAACTCCTGTGAAGAGGGAGCGGGTGTGTGGCTTACTGGCGCGATGTGTGTGTGTGTACCAGGGGGAAGTGATAAGGAAGCGGTCTTTGCAATATCATTGTACAGAGCAGGCAAGAACATCTTTTTTTTCTAAAAAAAAAAAAACTAAAAAAAAAAAAAAAAACTTAAATATCTTTTTTGCATAGTAAGGTCTGCCATAAAAAAACAAGCAGCTATAAGACCTCTCAGAAGATCCCTTTTTCTGCACAAATACACATGATGGGTGACCTGTCAATAGTGGACAGTGGGGCCCACCTCTTCTTCCAGCACCTCCTGAATCGCAGCATTTCTGCACCAGAAGAGTTTGCGTTGTGCTGCAAACTCTTCTGGGGCAGTTGATTATGGTGATTGGAAGCACTTTAACGCCTGGTAGAATCATAGCCTATGTTCAAAGAGAGCTTGTTATACCTCTTGCAGCTCATTTTTGAAACCAAGATTTGTGTTACAAAAAAAAACAAATCATAGTTCTTGTAGAAGCACACAGTAAATGGTTATGTAGATACACAGCATGCATTGGCATGAGTATACAATTTGTGAAGCAAACGTACTTAGCAGACTGGTCTTTGATAGGTGACCTTTGTTGCTTAAAATGTCTTCAAATTATGTTAAACTGTTGTATCAAAGACATGGGAATAAAGCCCCAAAACCTGCTCTCGAACCCAGCCATAACAGTGACAGAATGACACAAACATGCATATGGTTTACTACCTTTTTTGGACTTTCCTTTTTTAGGAGGTGAGAAAGGTCCCACTTTTCTTGCTTCTGCAGGAGAATGCCAGTGGCATAATAAAGATTTACATTTGGGATTTTAGGCATTCTGGGGGAAGCTTAGTTTTTACCGACATAGGATAAACATGGTTATATTTTACAGTATGTGAGTCCGTTAATGTACAGAAACGTACAGGGAGGTATGGAAAACTAGTAACACTAATATAACTGAATGGTCACCAATCAGCTGCCAAAAAGAGACATGTGGCTCTCTGCTGTATTTGTTGCCACTTATAGCATTCTCCCAGCAGGTGCTCAGTACCAGCCAAATCTAAATACTTGCCACTTGACATAAAAAATATCACAGTTAGATATGTTGGTTATAATGATTAGCATTCACTAAATCTTTTCACCATTAATTTCTCTAATTGGTGTCGCTCACCATATCTTATTTGAGTGTCGCTTATAAGCAGGAAGATTGGGGACCACAGCTATAGATCATACAATGGATTATTTACAACATACTGTAAATTAAGGGATGTTCAGGAATTCATGATTGAAAGTGTAAGAGAGACTGATTTGATGCACTAAAAAGAATGAAGAGTGAATCTGATTGGCTTGTTTTGGATGAAGTAGGTAGTGGTGTATCTTCCAATCATGAAGCCCTTTGTTTTCTGCTACTATGCCAGTTTTGGGGTTATAACAAAAGTTCTAGGTTTCCGGGAAGGACAGGTAACGTTGGTAACTGAACAAGGACAACATGGATAAACTTATCTAGACATATATCAATAGTTCACACTTAAATACATCAATGTCAGTTTTAAAGTGAACATAATGCAGCTATGACGGTGTAGTGTTATTTTTGTAAATGGACAATACTTTACACGGATTGAAATCATGCATTGATAGACATAGATGCTGAAGCGAAAGCACATTACCTGAGTTGCCAGCAGTGGTTTAGTGTCCTCTACATCGATGACTACATCACGAGGAGGGGTAGAGGACAAGAGTGCAACTGAAAGAAACAAGACAGGGCTTTATCTGCAAAAGACAAGTGTTGGGTAACCCATTGTAAACACTAACCATCTTTCACTAGTCATAACTGACTGGTCAACATGGTGGCTAGCCCATGTATTGCAACCTGATAAAATCAGATGCTTGACTGGAATATAAATTGTAGCACTGTTTTTCTTCAAATCTTTTTATTTAAAAAAAATTCACAATGATATAAAATACATTCCCAATATGCAATGATATTCTCTTCACCACCAAAGGCCACTTAGAATAATCAAAAAGGAACAAAACAATCTTATACAAACTTTAAATGCAGAATAATAAAATTTCCAGGGAGCAATGTGAATTTCTTCTGGGAGGGAATTATCACTTGTATAAGGATTACCTTTACCACCCTTTAGTTTTGTGTCAACAACTGAAAATTATTAAAAAAAAAAAAAAAAATCAAATGGTAGGATTTCCCTGGCCTATCACTATTGTTTTCCTGAGATAATGCAAAGCCAGATAGGTCAAGCTTGCTCATTCATTGACCGAAATATGAATGCACAGATGACCTATTTGCATGTCTAGGTACAAGTCAGTTGCCTGAAGATCTTTCTTACAGACACTATTTAAGCCAACTTTAGAAAACCAAAGTAAAAAGTACCAAAAGAACCAATGCTGTAAAAAAAAATATATCTTTGAGTGTGTTATTGCATTCCTAACTTGCCCAATTTTCCCAAAGATTCCACATTACTGTACCAACATGATTTTCCACTATAGGCTCCAGTGACTTTCTTTGCTGCCCTTTCATACTTCTGAAACTTTACACTAATCTGCCAAGAGCACTTCCAAAAGTTTTCATGGTATATTTCATGAATAAATATTTGAGAAATGCAGTAAAATTAGCTGTTTCATTGAATGCAATAGCCTAGCCTGGGAAACAAATGATCTCTTCGATTTTAATGACAAAACATGAAAGCAGTATAAAGCAAATATTTGGGAAAAATTAGTTTATTATTCAAAGAAAAAGACAAGAAAGCAGTGTGAAGATGAATATGCGTACACATGACTGAGAAAGTTTCTTTATTTCCATACCTTTTAACTCTGCAGCATCATCTGTTTTTGTAGTGTATGGATCGCATCGGAACTCCTCCAGCAAATCAATGGTGCACTGGCCTACCACCGGCTTTCTTCCAAAGGGTCTGTTGTCAATCACTTTAACAACTATGGGTGGAACATACATCTCTTCTTTTGGTAGGAGCTACAGAAAAAAAAAAAATAAACGAATCAAAGCTTATAAGAGTCCATGCAGAAATGTAATGGTAAATGTTTTTATGAAACTAAAACAATGCATCTGTATTTTAGAATGATTTTGCCCAAGTACTGACCTGAATCTAAAAGGAAATGCTTTAGTGTGACCAGAAAAGGGCAGTTTCAAGTACACTTGAACTGAAACCGCTCTGTGTGCAGAATGGATCAAAATATTACCTACAGTAATAATACTGTATACATACAATGCTTACAATGACAAGAACATACAGCTGTATTGCAAACATCTAGAAAAAAATGGATGCAATAGAAGCGAGTCCTGCCCACATTAACTTATCTAGAGTGTGTTGTGTTGCTTATTCAATGAATAATTCTCAATGTAGTGAGAAATCTAATTTGCTGTCATGACCACTGTTTTAAGCCGGCTATAGACAGGGCGATTTTCTTTCCTGGAATCACGGGTGGAGCCATTGTGCCTTCCTGGTGGGGGAGGGGAGTCGTCCCCTGCCAGGAGAACACAGCGGATTACTGCTGGCGGCTATAATCTCATGTAAAATTTGATAGGCTGGTTGTACCCAAGTTGATCGATCATTCAGCTTGTCCAAGTATGGTTTGAATCCCAGCCGTTCCCTGCTGAACCAAATGAGAATCAAAGTCGCTGGCTTTATTTACGGACCTGAATGATTTTTGATCGAATTAAAGGGAAATGGATCAGCATGGCAGCCAGGCAATAAGCATTTTCAGAAGGCAAGGAGAGCAGCAGCAGCAATCTTCACATAACTCTGTATGGATATCCCTTAAATAAAGGTGTCATTTGTGAATACAATTTAAATAAACCTCAAAAGGCCTAAATTGCACATGTCTCCGGTCTATAGATATTTAAATATGTACATATTTTAACCAAAAGGCAAAAGCTTAAAAACAAGTCATCCCTGACCTCTAGATGCTGGTACTGCAATCTACTCTTACTCATAAAGACCCTCAAAATTACAATAGACAAACATTAGTTTCAGTCCTCCTAACAACTTAGGCCCATTTCACGTGAAGGCTCCGATCAGGTCCACCTACCTGATTTTCAAGCGGACCCAATCGGAACCTCCATTCTCCTCTATGGAACGGTGGGTGTAAAAGGACATGTGTCCGTTTAGACCCTCCAAAATTCAATCTGATCCGATCTGCAAAAAAGAGACAGATGGGGATCCAATTCCCTTTCCGTCCATTGGATCAGGTCAGATGGAAACGGACAGACAGTCCGTTTCCATCTGACCACCCATTGAACACAACGAGCTGCTATGTGTTTGCTCTGCAGCAGCGGAGCGAACACAGACCTGTCTTCCGCAGAGAGATCCCCTGCTGAGCAAGCGGATACACTAAATGAGTTCACCATGTGTGAAAGAACCCCTAGAAGAACCTGCTGTTTGCCAATATTAGAGATCTGGCTGGTTGCCAAGATTCAAGTCCAGTAGAAAGTATTGGGAAAAAAACAGAGATATGAGCACTTTTGTTTGGAATTGGAAGATTCATTTCTACACAATGCCTATACACAGAGGTGATGAAAACTTGTTTTCCCTTTACTGCCTGGTAAAGCTGGCCATAGACTGATCGAAATGCGGCCATATTTTGATCCATCTATGAGTAGGCTGGTAGTATTTAAGGCAGTATCGATCAACTTCAGTACAACCTGCCTGTTAAGTTTTTTTTTTTTTCCCTGACTAGAGCCAGTAGCAGTAATCACTGCATTCCGACAGTGGAAAAACCACCCGCTGTCAAAATACAATAGTGCAGCCGGAGGGATTCCCCCATCAGCACTGAACATGTTGATGGGGGAATCAAGTTATTTTCTTTCCTTCAACCTGTGGTTGAAGGAAAGAAAATGTTTTAATGCATGGCCAGCCTAAGAATATTTAGCCGTCTGGTGCATGATCTGGGAACACGTTGACGTCAATGCTGAAACTTAATAAAAGTCATAAAAGGGGCCACTTACAGACCATTTTGTAATATAACCTGATGTTGGAAGTTCCTAATTAGCTCAAATCTCAGCATACTGGCAACTCAGAAACAAATTACATAGTTACAATTCCTGGGATGACCAGGTCCACCCAACATTTATCCATCTAATCCACCAGTGTCCCAACCTACCTTGTTCAACTTTATTTTGCAATGTACAATGTTCAGTGTTAAGGGTACAAAACAAGTGATGGTATGAGAACTGCAGAAAAGTATATGGCTTCTCTTGCAGCTATTTGATGTCCCAGCAAACCTATAGATCTCAAAAGTGATCCTACATAAGCCAATTCAGTATAAGGAAGGTAGAAAATGGCTGTTCTTGGTAGATATGTAAAAAAAGTGTAGGAATAAAGGTTTTTGCACATGGTACTTCTAGGAAAAGCACTAAAAATCAGTAAATGGGTGATCTACCTGTATTTCACCAATCCACTAAACTAAATTTCACCAATTCAATTTGTATTTTGTTTTATTTTCTCACCTGTGTCATCATTGCCACCCACCCCACTAGCATAATACAGTGTATCAAGTCATACCAAAAACATATTTACTAGCTTTGGAAAGAATGGGGAAAGATTAGAAATCCTTTCAGATTTTTTACGGCTATCTAGGGCTCTCAGGACAGAAAGAAGGAAAATACCTCTAACAAAGCTCCAGACAACAGTAAAAACATTAGTGGAATATTAACCCTTCCCAACTTTACACTTTTAAACAGCCCTATGTCTTACCACTTTCATGAAGAGGACAGAGCTGGAAAAGTTAGGCGTCTTTTTGAGGTTTTTTATCATTGCAGTTTGGATAATTTCCCCACCGCACTCCACAATGAGACTTGGAGAGGTAACAGATGCCATTTGATAACTCTTCATGTTGCGTAATCCCCAGGTAAGTATCTGTTTTAGAGCATAAAAATATTGGAAATCATTGTGACGGTCCTAACACTTATGTATGCTTGACGCAGATTACTATTCTTTTCATTAATATTGTGTTATATTTCAGAGGAATCAAAAACGGGTTTCAGCTCTTTTGTAGCATAAGCCAGCGATATGCTACTACTACCCACAACAAGTAGGCTTTGCCACTTTTTAAATTTTATTACACAATTGGTTGAAATAGTCAGTGATCAACACATGCATTTTGAAACACTGTTAAAAGAGAATCTCTGATGAAGTGCCATATTAACTGCTAAAGTTAATGACGTTCACACCATGTGCACTTTAATAGATACACCAGATGGTGTCAAAGAGAATCCTACTGGATATACCAGCTCAATACTCTTACTCCACACAAATGAAATGAAACCAAAGAATCATGTTAAACAAAAATGTAACGTTTGGCGAAGCTTTCATGTTCATCTCCTTCCCTTGTCCACCCCAGCTTTTGTTTTTCTCACCATTTCCATTAGATCTGTTATTTTTACCATTTATTAATTCCTATCTATCTACTTATTCTAGGTTTTTTTCTTTTTTTTTTTTTTACCAGTTGCATTTATTTTAATTTCCAGTTATCACTCTCTTTTACCCAGCTCTATTGTGCAATTGGGTATCTATTTTTATTTGCGGTCACATATCTTTATTTTTATTTCTAATCACAGTATGTGTGTAAATATCTCTCTCTCTCCTTTTTTGCGAATAGGTTTTTCTAGCCTCTATAACTGCATCCTCTTGGTGGTCTCAATGGTAGTTTCCCCCATCAGGGCACATACCCCTTTCACATATCCCCATAATCTATCTTACACCCTCTATAAAAAAAAGGTCACCTCAAAATCTGTCATCCTTTAAGTCACACCTACCTGTGGGTGGCAACAACTCTGCTGCCTCAGCGAGCACAGCCAACACTTACATACATCCACCTGGTCAGTACTACTCATGTTTTCCCCTCACTCAGGGCCATCTTTAATATTGATTGGACCCTGGGCAAACATTTTCTTCCCCCCCCCCCCATGCAATTTCACTCTCCACCTGCTCTGAGACATACAATAAATAGCAGCTAAACTCAAAATCAAATACTGGCTGGTTGCTAGAGGTTACAGCACACATTATGGTTCACTGATTAGTAACCAGAGGGTACAGCACATGATTTCTGCTTACCGCTTGGTTGCTAGAGGTTACCGCACATCATTACTGGCCACTGATTGGTTGTTAGAGGTTACAGCACTTAATTACGTCTTACTGATTGGTTGCTGAAGGTTACAGCACATCATGGACTGAGAAGGTTAGGGGACCCACCAATAGACAGACAGAAAACTCCTAGGACTCCTGTGATCAATGGCAGTGCTGGGGAAAGAGTGTGATCAGTGGCAGTGGTGGAGGAGATGGGATCAGTGATAGTGGTGGGGAGGAAGGGATAAGTGGCAATGCTGAGAGAATGGGACAAGGGACAATGCTGATGGTGGGATGGGATAAGTGGCAGTGTCTGGGGGGATAGAATCAATGGCAGTGCTTGGGGTGGATGGAATCAGTGGCAGTGCTAGATGGGGATGGGAGGTGACATTTCTACACCAACCACTAATATTAGGAGGGATTAAAACTGGTGACCAATATAAGGAGGATTTAGACTGAACACCAATGTAAGGGCAATTCTGCACTTACCAATGTAAAGGGAAATTTGCACTGACCACCAATGTAATGAATTTATACTGACCCAGTCCCCACATGCAATCCAGCGATCTCCCAATAACCCTCCAATTCCCCCCCCCTTCTTCCCCCCAATATCCATTTCTATCCCAACCACCCCATCCCCCAATCCCTATTCTACCCCACCCCAAACTACACTGTCCTTGTCCTTACCCCCCACCTCTCCCCACCCTGCTCTCATCTCATCCATAAACTACCCTGCCCTCATCCCACCCCCAAAGTTCCCCCGCCCCACAGATCCTAATCCCTCATTTTCCCCCCGAAACAGGTTGGCTTTTCAAACTTGTTGCAAATTCCAATAAACGCCTTTCAACCTGTATTTACTGGATGGTGGGCAATCCTTTCAACCTACTCTTCTTAGTAACTCCTTTGCAATTAAATGCTAGGGTATGCTTTGGATCACTCAACTGAAATGGGTTACTTGGATGAGTGATAAAACATCTTCAACTTTACAGAACGTGTCTACTTGAACATGAGTCACTACTACCAGCTAGCCGTTTTCTTATGTGTGCATTTTGGTTTTGGATGCACTGCTGTAAAGCTAATGACCCACACCACAAATTGTCTTTTAGGTCTAAAGCCCTGTTTGCTGCACATGAGTTTCATTGGAGGCTTGTGCTAGCAATTGTAAACTGAATGGTACAAGACAAACTTTGACCTGCTAAAAATGTATGATGGCAGAACAGATGAGAACTGGAGCTGCAGAAATGTTAGACTCCAATATAAGGACTTCTACAGTTTACATTTAAAATAAAAAATACCAAGAATATGCTGCATAATATAATGCAAGTTTATGTCTGTAGTTCTCTATTATGTTTCATATTAACCAGCTAAAAAATAAAAAAAATATATAATAAAAAGCTTATAGAAGGTGTGCACCATTAATTGCCCCAATCTGTATATCATAGAACATATTACAGCCACGTGCAGGGTAGAACATGTAACATGTTACGAGCGGACTGGACCCCGCAAGAACCCCCCCCAAATCCTCATTGTGACAGCAGCAGGGGATAGTCTCCTCCCCATGACCATGGAGCGCCATAGTAGTTCATTGCTTCTTCCTGTGTTTCTGCTTGCCCGTACCGGTCTGTACAGGTCTGCAGGAGACCTGCATGGCACCAGTGATCTGCTGATCACTGGCATAATGCTTTAGAGGCTCCAAAAAAATGTGCATTTATTATTTTTTGTAAAAGGTGGACTTATCCTTTAAATACCTTCTCCTGTGTATGTTTGCCTAAAAAACAATTAGAGAAATTATAGCCATAAGTGAAGCTTCTCACATAGCAGATCTACATGTGCTTACCTCAATGGCAGTGAGTTGAACTACAGGACGGATACCTTGAGGGACCATGTAGAGTTTTGGAGCTCTCTGGGATGGCAGTATTGGAAGGTTGGATCCATCCTAGGGAAGTAATAATGACCAGTTACAGAAGGCTATATAGCAGTAATAGTATACATTCACTGGCCACTCTATTAGGTACACCTTGTTAGTGCCAACAAAATATCCCCCACATCATTACACCACCATCATCAGCCTGAACCGTTGATACAAGGCAGGATATATTCATGCCTTAATGTTTACGCCAAATTCTGACCCTACCATCTGAATGTTGCAGCTGAAAATCGAGACTCATCAGACCAGGCAACGTTTTTCCAATCTTTTATTGTCCAATTTTGGTGAGCCTGTGCGAATTGTAACCTCTGCTTCAAGGGTCGACGTGCTGTGTGTTCAGAGATAGTATTCTACATACCTTGGTTGTAACGAGTGGTTATTTGAGTTAGTTACCTGTCATCTCTAATCAGTCTGCCCATTCATCTTCACCACATCTAGATGCCTAAATGCATGGAGTTTCTGTCATGTAATTGGCTGATTAACAGTTTGTACTACCAAGCAATTGAACAGGTGTACTTAATAAAGTGGCCGGTGAGTGTATATGTGAATGGCCATGCTTCCATTTAATGCTTCCTGCCTTCTGTGCCATAGTGGAGGTGCTGAAGAAAAAAAAGCTATGGAACTTCACATAAAGCACAGTTCTTGTTCCAGGGTAACATGAGCCATTCACTTTCAATGAAAACTAAAAATATTTTCCAGTGCCATTATGGTTTGGTATAACTAACTCTTTCAGTCCATTCTGAGTTTTTATTACCATTTAAAAACAACACAATAATATAATGCTAATCAATAGAAGTATACTGTATTTTCCTAAAAATACAGTACAAATATTCTATTAGGTTGCACGCCTATTCGCACACAACTGCACTCACAAAACATTGGTCATCTCTACCATCAGTTGACCATTTGGTGACTAGGCAACTAATTCACGTGCTAAAACATTACAGAACTTTATCCAAACACCATTACATGTGCAGCCTAAAGATCAGCAAAGTCTAATAATATTAACATACAAAAAACAAAATATGAACCAATTTGCTATGAATCCCTTTATACTATATTAATAATCTTAAAACCTTGTCTCTTAGAATAAGTTCTGCAGCAATGAGGATGTCTCCGCAGTGTTTGCCAGCATTCAAGACTGGATACCACAGCATTTTTGGTGTAATATCAATAGGGGTCAATTTTACAAGTGGTGAGCACAAACTTCTTCCAATAAATTCATCTTTTCCCTGAAACAAACAGCACAAAATATATAAACGATGACATAAAAAAAAAAATGAAGAAATTAATACATCTTCAGAATACGGCCGTATACATACCACTTGATCGCTGTCAAATATTTCAATAACTACATTCGGTGGATTCTGAGCTACTGCTTGTGGATCTCCATAGATTTCAACTTCATTGAAGATCAGGGTTTGGTCCCATGTAGGGTTCAGAGTTGAATGGATTATCTCTGTAGTTTTACTGCGGTGGAGGAATGATACATGTGCATATGGGTCTGAACAAAAGAAAATGAAATTAAATCTGTACCTCCATGATTTAAAAAAAAAAAAAAAAAAAAAAGCTCTTCCCCATAGTTCTTACTTCATCTATACACAGATTCTATGGTGTGGAGCTGGAGTTATATCAGCTATAGAATGTGGTCAGCATCCATCATTCTAAATTTTCATTGCAAGTTAATGGCCAATCACAAATGAACAGCCAACACAGTTTTTGTTCCGTATATACAGAAAGCACTCTGCAGTGTAGTATTGGAACTCCTGGCATAAAGTAAAAAAGACTTGAAAGATTTTGTTAGACTTTACAGCTGAAAGAATACATTCATCTTTTGACCAAAAAGTAATAAATGCACTTTTTTTGCAGGTAAAAAAATGTGCATTAATTATTTTTGGTTTCAGCAGCCTGGAAAGCATTGCACCAAATCTCCTTCAGACCTGTTTAGTATATCTGCTTGCCCATACGAGATGTACGGGCAAGCAGATATACTAACAGGAAGAATCAATGAATTACTACAAGGCCGTGGTAGTTCACTGAAAACTACAAGCAGACAGCTGCTAATGCTGTCAGGACTTGTAGTTTTCTCATTCACAGAGGACTGTGAATGACTGACCTGGTCGGGAGGGCACACTGCGGGTTTTCAAAAAAGGTGTGTGATGGGAGTCACTTTTGGTGGGGGGCCCATTAAACCCAGCTCACCTGTCTCAGCTCCCCATATCCCTATTATGTGTAAGTCACCCTGTGCCTGTTAGGGTACAGGATGATCTGTCCTAATATTGTGTAGACATGTCTAGGAGATAGGTGGGGTGGGGGTTGTGGGTTGTTTGGTGTTGTGCGGCTGCATCCCATTGTTCAATTGTTTGTCTTGCTTGGGAGCAAACTATTATGGGATGTATGTGTTTATGTGTATTAGCTTAGTGGGGGGGGGGGGGGTCTCCAGCAGCCCTCCCTCCTGATGGGACTGTCTGCTGGTGTGAAGTTTGAATAATTGTGTGTCTCTTGTTAGTAAATGGAGATTGTCCCACCCTGTGTCATTATGTAGGGAGGGGGGATTGTTCCCTTGTCTCCTGAGTGTATATATCTTGTATCTGTGCTCAAATAAACTAGTCTACCTTCTGGCTTACTTCAAATCTGGTGTCGTCTGGATCTTGGGGTAACAATAGCCAGATTCATTGGTCTCATGTTCCAGAGCCTGAGAAGAAGCTTCTTGACAGAGAGAACCAGTCGTGGGTGTCTGGGGTCCGTTACAAGGTGAATGCACTTTTTCTCCCCGCAAAACACAGGCACGGCAGCCCAATCAAATGAATGGGCTGCCGTGCCTGCTCAAACAAGGGCCGCTCAGCCCACACAACTGTGAACCAAGCCTAAAAGGCGCATGTTATACCTGGGATTGCCCATGTCCTTAGCCATGCCCCAGCCAGCTCAAAGACATTACAAACTTTCACACATTTACTTTTTTTCCCCAGGGGAGCCATAATGCAGCTGGACCCCAGTTTTTGCAACAATTCAAAAAGTTAAACTGCCCCCCCCCCCCCCCAAAAAAAAAAAAAAGACCTCCTGATGTGCTAAGCTGCGGTTAATTTTTCTTTTATATAATAAAAAATACCCTCCTGAAACTCTTGCCTTGAAATGAATTGTGAGTTTAGGGAGGGTGTGCAGGGAAACTTTTTCACCTGAATTTTCTGTGGGGAATGAAAGTACCCAGCATCCTCTAACTTAAGCGACCCTTGCTGCTCCACCCTGTCCATTTGACCTTCAGGTAAGACCTACACTTCCTTACACATTCTGCTCACATTTTTAACCCTTTTCTGATCTGTACCTCCCATAAGTCATGTAGTCCCTCTGTCTATTTGCTCTTCCCTGAGTCTCACTATTATGGCAAGGTGCCAGTGCACTGGAATGAATGACTCCTGTGCATGCGGGAGCGATGTCATCCCATCAAATTAAGACAGCCAAAGACCAGCACCTAGAAGAAGCCAAGAGAAGATGCTGGTGCTGGTGAGGGACCTCACAGGCACTACACCACTGGAGTGGAGGTGAGAAATTCTGACTTTTGTTCCACTTTAAAGTGGTTGTAAACCTCAGTCATGAAATCTTAAAGCACATGCACAGTGTCTGTAGTATTTACTTGTCTATCTCCAAAGCTCATGTTATCAGCATGAGATACTTCTGAGAAATTTTCAAGACACAAGATAAAATTTGTGACAGGGGAGAGAGCTCAGCACACAGGTTATCTACTCAGAACACAGTTCTGCCAGTTCCTTCATTCCTGTGCTATATGAAGGGGGGGGGAGGGGTCATTTTCCTCCAATCAGCTCTCAATGTACAAGTTTTCTAACTGTAGCTCTTCGCCCCCTTCTCTGTGCTCCTGACAGATGGAGGATTTTATCACAAATTTGCACTTTTGAATGGATGTAAAGAAGAGAAGACTGCAGATAAACAATTAAAACTTATGTAGAAGGATTTGTTTCATCTCTGTGTATCATCTGAGGCAATTCACTTTACTGGGTATACGAGAGGGTTTACAACCATTTTAGGGCTTTTAGGGATCTTTATTTAGCATGTGACACATTTCAAATCTCATTGGACTTAGCTTAAAATAACGGTCACTATTTGTATCAATGAGGACCATTATACTGGTGTCTTTGTTAATTGAACTGAAGATGTCTCAATTATTTGGGAGTGGTAAGGAAGGGCTATTATGATTTAAATACATGTGACAAATTCTGTTTTTCCAGAAAAAAATAGCTAACACTAAAACCTACAAGTCAGATATACGTGTCAAGAGCATGACTGCATGTGCGCCCCTGTAGCACACAGAAGGTAAGTATAACATGTTTATTATTCTAGGTAAAAAATAACTTTAGAACTACTTTAAGTTACTAGTGTGTCCCTGGGACAGGACATAAAGAGAAATCTCCCTAACCAGGAAAACCATTCCCTACTCTGTTCAAAATGTATAAAGCATTGCCTTTCAATATACAGTACAGTACATTGTAAAGGTAAGCAGAGAACTCCTTACAGTGGCTGCACCTTTGCAAGCCAGTCTTCTGGTCTCTATGAACACAAAACAGACATTTCCTGTTGTCACCAGACAATAAAATCTACCAGCTGGAGCACATCTCAATTTTTCTGTATTTATGATGCCCCAACCCCCCATGAAAATGATTAAAGGGCTTAGGACTACTATTAGATGGGCATGCAAATCAACTTTTTTTTAACTCTAAAAAGAAAGGAGCAGGAGGGCCATCATAAATATTAACATTTCCTGTACAAATTGCAGTGGTTCAGTGCTGGAGGGCAACAAAAGGTTATCTATAGGTCATTGTGAAGTGACCTCGAGCCAGAAACACGATTTAAGTCACAGAGTGGACTGTAATAGCCACCAGTACTACGAGGATGAGACTTTTTTTTTTTTTTTTTTTAAGAATCACAATTTAGTAAATTAGATAACCATCACTCGATTCTGGGGATTCTCCACAGTTTTTACATATAAGCTCTGTTCTAAACAAAAAAACCTAATTAACACATTTGTCCTCTTGTCTTGTTTCTGAAGCTGATAACATGCCAATTAGCTGATCCCTTAAAACAAATATTTAATGCCAGAAAAATAATGGCTTCCACTTTGGAAATCTCCTTTTCAAAATGCCAAGTGTCAGGCTGTCATAATGACTACTTTTTTGCAATACATTGGGCCTCTTGTCCACGAAAATGACAAAGGTGTTCTTTGTCTAGCACTTTCACGTTTTTTAATCCACTCCAGTTCATTCACATGGTCCTGCAGCTCCATCTCAGGGGGCACTCAACAATGGCTAGGAATTATTGGAACCGTGCAGTGCCAGATTACCATTTAGGCATAGCAGACACCATTTAAGTACCCTGCGACAATGGATGCAAATAATATTAATTGATCTTGAAAAGAAAATTACAACCCCTGGCAAAAAGTATGGAATCACCTCTCTTGGAAAATGTTCATTCAATTGTTTAATTGTGCCTCAAAACTATTTTCATTTAACATTCCAACATTCTGGCTTTAAGAAAAACTTAAAAAAAAATTAAAAAAAAAAAAAGAAAAAACTGTAGTCAGGTACAACCGTTTTTGCAGATCAAGCAGAGGAAAAAAAAAAAATAGAATCACTCAATTCTGAAGAAAAATATTATGGAAACACCATGTACTTGTACCAAAACAAACATCTGCATTAGATTACATCTGCTAATTAGTCTGCTGTTACACCAAGCTGATTGACATGAATCATGGCTCCAACACAAGAGATGTCACTTGAAACAAAGGAGAGGATAATAAAACTTCTTCAAGAAGGTAAATCATCACCATGTAATGTTGCAAAAGATGTTGGTCGTTCCCAGTCAGATGTGTCTAAAATTTGGACCAAGTACAAATCAAATGGGAAGGTTGTAAAAGGCAAGCGTACTGGTAGACCAAGGAAGACATCAAAGAGTCAAGATAAAAAACTTAAAGCAATATAAAAAACACAACAAAACAAATGAGGAACAAATGGGCAGAAACTGGATTCAATGTCTGTGACCGAACTGTAAGACATTTCCTTTAGGCAATGGGATTTACATACAGAAAAACCAAATGAAAACTAGAATTAACACCTAAAACAGAAAAAAACAAGGTTACAGTGGGTTAAAGAAAAGCAATCATGGACTGTGGATGACTACATAAAAGTGATATTCAGTGATGAACCACGAAACTACATTGGGCAGTGTGATGATGCTGTAACCTTTGTTTGGTGCCGTTCCAATGAAATGTATAAAGACAACTGCCTGAAGAAAATGTACATGTCCACAATCATTGATATGGGGTTGCATGTTAGGTAAAGGTATGGGGGGGGGGGGATGACAGATGACAGTCATTAACTCTTCAATAAATACACAAGTTTATATTGAGATTTTGAACACTTTTCTTATTCTGTCAATTGAAAAGGATGTTGGTGATGACGACATTTTTCAGGATAATGCATCTTGATATAGAGCAAAAAAAAAAAAAAAAAAAAATTTCCTTCAAGAAAGACTTATGTCAATGGCATGGCCTGCAAATAGTCCAGGCCTCAGTCCAATTGAAAATCTATGGTGGAAATGAAAGAAAATGGTCCATGACAAGGCTCCAACCTGCAAAGCTGATCTGACAACTGCAATAAAAGAAAGTTGGAGCCAGATTAATGAAGAATACTGTTTGTCGATAGTTCAATCTATGCCACAGAGAATGCAAGCCATTATAAAAGCCAGCGGCGGTGCAACAAAGTACTAGTGGTGTACTGTAGTGTTTTTGTACATTTCATAATATTTTCCTCAGAACTAAGTGATTAAGTATTATTTTACTCTGCTTGATCTGCAAGTACAGTCGCAACTGACTACAGTTCTCTCTCTTTAATTTTTTAAGTGTTTCTTAAAGCCAGAAGGTTGGAATTTTAAAAATAGATATAGTTTTGAGGCATGACTGATTAGTTTTTTTCTACACAATTAAACAATTGAATGAACATTTTCCAAGAGCAGTGATTCCATACTTTTTGTCAGGGGTTGTATAATGAAGCTTTCTCAGAAAGAAAAAATTAATGGACTCTAAAAATGAAAAAAAACTTTACATTAAAGATTCTATAGAGAAAATACGGTTAATGTAATGTACCCAATAACTCAAAGTACATAAACCAATGACACAGGTTCAACTTTACAGTTTGTGTCTTAAAAGATCATCATCATCATCTTTCAGCTGTCATTTTGTAACAGGTTTTGGTGCAACCTACATATGTGTAAGGAAGGAGTAGCGATAGTCACCTCCATCTAGCAGCTGACATTCACACTACTTAGTTCAATGTTATCCCACTAGAGCACATGCAGAAGAAACCTCCAGAAACCTGTGAAGGGGGCCCCAAAGTTTCAACTGCCCAGGGACATCCACAGAGTTTACTCTGGCACTGGAGCCGTGACTTCACTCACAGGATTCTATGGCCCATTTGTTATTAGTGCTCCCTCTTCTCCCCTGCAGTAGCTCACATATTAAGACCACGGTGGAATAAAAATAAATAGTTAAGTACACATTTTTGTTTTTCAACCACTTAAATACCGGGCATTTTTACCAACTCCCCCCCTTGCACTTGGAATGACAATTGCGCAACCATTTTTTTAAATTATTTTTAAACACACTGTGACCAGAGCAATATAATGTACCATAACTTCTCTGGGGAAGTGATCAGGATTTATTTATTTATTTTTTTAGATTCAGTGCGTATTGTGATTAGCATGTGATAGCTATAGCTAGTCACATGGTACAGATGGGCTGTGATTTAAATTTAAATTGAGGATTAAGCAATGTTACTAGCTGAACAAATAGTCTTTAGGGTGGCTGTTCCTAAATAATATACTACAGCAGTAATTTTTTTGCCAAGGAACACTACAATACATTTTTTATTTTACTTCGTACATGACTTTGTGGTTTGTCAGGGGGCAGCTATTACAAGACTGGCTGAACAGTATTACATAGTTACTGGTAAAACAGGTCAGATAGATGTAGAACTGCGGTTTCTTTTTAGAATTAAGCTTTCAGGAACTGTAAAAGGTAGCAGGGAAGAGCTATAAACAATGATGTTTGGCATTTGTTGAGACTAAAGTCATACATTAAACAGCTGCTAAACAAAGCTCAATTAAATATTAAATATTTCATAACAAAACAAATCTAAAATCACTGTCACAGAGGACAGAAGGTTTAGGATTTAAAAGTAGATGGTTTCTCTAGCTTTTGAATTTCCTAGGAAATAGCTTGAAATTAAATTTAGGTTTTTATACTATGAGTTCTCAGTTTATAGTACTGTAAGTACTAGAATTGGGTCTTGACCTCTTTTCCACTACCTGCCAGTTGCCCTTTAAGTGAGTCTTAATGACAGGAGGTGGTGTCGCAATCATATGATCACAGTGACAGGCCCTAACAACAGTCACGTGATCAGTAGCCTGCCCTGCTGGCGCCTGATCACAGAGAGCAGCATTAAACATACTTTGTGGCAGCTGGAGGAGACACATAATCATGCATGCAACAAAGGTAATGAGCTCCACTACCACAATTTATGAACATAAAAGTAGCTGCTTAGCCATTTTAAGTGACCACCCATCTTCCTACCAGAAAAACTGTCCTTATCCATGGCAGTCAGACTCCGAGCTTGGTAAAGATAGCAGCGAAGGTGATATGTGAAGACACCTTTTAAAAGAAAAAAAAAAGAAGATAAAACCAAGATGAACTACTAGTTCAGTGTTGAAAATCACAAATACATTTTATAGGGTTTTTTTTATTCAACGTAAAACAATAGATTCCTATGTACTATGTGTCATAAGCTATATAAAAACAAGCCTAAATTATGAAAGGGGCCATATATACAGTAATAAAGTATATAAAAAAGTCTAGCTTTGACTTTGTTTTGGATTACAGGGGTGTGGAAATTTAAAAAAAAAAAAAACAAAAAAAAAAAAACACTTTATTCCTTCAGGTTAACCTTGCACACGCAAGCAATTGGGTGCTCAGTACAAGCACATGCTGAGCAGCTAAATAAAGCTCCAGTGTCAGCGCCATTAAAGGCTAAATTCACCTCCAAAAGAAAGATAAATAATTACATCTTTTTTTGAAGTTAATATTTTTTTGCCTGGAAAGCTATGCACCAGCAAACACCTGATAGCGGGTGTAATGCATGGCCTCTGCAGACTGTCAGTGTAATCTGTCTGGTTGTACATCATGCAGGCAGTTTCAGAATGACCAGAAGAATCATAGAGCTCAACAGCGCTGAAGTAGTTAATTTAGAACTACAAGCTGACATTCGCAAAGGATGTGAGTTCTTGTAGTTCATTCATTTACAAAACTCTGAATAAATGATGCGGCTGTGTAGGCGGAACCAGGGGCGGACTGACAACTCATGGGGCCCCCGGGTAATAGGGGATCATGGGGCCCATGTCCTCGCCCACACTCAAACCACACCCAAAAAAGCCTATGAAAAGGTACTAGGGGCATCTCATGGGGCCCCCTACTGACCCTGGGCCCTCAGGCGGTGCCCGAGATTACAAATGGTCAGTCCACCCCTGGGCGGAACGTCTCTGCATCTGTGCTGTCACACAGATAGCTGGGATCGCCAAGCCACTGCAGGAGTGGAAACAGGTCACATGTTTTAGCCTAAAAACAGGTGGAACATGTAACATGTTCCCGAAGGTGGACTTATTCTTTAACCCTTTCTCTGTGCAAAAAAACTCAAAAACTTCTCTGGCACATTTAGACCTGAAGATTAAATAAAACCCCCATCACATTACTTTCTGAAAGCAGACACCCTAGAGAATAAAATTTTGGTAATATTGTGTGACATAAAACATTGGAACTACCACTATGGTCTAGGAAACAAAATTTCAGTAAACACCTTTATCCATTTTTTTTTACCCAATTTTGTTTTTCATCACATAGGGTACAAAGTCCCATGTGATTTTTTTTTTGTTTTTTGGTGACAGGTTCTCTTCAATAAGATATCCAGGGTGTAAATTCCCCAGATGTCTCACCTGTGTTCCACTGATTGTAATACAGTGCAGATCACACTGCATTACATTCTTTCCTGGCCTTGATGGCCGGGGACACTCACAACAGTGACCCGGAAGTGACGTCATACACTGCTTACATGGGGCCATTCAAAATCATAGTGGGGGGAGGGTGGAGCAGTGTGTGTCTGTGTCTAAGCAATCATGTGGCAGTGAAGCTGCCCAATTTCTTCTACATTAAGCCTTGCTACAGGACTTACTTGTGAGGTGGAAGCAAATGACCTGCCTGGGATACACAAATTGCACATCCCCGTGATTAATACTGCGACTAGAGTTTCTGATTTGCAAAAAATTAGACCCTTGAAAAATGTTTTCACTCAAGGAGTAACTTGTCATTTTAGCTGGCCATTCTGAGAAATTGTTCAAAGCATTCAGTGAGGTCATTATTAAAACAACTAATTTTATCCAAAGGCCTTTAAAATTAATCCAGATCTGCTACTTAAATGGATTAGACTAGTATTACACAGATCTCTTGTATTGCCTATTAAATCAACAAAAGAATAAAAAGGATACTGCATAGTTATATTTATATATACACATTAAATGTTCATCAGCCCATGGGGTTGCATGTGTGTGTGTATATATACAGTGAAGGAAATAAGTATTTGATCTCCTGCTGATTTTGAATGTTTGCCCACTCACAAAGAAATGATCAGTCTAAAAATCGAATGGCAGGTATATTGTAACACAGAGACAGAATAGCAACAAAAAATTCAAAAGAAATGCATGTCTAACAAATTATGCACTGATTTGCATGTTCATGAGGGAAATAAGTATTTGGTCCCCTATCATTCAGCAGGATTTCTGGCTACCAGGTGTCTTTCATACAGGTAAACAGATTAGAAGCAGTCTCTTAAAAGGGAGTGCTGCTAATCTCATTTTGTTACCTGTATAAAAAGACACCTGCCCACAGGAGCAATCAAACAATCAAATTCCAAACTCTCCACCATGGCAAAGACCAAAGAGCTGTCACAGGATGTCAGGTACAAGATTGTAGACCTACACAAGGCTGGACTGGGCTACCAAACTATCGCTAAGCCAAGCTGCTTAGCGAATGATTGCACCAACTGTTGGCGACAACAGTTGGTGCAATTATTCGCAAATGGAAGAAACACAAAACTGTCAGTCAACCTAGGTCTGGTGCACCATGCAAGATCTCACCTCGTGGAGTGTCAATGATCAAGAGAACAGTGAGGAATCAACCCAGAACTACACGTGAGGATCTTGTCAATGATATCCAGGCAGCTGGGACCACAGTCACCAAAGAAAACAATTGGTAACGCACTACGCCGACAAGGATTGAAATCCTTGTCGGATTGAAGGTCCCTCTGCTCAAGAAAGCACATGTCCAGGCCTGTCTGCACCATTCAGATGGTCAGTGGAAAACTTCAGAGGAGGACTGGTTGAAAGTGTTGTGGTCAGATGAGACCAAAATCAAGCTCTTTGGCTTCAACTCAACTCGCCGTGTTTGGAGGAGGAGGAATGCTGCCTATGACCCCAAGAACACCATACCAACTGTCAAACATGGTGGTGCAAACATTCTGCTTTAGGGGTGTTTTTCTGCTAAGGGGAGAGGACAACTGCACCGTATCAAAAGGGACAATGGACCGAGCAATGTACCATCAATCTTGGTGAGAACCTTCTTCCCTCAGCCAGGGCATTGGAAATGGGTCATGAATGGATGTTCCAGCATGGCAATGACCCAAAAGACCGAGGCAACAAAGGAGTGGCTCAAGAAGAAGCACATTAAGATCCTGGAGTGGCCTAGCCAGTCTCCAGACCTTAATTCGATTGAAAATCTGTGGAGGGAGCTGAAAGTTTGAGTTGCCAAAAGTCAGCCACCAAACCTTAATGGCTTGGAGAGGATTTGCCAAGAGGAGTGGGCCAAAATCTCTCCAGAGATGTGTGCAAACATGGTGTCCAACTTCAGGAAACGTCTGACCTCTGTGATTGCCAACAAGGGATTTGCCACCAGGTACTAAGTCATGTTTTGTGAAGGGGATCAAATACTTATTACCCTCATGAACATGCAAATCAGTGCATAATTTGTTAGACATGCATTTTTTTGTTGCTATTCTGTCTCTCAGTGTTACAATACACCTACCATTTGATTTTTAGACTGATCATTTCTTTGTGAGTGGGCAAACATTCAAAATTAGCAGGGGATCAAATACTTATTTACACACACACGGCTTTTTTTCCAACGGGAATGCAGGGGAACGCAGTTCCTGCACCTCCAGGACTGAATGTATGTAATGTCAATGGGTGCTCAGCAATCTATTGTTGCTTGCTGCTTGGGGATCTATGGTCAGTGAAGGGGATCTAATTTTGTGTGGTGGTCTATTGTTGCTGGTGGGGATATATTGTTGATGGGGGTCAATTGTTGCTGGAAGGTATCTACTTTTGAGGGAGGGGTCTATTGTCTTGTCTATTTGGAGCTGGCTGCTGTAGAGTCTATTGATGCTGGCTCCTGTGAGATCTGCTGTAGCTGCTGGTCTATTGTTGCTGGGGTGGTATTTTGTTTTGGAGGTCCATTGTTGATGGAGGAATCTATTGATGCTGGGATGGGGGAGTTCTATTGCTGCTGCTGGCTGTGGGGGATCTATTTTTTTGCTTTTCTTGTCATTAACAAATTCCATACAATTATTTAGCACCACAAAATGTTACTTGGCTCTGTATTCTCTAAAAGGAGAAGTACTGGGAGGTGGGTAGGGTCAACTGATGGTGCTCAGAGGTGGGTAGGGAGCGGAGACAAAGTGACTCAGAAGGGGGAGTTCCTGTGCCTATTTTTTGAGATAAAAAGCCCTGTACACACACACATACATACATACATACATACATACACACATTATTATTATTATACAGGATTTATATAGTGTCAACATTTTGCTCAGCGCTTTACAATATATATGTACACACACACTTATTCCTTCATAAATTCCTATATCATACATAATTGCTTAAAATATGAATGTTTGTCACCATGTTCCATTTCCAGGTGAAACTTTTTACCAGCACTTGTGGATTACAATAAGTATGATTTTTTTCCCAACCGAGGGTCCCATTAAAAGAATTTGGTTTGTTCAGATAAGTCTACTTTGCAGGCACTTCTTTGCACATGTATTTACCCTCAGATTCCCCAGAATGCATATCATCCATATTATATTAATTTTTATGTGATTTAACAAATACTGCTTCTGCTTGGATAATTAATTCTTGCAGCCAAGAGTGTCTAGATCAGGGGTGGCGGACAAGTTAGACACAAAGAGCCAAAATTTTAAACTGTGAAAGTCAGAGAGCCACACCACGCAGTGACCTGCCAAAAACAGACAAACACTCACACAAAAAACACATAATTAAAACCATATTATTCACCATAACACTTTCTTCCCCTTACAAAACAACGTGTTCATTTCAAGGTAAGTGTCCACCCTCAACACACACATCAAATGCAACTTAGCCAGAGTTAACACATCAACTACCCTGGAGGTTGCTGTGGCACCTGTCTCTCTCTCTCTCCCTTCTCTCTCTCACTCTAACACACAAGTATACAAAAAAAAATTCTGAACTAATGGACTGCAGACACAGCACAGGAGATGACCAGAGACTGCAGACACAGCACATGAGATGACCAGAGACACTGCAGACACAGCACAGGAGATGACCAGAGACTGCAGACACAGCACAGGAGATGACCAGAGACTGCAGACACAGCACAGGAGATGACCAGAGACCGCAGGGACAGCACAGGAGATGACCAGAGACTGCAGGGACAGCACAGGAGATGACCAGAGACCGCAGGGACAGCACAGGAGATGACCAGAGACCGCAGGGACAGCACAGGAGACCAGAGACCGCAGGGACAGCACAGGAGATGACCAGAGACCGCAGGGACAGCACAGGAGATGACCAGAGACCGCAGGGACAGCACAGGAGATGACCAGAGACCGCAGGGACATCACAGGAGATGACCAGAGACTGCAGGGACATCACAGGAGATGACCAGAGACTGCAGGGACAGCACAGGAGATGACCAGAGACCGCAGACTGCAGGAGATGACAGACCGCAGGGACAGCACAGGAGATGACAGAGACCGCAGGGACAGCAGGGATGACAGACACAGGGACAGCACAGGAGATGACCAGAGACTGCAGGGACAGCACAGGAGATGACCAGAGACTGCAGGGACAGCACAGGAGATGACCAGAGACTGCAGGGACAGCACAGGAGATGACCAGAGACTGGGACAGCACAGGAGATGACCAGAGACTGCAGGGACAGCACAGGAGATGACCAGAGACTGCAGGGACAGCACAGGAGATGACCAGAGACTGCAGGGACAGCACAGGAGATGACCAGAGACTGCAGGGACAGCACAGGAGATGACCAGAGACTGCAGGGACAGCACAGGAGATGACCAGAGACTGCAGGGACAGCACAGGAGATGACCAGAGACTGCAGGGACAGCACAGGAGATGACCAGAGACTGCAGGGACAGCACAGGAGATGACCAGAGACTGCAGGGACAGCAGGAGATGACCAGAGACTGCAGGGACAGCACAGGAGATGACCAGAGACTGCAGGGACAGCACAGGAGATGACCAGAGACTGCAGGGACAGCACAGGAGATGACCAGAGACTGCAGGGACAGCACAGGAGATGACCAGAGACTGCAGGGACAGCACAGGAGATGACCAGAGACTGCAGGGACAGCACAGGAGATGACCAGAGACTGCAGGGACAGCACAGGAGATGACCAGAGACTGCAGGGACAGCACAGGAGATGACCAGAGACTGCAGGGACAGCACAGGAGATGACCAGAGACTGCAGGGACAGCACAGGAGATGACCAGAGACTGCAGGGACAGCACAGGAGATGACCAGAGACTGCAGGGACAGCACAGGAGATGACCAGAGACTGCAGGGACAGCACAGGAGATGACCAGAGACTGCAGGGACAGCACAGGAGATGACCAGAGACTGCAGGGACAGCACAGGAGATGACCAGAGACTGCAGGGACAGCACAGGAGATGACCAGAGACTGCAGGGACAGCACAGGAGATGACCAGAGACTGCAGGGACAGCACAGGAGATGACCAGAGACTGCAGGGACAGCACAGGAGATGACCAGAGACTGCAGGGACAGCACAGGAGATGACCAGAGACTGCAGGGACAGCACAGGAGATGACCAGAGACTGCAGGGACAGCACAGGAGATGACCAGAGACTGCAGGGACAGCACAGGAGATGACCAGAGACTGCAGGGACAGCACAGGAGATGACCAGAGACTGCAGGGACAGCACAGGAGATGACCAGAGACTGCAGGGACAGCACAGGAGATGACCAGAGACTGCAGGGACAGCACAGGAGATGACCAGAGACTGCAGGGACAGCACAGGAGATGACCAGAGACTGCAGGGACAGCACAGGAGATGACCAGAGACTGCAGGGACAGCACAGGAGATGACCAGAGACTGCAGGGACAGCACAGGAGATGACCAGAGACTGCAGGGACAGCACACAGGAGATGACCAGAGACTGCAGGGACAGCACAGGAGATGACCAGAGACTGCAGGGACAGCACAGGAGATGACCAGAGACTGCAGGGACAGCACAGGAGATGACCAGAGACTGCAGGGACAGCACAGGAGATGACCAGAGACTGCAGGGACAGCACAGGAGATGACCAGAGACTGCAGGGACAGCACAGGAGATGACCAGAGACTGCAGGGACAGCACAGGAGATGACCAGAGACTGCAGGGACAGCACAGGAGATGACCAGAGACTGCAGGGACAGCACAGGAGATGACCAGAGACTGCAGGGACAGCACAGGAGATGACCAGAGACTGCAGGGACAGCACAGGAGATGACCAGAGACTGCAGGGACAGCACAGGAGATGACCAGAGACTGCAGGGACAGCACAGGAGATGACCAGAGACTGCAGGGACAGCACAGGAGATGACCAGAGACTGCAGGGACAGCACAGGAGATGACCAGAGACTGCGGACAGCACAGGCATGACCAGAGACTGCGGACAGCACAGGGATGACCAGAGACTGCGGACAGCACAGGGATGACCAGAGACTGAGGACAGTACAGATGACTGCTGACCTTTGGGGAGGTGGGGAGCGGGTACCTGAATTTGACAGGTACCCGCTCTTACTTCCGCAGAGTTTTTGTTTGATCTTACCTGTTCCTCGATCCTGCCGTGCGCTGTCTTCCCGGCTTCTGTAATGGCGCTCGGCATGACAGCCGGGTGCCCAGTGCGCATGAGCGAGAAGCGCTGCGCTTTGTGATTTGTCCGGCGGCTTCTGGGATCTGTCATGTGTCCCAGGTACCGCCTTACCATTCACAAAAAGCACCGCTTCTTGCACATGCGCACTTGGCACCCGGCTGTCATGCCCAGTGCCCACACTACAGAAGCCGGAAGACAGCGCGCCGCTGGATAGAGGAACAGGTAAAAATAAGAGAAACATGAAACTTGGCAAAGAGCCACAGTATACAAAATATGATAAGAGGCAAAGAGCCGCATTCATTTTGGCCGGGAGCCGCACGCGGCTCGAGAGCCGCGTGTTCGCCACCCCTGGTCTAGATCCTCATCTGCTGCCAGGTGCCATACAAAGCTTCAAGACAAAACTTCACTACTATTTAGTAAAGTGAAGTTCTACTTACGGTCAAAGGTACAGGAGACGATTGGTGTGTTTGCCCCAAAAATAGCAGCTGCAGGTTCCTTCCCTTTCTTCTCTTCGTCCTCCGAACTCATGTCAGTGCCCTATGTACAGGTAATTACTGGTCATATGTAGCATTATAAATATTAGTAAAATCTCAAATAACACTTTAAAATTTCAGCATGCTTCCAGACTGAAAGTATATTCACATAAGATAACCCATATAACAATGCATAGGGTGACTAACTATATTTGTGCACTTGTAAAATGGCAGATGAGTACTGTAAACTAATAGGTAATTTTTCAGAATAAGCTCTTGAGGGTCTACCCCCTTATAGGTAGAAGCAGCACGTCATCTATATAATAATTAAAGTATGTTCTATAACCTATAGAATTACAAATACCTTTTTTGGAAGGTGCAACTTGCAGAAATTTATTACAAACAATAGATGTAAAATGGTTTCTAATGAGCACTGTAGGGAAATGATCTCTTGATATATTGCTGTAAAGTGTTAAAAAATAAACCTACACCAATTAACTCAATAAGATTCCACATTATTCTATATGCCTTGGAGCTTTTCCTCAAAAATGTGCTATCGGAGATTCAACAATAAGAGTTTTCCAAGCTCTTAGTCGATAAGTGCTGAAAAAAAACCCAGCAGCCATTGCATATGCTTCATACATTATAAAGGGACTGTATTGAACAATATAAATACAGACTTAATTATTGATCACGCTGGTTTCCTTGGTGGAGTACTGAAATTAAATTAGTCTAATCTTTTATAGGCAATGAAACACAAAATTACTGAGAAGGTAATGCTAACGTGGACTACTGAGATAATAAAGGAAGACTTATACGGCAATATATTTTCCTTTCTGCTTTCAGGGAAGGAAAGATTAAAAAAGGTACCAAGCTAAATGGGTCTTAAAAATTGTGAAACAAATCCAGTTGGTGTTTGGTAGCCCCAAAAAGGTGCAGTATGTGCAAAGGCGTCTCTATAGACTAGTGAGGAGTTTTGGCGTGTTTGGGCTAGTATCCAACCCATTTGTACAAACCTGCCAGGGAGATGTCATCTGAACTGAGTCGTTCACCTGTGGCCGGGGGCATTCTCCACCCTGCAGCCATGCACAAACAAGAGGTGTGTATATGTGGGGCTGCAGGGTGAGGAACACCCCGACTGCAAATCATTGGCCCAGTTGCTAGCCCGAAACACCTGAGCTCATCATTGGTGTAGACAAAGGAATTATCAATGGTTCTTCTGCATTATTAAAGGAGATTTTTTTTTTTTTTTTACAACAGTATTAAAACATCAGTGCATTTCATGATGCTGGGTAGACCACTTCTTCAGGGTTTAAGCACAGAGGATGTCCTCTGGCTAGTAGAGAGTGGCTGGAAGTATTCTGTAGTTAAAGGTGAAGTTTATTCTTGAGCATTATACACACAGCTAGATAAAAACACAGGACAAGAAATTATTTGCATCAGAACACTCCAAGAAAACCATCACTCCAATGTGAAATAAAGTAAGCTACCACAAATATAAAGCAGTCTGGAGAGCCAAAGAAGGGCACAGAACTGTAACCTGTATGGAAAGAATTTTTGAACAATTGCAGTTAACCAGTCAGGATCACCAATCTAAGCAAGCCCAATGTGGCCATGGTGGAAAATTTTGTAAACATTGGCTTAGAGGCTTTTTGATTTTGAAGTAATCCCACCACCTGATGAAAAATGAGCACCCATAAAGACCATATAAATCTGACTTCTCTCTCTCAGATTTCTCTCCATTCTCTTTTCCTTTCAATTCTTTTTTTCTCCAGTACTCACAAGAGCTCCTTCCAGTTTGAAAATAGCAGATGCTCCGAGACTCTCTGAAGGGGCCATTTTTCTTCTCCAGCGTCTTCGTCGGAATGTGTCAGAGCTTCGTTGTTTCAAGTGAAATTTCCAGCCTATGAGAGCTGCATATTCCCAGCCTTCCTGATCTTCTTGAGAAAGTATTGCCTACATCAAAACAAGAGAACGTAATAAAGCAGCAAGATAGGTGGTAAATATGTCTTAAATTTTTCAACCAATTACATCAGCTTTTGTAAGGCTCATCTCAAGTGATTTTTAATCAGGTCTGAAGACAACTTTGTCCTCAGTCACATTCCATGTGTAATAGACACACACACTAGCCTTGTTTATTAGTAATGACTTTGTTAGTCATGTGCTGAAATCACAGCTCATGATTGGCCACTTTTCTAGGCAATTTCAGTGATTCACCTTGCCATTACTGAGTATCAGTTTTGTCAAGTTGAAGTCTTGACAAGGTTTGAGAAAGTTTATTCTATCAATAGTACCTGTAGTCTTATGCATTCGCTCAGCTGTCATGGATAACCCCGTATTTTGCCCAATATGTTTATTTCCTATGATCATCATATAAGTAATGAGGTAAAATCTCTAACAGCAGCACAGACAGACATAAAATGTTTTCATTTTTTTAGAAAAGTTGAGAAAGGCTACAACTCCCATTAGGTTTTCACTGCTGTCCATTCCTATTGCAGATTTTCCCTCACGTCTGATAAAATTGTTGTAACATTGACAGTAAGTGATGGTAAATCTCTGTATGGAACCCAGAGAGCAGTAAAAAAAAAAAAAAAATTGTTTTGGATTCTTCCCCATCTTATCCAAAGCCAAAAAAAAAAAAGTTTTGAAAGAACATTTGCTTTAAAGTGTTACTAAACCCACAACAGTAAAATAAGGCTGTATATGCAGTAAAGCATGCTTGTTATACCCACTGTGGAACTTATAGGGTTAATCCCCTGCACTGTGTAAAAAGGATGTTTGATTCTGTCTTCTCTGATCCTCCCCTTCTTCCACGTTCCCCATTTCATCTCCTGATAGAACACAACCACGGGGGACACTCGGCACATGCTCAGTTTGGTGTGTACTACTAGAGAGTTTTCTTTTTCTTGGGAGGGTGCATGTGATCAGCACAGGGCCAATCACTGTCCAGACAGAGGGTCAGGGGTTATGCAGCCTCATAGGACAGTGAGAATGAAAACTCCTTCTATAAGCTTTAACCAGTGCTCAACTGGACATTGATAGAAGTCACAAGACTGCTCTATCTATTGATGAGAAAAGGTATTTAGCAGTTTATATTTACTAAAATAATTGCATTTCCGTGTTCTGTGTACTGTGGGAGACCAGATATAGTGAACGCAGGGTCCTGGATTTAGTAATACTTTAATGTCACTATTCCACATTTGTGGGGCTAACACACTGTACCGAGTCTTACCTTTCTGGCAGCGGTGACATTAGGGTCCTTTTTCCTCTTCCTCACTAGCCTCCGTCTCCTATGAGTGTGGTACATTTTCTCTGCAGCCACCCAAGACTTGGGTTTTGGATCTGGAGGAATGGTGATGCCATATTCCCAACCTGCAGGGATAGCCCACAACTTAGTGAATAATTATTCTGTTAAAGTGTTACTAAAGACAGATTTGTTTTTTTTCTTTAAATTAAAACAGGCTATACTCGCCTGCTCTGTGCAGGGGTACTGCATAGAGGGGCCCGATCCTCTTCTTGGGTCCTCCTCTTCTTTGTGTGTCCCCATAGAAAGCGGTTTGCTTGGGGATACACTGTGCTCGCTCCTGACCTGTGTTTCAACAGAGCCACTCTCCATAAACCTACACAGCAGGACTTAGCCCCCCCACGTCCTCTTCACTGCATTTGATTAACAGCAGCATGAGCCAATGGCTCTTGCTGCTGTTCAAGTCCCTGTGTGAGGAGGAAGAGGGAGAGAAGAGATGCAGCCGTGCTCAGCGCTGATTTCTTCTCCCCTCTCTTCACCTTCACAAAGGGAAGGGGGAACACGGGGAAACTGAAAATGGTTTTTTTTTAAGCTAATGCAAGCAATGCATTAAGGTAAAAAAACATTTTTAGGTTTATTATTACTTTAAAGGCAGACAAAAGCTGGGCTCTATTGACACACTTTCTTTAGTTTTGTATTGGAATCCCAGAACCAATATGAAGCCTGTGATGTCAAAGCAAAGCTTACATTTCTGATCTGAACATTTGTTCTACGTCAGTGATTAAGAAAACCAGTGGATTAATTTGACAGTCAGGCAACCAGCATTTGAGAAGTGCTTAGCAAAGATTATTTGTTAAGACTAGTCACAAGTCTCCAGAGTAATGGGCCCTAAACTAGGTTTCATGATCCACTGCTGAACGTCAGCATAAGACCAGCACAGCAAGGAACATAACTGTCCACTGTTCCAGGGGCTATTTCTGGCATTTAAAATAAACACCAGAGGATAGCCATAGCATATTTTCTCTGAAAAGAGCTTTAAGAGATCAGCCACCTAGGGAACGTAGAGTTTATCACCCAACTATAACTTATATTGTGAGAAGAAGTAAATTGCAACCATTGAGTAGTATTGCAATTTAGGAAGGAAGGCTTAAATATGTAATGGGCAAATATGGAAGCCTCGCAAGTTTTTAAAACAAACATAAAATAAAATTACATCCCACTTACTTTACAGATATACAGTATCATTGGAAAGCCTTTATACTCCTTTCAAAGCTGCATGTTTTCACCCCAACGTTTGCTATAATATCAAGTCACTGACCAAAAACAACCAGTATCAGGATGAGAACCTCAGAGCCTGTACATTCAAAAATCGGCAATGATAGCTTCCACAAGTTAGCGCTCACAGGTTACCTTTGCATTGAACAAATTCTCTTTAAAATGACAATTAAAGGCAAAGTTCACCTTTTCAGGCAGAATTTCAGTTTTTATAATAAATAGAAGCCCTTCTAATGGCTTTTTTTTACCCAAGCCATATCAATGTGCCTATCACTCATTTACCTACTCCATGGCAGAGTTGAACGTGAACCCCCTTTTTTTTTTTTTTAAAAAGATGTATCTCAGCCCTCGGTTTCCTATAACCTTATGTGATCATCCAGGAAATTAAATTTCCCATCATGCACTGCCTTACTGCAGCACAGAATTGGTTGTTTTTAGCTCTGTATACCACACCTTCCTCATTACTGCACCACTTTTTTTTATTTCCACCCACTTTTCTACTTAGGTACATGGGAGTGGGTGAACACAACTGTCATTGTTCTTGTAATCCAGCTCGGAGAGGGAAGGGGGGGGATGTAAACACACCAATTTCACTTTCAGGCCCCACTCACACCTAGCATAGTGGGAACGCACATTTTTTGGCGCATAGGACAGCTCATTGATTTCAATGGATTGCCCTATGCACAACAAATATGGTAAAGTACCAATGTGCCCAGTGTACTTCAGCACAATTAATAAACCGTATTATATCACAAAGTATACTGCTGCTGATACTAGATGAGTTCCCACATACAGTAAAAATTAAAATCAAAATAACGTGCTGCACAATGTGGTGCTAACAAACCAATATCACCGTGTACCATATAAAATATATATAATATAATAACGTTGTGTAATCAAAAATTGGAGTCCAACATTAAAAACCATTAGTCCCTAATAATGGAGGATAATCCTCCTTTCATTATATATATATATATATATAGTGATCCTCCACTTCAATACTATGTGCTCATAAACACCCTCATGTGTACTTCCTCCACCGACATACATATATACTCTCACCTCTTGTACACGACCTGTTACTTTAGGTCAAATAGCGCTTTTTCCCCTTTAACCAGGGTAGGTGTAGCGTTCTGCACTCTCCAGTGTCCAGTCCCCGGTATACTTTAATCCATATCCATTCTCTTGACCCATACACGATATATCCTCCAAATTTTAGACAAAGAATGCCATCATAGCGCATCAACTGTATCCACCAATATTTGTTTAAAAATATATATATTGCCCTCACATAAAAAGTGCCCAACTGGAGCACTACAGTAAAAGGCCTCCTGTTCCCTTAAAAAAAAAAAAAGCATCCCTGGTCACTCACAAGATGGCGGCTCACAAACTTCGGTTGTGTGGCTTGACGTCATCGCATTAAGTCACAACATGTGACTTCATCAGGGAATGAAGGATTCACGTTATTATATTTATATTTTATGCGATACACGGTGATATTGGTTTGTTGTTAGCATTACATTACACAGCACTTTATTTTGATTTTAAATATGGCAAAGTAGCTCATGAAGCTTTTTGTAATGTGCCAGTTTTTAAACGCACATTTTGGCAAATTTGGCAAAAGTTTTTGCACATGGGGAAAGGCACATTTGCTTCCGCGTTTGGGATGCCATTGACAATTGATGGCACCGCAACACAGGTTTTTCACGTGTTTCGGGATCAAATGCAGACACATGTATTTCTGCTTGCATTCCTGGGATGTGCAGATGTACATGAAGCCTCCATGTAATACCATCCTGGTACCCAGCAATGCCCCTTTAATACCCTCCCTCTTTGATGTGGCCACCTTGAAGCTTTGTGCAGGCAGCCCAAAGTAGTATATGCAGACAGTGTGACTGCATGGACACAGTCGCATGCAACACAGGTACATTAATTGTATAATGGTACATAGGGAAGCTGTACTGTTGAAAAAAAATAGGGTGAATTTAGCTTTTAATATTTATATATTAGTTTGGTGTCATACCTTTCTCATCCACAGCTCGGTTAATATCATAGGTCCAGGCATCGTCTTCCCACATCCATCCATATGGGCACTCAAACTCCCCCGGAGCCGGGCTCTTCTCTCCATTCTGGAAAAAAAAATTAACGTAGAAGAAGAAGTGAAGATAAATTATATTACTAAGAAGGCCGTTGAACCTAAAGCCGTATTAGCATCCAAACACAAAAATGTAATATATTGCAGCATGCTAATCCAGGTGAAAATAAAATAAAAAAAAAAAGGCAACAAATGGAAACTAATGCAACCACCACATTTAGGAACTAGTAAGCTGCAATATAATGCATTTTGTTTTTCGGTTTAAAGCCTAACTCCAGGTCTTACTGAACTTTAAAGTCATTGTAAACCTCAGACATGAAATATGAACAAAGCATATCCCTCTATAATGTGTACTTATCTCAATTTAGAGCACTAAGTGTAATTTTTGTCTGCTGCCTCGTTCCTCTGCTGTCAGCACTTCTGACAGGCTTTCCTGACACCAAGAGAAAAAATATGACATGGGAGGGACATCCAGCAGACTGACAACTTCAGCTCTGTTCCTGTTAGCTGTGTGGAGTGCGGGGGGGGGGGGGGGGGGGGGGGGGGTCTCCTCACTGAGCTTTGCAGAAGGTAACTACAGCTCCCTGTCCCCTGCTTTCTGACAGCTCAGACAAACTTTAGGAATTCTGGACTTTGAACAGATGTAGATGTAGCACCCTCTAGTGTAGTGTTTGCTGGTAAAATCATTGTGTATGACTCATGGTAACTGTGATTGAGGTCGGGTTTTTGTAGGTTAGCTGGATGACTTAACAGGTTGTGCCTCTATTGCCTCCTCTGGACTCTGGAGGACCATAGCATTGTGTTACAGCTATTCACAAGAAGCGTTGTATGTTATGAAAGAATCCATGGTTTCCTCTGATTAGCTAAGGTGGAGAAGCAGGAGCATGATGAAACGAAGTCAACCTCATCCAATCAGTGAAAGAATTGTGAGTTTCCATACTGCTGCTGAAACATAGCAATATAGTGGATGCTACATACAGTTCACAAAGCACTCCCAGAGGGCATATCTGTTGATGAAGGAAATAGTTCATTTGGACCAGCTTGGCCCAAATTAACTATTTAAATTTCACAGAAACTCGGAGTTAGGCTGTAATATGGCTTTAAGCTACTGAGCTTTGTAAACAATTGCTTTCTTCCAGGAATTAGGATAAGCCTTGTAAATATGAAAATGGGCACCTGGTAGCTTGAAATACTCATATACAAACCTAACAAAAAAACAAAATTAAAAATTAAACATATTAGAACGCCCGACTATAACAAATAATACAAATATACATATAAAAAAAAAAAAAAAAAAAAAAAAAAAAAAACTATACAGTCCTATTAAATTAGATAAAAGTGCATTTGATAAACAAGTGCAAACAGCCCATACATCACATCAGTATAGAAAGGCATGAAAAGAATTGGTTGGAATGGATTACTGCAATGTACAGATTTCCATGAACCTTGATTAAATAAGCCCACCAGTTTCTCGGCACCACATTCTCTTCTACATTGCTTCCATTACTTACAACATCTGTGTACGGCTCATCAGATTGTTTCCATTCACCACCAGGATAGCGGCTCTCATTCTGATATACTTCATCTGTGAACTCGCTGTGACCGGCGTCTGCTTCTGTTAGTAAGCTGAAAGACAGCCAAGGAATCAACGATTCAAAGACTGAAAACCAAAAAATGCAACTTGGCTAGTCTCATAATATAATCACAACATGAGGATTATTTATAAAGGGCAGTAAATTAATGGCTTGTTTTAATGTGTTGACATTTTCTTTTCAAATTTACAGAGGTGCAAAAAAAAAAAAAAAAAAAAAAAAAACCCAAACCCTATTTTTTTTTAATTTTTGCTATTCAACGTCCAGTAAAAAAATTTTAGAAAATCAAATTGTGAAAATTTTGGCCAAAATGTATTGTTACATGTCTTTGCTAAAAACAAAATCCCAATACATGTAAATTAATTAGTTTCTGTGAAAGTCATAGCATTTACAAATGGCGGTATATATACTGGAATTTTTTTTTCCTAGTAATGGCAGCGATCAGCGACTTATAGCTGGACTGTGGCAGGCTAACACCGGGAGGAACTGACTTGGTGTCACTGACATCCCCAGCAACATCAATACAGTGATCAGTGCTAATAAAAAGCACTGACACTGTACTAATGGCACTGGGCAGGAAGGAGTTAACATGTGGGGTGATCAAAGGGTTAATTGTGTGCCGTTTTACTATGTGGGCTGTGTGTGCTTTACACTGTAAGCACACGACTTTGTATGACAAATACTCGGAGATCACCGGGTGCCAGTGGGTGAATCATTGGCCGGACCCAGTGATTGACAGCTGAGGCTGCAAACGGCGGCGCGGGTAGGGCACGCACGGCAAACACATGCGCCCTATCCAGAACTGCAGAATCACGTATATAAAAGTAATTTTGCACACCCGTACTGCCCTGTAGCAGTATTTCTGCTATAGGGTGGCGCGGAAGTGGTTAAAGACATCAACACTGACTGAATTCCTCCCATGGAGCTATTGTGTTCTCCCAGCTGGGGGGGGGGGGGGGGGGGGGCACAAGGAGTCATCCCTTAGAGAGAACACAGCAACTACAGCTTGTGGCTTTAGCCACTGGCAATAATCGGATGCTAGAAATCTGACAGGCTGATTATACCCAAGTTGATCGATGGATCGACTTGGGCACAATCAGCCTGCCCATACATGGATTAAATCTCTGGCAATCCCCGCTAAACTGAACAAGATTTGAACTATGACCAGCTTGACTCCACTTTTGTTTTATAAAAAAAAAAAAAAAAAAAAAAAAAAAAAAAAGAAGAATCCTCTCTGGATGATCAATACATTACAGGGATTTAAAAAAAAAAAAGTTGTAGCAGATTCCCACTACAATATTTGTTGCTTTGAAGAAATAGCTAAATACATACTCATGCCAAGTGGGAGGGCCTGGATCCATAGAATCAACTGGTGTAATTTCTGTGCTCTAATAAGGAAAGTTGCAGGGTGTGCATCCTTCTAGAAGTAGTTAACCCTTAGCAGGAAATTGCATTTTTGGAGATGTTCTGTACACCAGTGGTTTACAGAAGGCCTCTATGTTGCCATATTACCATATTACATTGAAATTTAGAAACAAAAAAAAGTTCTGCACTTTGAAAAGGCGATTTGTAACAAAATTAAGTTACATTATTTCTTGTATAGCAATTTGTATATGTTATATTATATGGATTTGATTTTTTTTCTTTCACAAAAGTGGAGCTGTCCTTAGTGGGTCCTCATTTTATACCCATTCAGAAATCTGTTTTCCCTAAGCAACTAGACTACTGTTCTGGGCACTCCAAAATACATACTGTTATAATACATACTGTTATGTTAAATCGCTAGCCTCCAAAATTATTGCTGAAGAGCGAGTGATTGAATAATTGCCACAATTACACCATTTATACAACGATTATACATACATATTGCGATTGTATAATTGGTAGATTGTATATTTAGTAGCCAATGCTGGGGCAGGGATTGATAAAAATATTAAATAGTATATAAAAGTTTTGCAACTATTGATGACGCATAAAATGGGTAATAAATATGTAACCAGAACACCAATCCTCACATCACCAAACAGAATCCACACAAAGCCTCTACAGTTATGGAGTGGCCATCATTTTGAAGGTCTTAAAATAGCAGTACACTGTATCACTTGCTATGTATACATGAAGGGTTCATTCCCAAATGGGTGAAATGACAGTGAGCCTAGGTTCACATATATGTGGTGCGGGAAACAGCGAATCCTCTGAGTTTCCCGCACTGCCTCCAAATGCAATCTGCTGCAGGTGTCAATGTTTATAGGTAAAGTTGATCCAGGAAATATCTGACTGCCTCTTGGGGATCAGAAAGGAATTTTGTTCCCCTGCAGGAGCAAATTGGTTCATGCTTTGCTGGTTTTTTTGCCTTCCTCTGAATCAACTGTGGAGGATTGCAACTTTTTTTTTTTTGGTTGAACTAGATGGTCTTTTTGCAACCAGACTATGTAACTATGTTAAGTTAACCACTTGCCCTCCAGAGAATTTAACCCCCTTCCTGACCAGGCCATTTTTTGCTTTACAGCGCTGAGTTACTTTAACTGACAATTGCGCGGTCATACAATGTTGCACCCAAATGAAATTTACATCTTTTTTTTCCCACCCACAAATATAGAGCTTTCTTTCGGTGGTATTTGATCACCTCTGTATTTTTTATTTTTTGCGCTATATAAAAAAAAAAAAAAAAAAAAAAAAAAGAAAAAAACAGTATTTTTGACTTTTTGCTATTAAACATGTCCAGTAAAAAATTACAAAAATCTAATTTAGTCATACATTTAGGCCAAAATGTATTCTGCTACATGTCATAATAGGTGTAAATTAATTGGTTTACGTGAAAGTTAGAGTGTTTACAAATGGCGGTATATATTCTGGAATTTTTTTTTTTTTTTTACTAGTAATGGCAGCTATCAGTGACTTATAGGGGGACTGCGGTGGGCATTCTGACACTTGGGGGGGAACTGACTTGGTGTCACTGACATCCCAATGACACCAATACAGTGATCAGTGCTAATAAATGGATAAATAATGGATCAACTGTGGGTATAGGATTATAACTTTTTTTTTTTTTTTTTTTTTTTTTTTAAATAGTTGAACTGGATGGACTTTTGTCTGTTTTCAGCCAGACAAACTATGTAAATAATGGCACTGGGCAGGAAGAGGCTAACATGGAGAAATCAAAGGATTAACTGTGTGCAGTGTTTTCACTGTAAGCACACTGTTTTGTATGGCTCTGTTATGCAGAGCCATACAAAGCAGTGTGCAGGAACTGACAGGGGAGAGATTTGTATTGTTTACATACAGGTCTCTCTCACATTGGAAATCCTTGGAGATTGCCAGGTGCCAGCGGGGAATCACCGTCTGGGACAAGTTGATTGACAGCCGAGGCGCGCCCCCTACCCGGAACTACAAAATCACATATATATACACACATGTGATTTTGTGCACCCGTGCCACCCTGTAGCGGAAGCGGTTAATCACACCCCAAAAACAGACTGCAAAACAGTGCTATTGCCAGAATCTGATTGCATGGGTGTGATAACAGTGCGGCCAAATAAAAAAAGAAGCTGCCTGTACCTTTTCCGTATGGGTGCAGTTTGCTATGAACTATACAAAATTAACAGGCTCAAATTGAACTGCAAAGAATCACATGTGGTTTGAATAAGAATGCGGTGCAATTCCTTTCCGAATCATGTGGCGTCCCACACCACACATGTGAACCCAGGCAGACTGTCCATGACCATTGTGAAGCGGTAATGAAGTCTTCAACAAAATGTTTTTTTTACATTATTATAGACTTACCCGTAGAACAAAGCCCTCCAGTGGCTCCTTCCATGGGAGTCAGAATTGTAGTATAGCGCTCTGGATCGACAGCACATTCAGTGTGCCCTCAATGCACAGCACAGCACGCATGAGCCGATGATGTCACTGGCTGCAGAACTTGTGAATAGCTCCTAAACGGTGCATGTGTAGATGGTATTGACTGTACCTACATGTTCACGTTATTATAAGCTCACCTGTAGGAAGGGGCGGAATGACAACTCATGGGGCCCCTGGGCAATAGGGGATCATGGGGCCCGTGTCCTTGCCCAAACCTAAAAAAGCCTATGAAAAAAAAGGTACCAGGGGCATGTTATGGGGCCCCCTACTGACCCCGGGCCCTCAGGCACTGCCTGAGTTTCCAAATGGTCAGTCGGCCCCTGCCTGTAGGTACTAGTAACAAGCACGCTGTGTTTATTACTGATTTAACATCTATAATCTTGTCCCAAATTTAGCAAGTATGCTTGGCTATTTCTTTACTGGACCTTCTAGTGTCAATGACAGGTACAGAGCAGACATTTGGTACATCCCCAGCCCTGTTCTTGTGCCTTACATGAAGGTTTTATAAAATGAACAAATCATGGACAGAAAAAGACTTTGGAAGAAGTGTGAAAGTTCATCATTCTGCATAGGATAGCCTTGACTGTGCTGCCATCTTGTGGCATTTTACAAGAATGCCCAATTTATAGCACAAATGCTGCCAGTTGTGTCTACAACAAAGCTCAAATTATAAAGCATAAGGCAATATTTTTCTCAAAAAGAACCTTCTTCTGGAAATGTTGTCCGGATGCTATGCTGATCCCCCAGCATGTATTAAATATTTGACCCAAGTCGTCATATTCCTGCACACGAAGATCAGCATTAGTCAACACCTAGAATTATCAGAAGGTTGTAAATGGACGCACACCATGACAGGTTCTCTTTAATTTTCAGAACTGTGTTCTGGGGATCACTAACATAAGAGGAGACTAATGTTGGCATCGCATCACCTATTCAGGATGATGAAACATGATCCAGACACATGCACATCGGATTAATAAAAAAATGTTTTCACCAAAATATTTAGCAAACCCCTGCAATTCTTACCTCCTCTCAGGGTCCACATTCCAATCACCCTCCCACTGCCAACCTTTAGGTGGAAGGAAGCTCTCTTGTTTCAGCTTCATTGTTCCAGTGACATCAGAAAATTTGGGCCGCTTCAACAGACCTGTGGTTCCCCATTTGCCGAACATCAAAGCCTGGTTCTCATACTGGTCAGAAGCAACAAAAACCACATTTTTTTTTTACACGTTTGGCAAAGCCATAATTTTTAAAACCTTTATTTGTGAAGCATATTGTCAATATATGAAAAATAATATTTAAAAGAAAATTAAATAGAAATTTTAACGTGAAAAAATATCAATACAATTTTGTCTACTTTCTTTTAGTCTGTAAATTGTTCTGTTTAAAACGACATTAAAAATGGATTATTCTGGTACAAAGCATTGCAAAGTTATTTACAAATGAAATAGTGTTTTTCTTCCCAATTTTTGTGCATTTTAAAGTGAAAGAACATTATATATTAAATGTAACAGATCGGTTAAATGTAAAAATATTACCAAAACAAAAAAAGTTTAAAGTGGAACTTTACCCATAACAGCTTGCGAAAAAAAATAATGTTTTTTAGCAAAGCATGTGCACTCCATATTAATAATTATGCTAAAAAAAAAAAAAAAAAAAAATAGTCTGTGCTGCAAATTGCCTCCCGCATTCTTGTTTCAGGAGGCTGCTATTTTACTGGAGTCCGGAGCAGCAATAAATCTTTAGGCCATCAGACATTTTTGGCACAGTGCTGAAATAGAGAGCATCTGAACATGTGTAGAGCAGGGTAAGAAACTATAACTGGATTTTAAACAGTATAAGCACTTGTTTTTAATGTTTTACAGCTACACCTGAAATGACCTAGCAGGACTCAAAGTGTTTTTACCTTAATGCACTTTATGCTTTAGCGTAGAAAACGTTCTGGGTGTAGCTCCTCTCCCAGACACCACTTTTCCCAAATACTTACTTGAGCATTCACTCTCGATTCAGTGATGTGCATGAGAGTAGCCACTCTGCAGGGGCTCTCTCTCTCTCTCTCTCTCTCTACTCTCTACTATATTTGTTTCGTTTCATATTGGTTTGTTTAGGTTACCAATTTTGTTTTTGTGGCATTCGTAACAAGATTCCTTTTGTTTAGTTTCGTTTTGTTTATTTTTCAACCAGATTCAAACTTTTCTAATGGATTCAAAGTATTGGAATGCAATTCAAATCGATCAAAATTCAAGGTGAAGAATAGCTGGTTTTATTCTGTTCAAAATTTGAATTTCAGAAGACAGCTGTATTTTATTCTTTTCTGTTCTTGTCCTTGATTTTCTATTCTATTTTCTTCTTTTCTTTTCTATTCTATTTTTTGAAATTCAAATTTCGGAAGACAGCTATATTCTATTCTTATCTTCCATATTTTTTTATTTTCTATTCACTTTTCTATTCTTTTCTATTCTATTTTATTCTATTCTTTTCGAAATTTAGAAGACGGCTATATTCTATTTTATTCTAGTCTATTCTTTTTTCTTCTATTCCTTTATTTTCTATTAAACTTTTTTCTGTTCTATTCTTTTCAAATTTCAGAAGACCGTTATATTCTCCTCTTTTCTCCTTTCTTTTCTATTTTATTCAAGGTTTTTTTTCTATTCTACACTATTCCATTTTATTCCATCCTAGTTTCACGCTATTCTATTTTCAAAATTTGGAAAACTGCTATATTCTAGTCTATTCTTTTATAGTCCTTTATTTTCTTTTCTAGTCTATTTTATTCTATTCTAAATTTGAATTTCAGAAGATATTCTATTGTTTTCCCTTATTTTGTATTTTTTTTAAATGTTATTCTTTTTGAAATTTGGAAGACAGCCATAATCTATTTTATTCTAGTCTATTCCTGTATTTTCTTTTCTAGCCTATTTTATTCTAAATTTGAATTTCGGAAGATGGCTATATTTATTATTTTCTATTCCATTATTTTAACTTCTATACTATTTGACTTCTTCCCTATTCTATTCAATATTTGAATTTTGTAAGATGGCTATATTCTATTTCATTCTATACTACTCTATTCATTTTCTACTCTGAGCTGTGACTATGTGTCTTATGGACACAGAGCAGTGGCCCTGGGACTATCACACAGCGTTGCCCCCAGGGCGAGCAGCTTCCCGTGGGGGCACTGCTCGAGGAGGAGGAGCACCAGCAGGGACCACAAACGAAAAGGATCGGGGCTGCTCTGTGCAAAACCACTGCACAGAGCAGGTAACTATAGACATGTTTGTTATTTAAAAAAAAAAAAAAAAAAAAAAAAAAAAAAAAAAAGCTTTAGTGTCACTTTAAGCTCCAGAAAGTTTTATTCCCTTAATGACTAGGCCATTTTTTGATATACAGTATCGCGCTACTTTAAATGACAATTGAGCAGTCATGCAACACTGTACACAAATGAAATTTATGTCATTTTTTTTCTCACAAAAATATTTTTTACTTTCTGCTATAAAACATTCAATGAAAAATTAAAAAAAAAAATCTAATTTCTTCATAATTTAAGGCCAAAATGTATTCTGCTACATGTCTTTGGTAAACGAAAACTCCCAATAAACATATATTGATTGGTTTGCGTGAAAATTATAGCGTCTTAAAACTAAGGGATATATACTGGGGTATTTTTTTATACCAGTAATGGCAGCAATCAGTGACTTATAGTGGGACCGAAACAGTGCAGCGGGAAATCTGACACTGACTCCTTGTGGGTACTGACTGACAGGGACATCACCAGTGACATCAATAGAGCGATCAGTGCTAAAAATATACATCACGGTTTTAATTACTGATAAGGGGTTATCCTCTAGGATGATCAAGGGGTTAACTGTGTGCCTAGCAAGTGTTAATGTGTTGACTGTGAGGTGCTTTTTACTAAGGGACGTGCCAGTTTTTATTTCCTGCTTTACAGGGGAGAAAAAAAATGGCACATTGCCACTGTCAGTAGAGAGCTTCGTGTTTACAAAAACAGAACTCTCTCCTGCCAATCACTCCACCGATCGGTAGATCCCAGCCATAGGTCATTGGCAAGGAGTCGTCCATCAGCATGTGCTGGTGATAGCACAGCTTGGCGGGCCCGCACGCCCCTACGTGGAAATGCAAAATCACTTACACTGTGAATTGTTTTTTTATTTTCACTTAGATGTTGTAAGTTGCACTGAGTGAATAAATTAGAACAAAAAAAAAAAAAACAAACCTGTGTATATTATATATAGATACACACACATACATATACAGTGTACATACATACACACAGGCCTCAAAATTTCCACTAGCCTGCTCGCATATGGCAAGTGAAAATAACGTGGGGGGCAAGTGTGTCCCACAGGGTCGCCTGTACAGCGGCACTGGGAGCTGTGTGTGTACATGTGTGTCTGTGTATACAGGTATCTGTGTATGTATATGTGTCTGGATATATATATATATATATATATATATATATATAAATACATATATATATATATATACATACATACATATATATACATATACATATATACATATATATATACACACACATACATACACACACACACACATACACATACACACACACACATATATATATACACATACTGTACATGTATGGGTGGTTTGGACAGGTTCAGGATTATGTGGTGATTATGGGTGATAGAGTATGGGGCATTTGAGGTACTGCTGGATTGGATAGAAGGTAGGATATGGTTTTTAGAGTTATGATTTGGTGAGTGAAAGATTATGGAGGGTTATGGTTGTATGCGGTGCATGGTCTAAGTATGATTGAGTGTTTAGGGGGACATTGGGGACCCTGATGTAATGCAGGGAACATTTAACAGTGGGTGAAGCAGCCAAGCAAAAGCGACCTCTGGCCTTACCCACAAAAGAAATATTAAAAATTAAAATGTATAAAGAATCAATCTCACCATCTCTGCATACACGCTGAAAGTCCCCTCAGCATAGCTATTAAATTTCTTCTCCACTGCGGATAGTCCCAACCAAATGTTGACTCTCACCTGGCAAGGAATCTTCATGCCATGGTTTTTATCCATTGGGTACTAGGAGTGAATTTCAGAGAACGTAGACAAATGTTATGACAATGGACGCTCACAGCTAGGCATTTTTGTATTTGTAGAAAATACAGACCTATCTGGGACACAGTAAATACTTTGGAATACGGAACAAATCTATGATATACATCCTTCTGATGTATACTACTTTGGTTAGGTTGAGGAAGTTGTAGAATGTCACTTATCTTTTTCTCCACTCTTACAACTTTTAAAATGACTAATGACTAATACCTCTATCCTGAGCTGCATTTTAGCGACTTGATTCCTACCTGTAGGAAGATGGTCTGGGTCTTTCCACAATATTTTCCACAGGAATCATCACTGGTGGTAGAGAAAAGGACTTGGTTGGCCGGGATACGAGCACAAGCCAACCGCTTCTCCGCTCTGATCATCCAGATGATCACATCAGGCATACTGTTTTGTGGCTGGAAGAAATGAACACCAGACATTTTCACATAAAAAGATGATAAATATACAATCTTACAATGCTTTTTCAGAATGCTTGTATAATCAGAACATCCTTGTTTAGAGGAGAAACTGGCTTTATAGATGTCATAAGAAGGTCACATTATAAATCCACTTCCAGCAATTCTTTAACATTTATGGCCAAATTAAAGCGGAACTTTACCAATAACAATTTGATTTTAAAATAATGGTCTTTTCCAAAAACATGCATTCCACATTAAAAGTTATGCTACCAAAATTAGTGTGTGCTGTAAATTGCCTCCAGCATTGTTCTGCTTTCTTCTTGCTGGAGGCTGCTGTTTGGCTCAATTCCAGAGCCCCTGAGCAGTAGGAAATCAGCATATTGGCCTCTACATTTTTGGCAGTGGGAAAAAATAGAGAGCAACCGAGTATGTGCAGAATGGGGCGACACAGTGTATTACTGGATATTTAACAGTATAGGCACTTATTTTTAATGTTTTACATAGCTATACCTGTAAAAGGGGCCATACTGAAATAATCTAGCAGGACTTAATTTTCTGACTAAAGTTCCACTTTAAGATACATAATTGTGACTCACTAGAGGTAACTATCACATCCTCCATAACCTTTACAACTACACATCACATTACAAAACTCAGATAGGTAAAACCTAGTACCCAAAAGGTACCATGCTTTTTCAGTTGGGTCACTTAGAAGAGCTTAGCTTACATAGGTTGATGGAGCCAGCACTTCCAAAAAATAAAATAATAGGACTGCATATGACATACTGACCTCCTCTGATATTTGTTGCAGCCTTTCCAACCAGTCCTCTATCTCTGGCAGTGTTGCCTTTACATCTGTGGCTTCTTCTCTCATCTTGACTGCGGCCTCCCCCATCAACTTTAGAGTTGTTTGTCTGAGCTTATTTAGCTGAATATCCAGCATTGTGACATTGGATTTTCCATCCATAGAGGGGAAAGGCTTCCTAAACAAGGGACAAAATTACAGAGAAACATTGAACAGCTAAATTAAAGCAAAATTTGCAAACATAGTATTAAGTATAACATTAATATCTAATTTTATTTACATTTACTTTTAAATTAGTGCAATGAAATCAATGAAAAGTGCTCTATGAATTGGGGATGGTGGTTGAAAGATCCACCTCCTCTATTCATAGAGCGCTGCTCTTTGCGGGAAGGTATAGTACAGCTTCTGTGAATGCAAGAGGGGGACTGGAAAGGTAGCACATAGTTGGTACTTTTGACAAGTGCCTAAGACAGGTCCAGTGGCAGTATTAACCCCCACAACAACGGAAAAATTACCACTGCAGGGGTATTGGGGGGGGGGGGGGGGGGGGGCGACTGGCAAAGGCCTGAAGATATCAACTAAGACAGCAGCCTCCAGCACAAGTTGAATGAAAGTACTGTCCCTTGTGCTGATTTTACATATTTAAATAAACGTACTTTTTAAGTGTCAGACTTTTCCTAAAACTGTGAAGAACAGCCTAAGAAAGCTCTGCCTCAGCATTCTATACATCTATTATGACAGCAGACAAAATATAACCTCATTCCACTTGGACCTGCAAAAGCCTACATAGCCACAAGGAACAACATGTCTAACACATGCTATATATAAATTAGATTACTTTACTGTCCTTTCTTCAATGGAACACGAATCCTGTCCTTTGAACAAGCAATGTCAAGTAGGGCAGAAGATAACGAATTATACCAAGTGCTCCAAACATTCTAAATATTGATCATAAAGAGGGGGATCAGTAAAACGGTGCATAGAAAACAAATACTTAAACCTGCAGCTACAGTGATCGTCATACAAAAGCAGTCATTTTACATTCATTTATCTAGTACTATGATTTTTATATGAATGTTTTGATTATGACAGACCACTTTTATCATTCAAAATAATAAATTAATTTATTTTTATTATATAGTACCAGTCACATAGGTTTTATTATTTGATCATGTACTCTTAATTGCTTATTTTAGCATCCCATTTCAGATGAGAATCATAATGCGGATTACATTTAAGCCCTAATAAAGGGAGCAAAGTTTACCCCATGAAATGCATTGGCTTTGTGTACAGTTTTCATCTGATTTTACACTGGAATAAAACGAATCTGGACTATAACAGTATGGCACTTCATTTCTAGATTCATTCTTTCCAGTCACAGCCTAAGGTAACTGTAGAAGCCCTCCACTGTTCAGAAATAACCAGCATAGTGTCCAGACATTGTGTATCAACATGATCGCTAAAGTATTGGGTGATAAAGCTTCAGGGGTCCAGTGCCATCTATCCATTCCCCGTCTATCTAAAACCTGATAGGTGTTTTATTCCCCCCCCACTACATTTTACTTTAGACATACTTTAGCCAGTTTTATAGTAGAAACACATCCTTCATCTTGGTGTACAGATACATACTGTACATATAGAACATTCATATGGTGTATGCACCAGGCATGACTAGCCAAGATATTTCACAATCAAACATGTTAATAGAGATACATACAGAACGTCCTCTATCAGCTGGTCAATTAATCTCAGCCATATCTCTGCCAGCCGAGCCTCGGGAATCTTGGCCTGGATTGCGGATTTTAAGGAGGCAATGTTGGATTGCTGCAAACAAGAATTTGAAAACATTTCTAATTAAAAAGTACTAAAACATCAGTTCAAAATGCATTAAAAAAAAAAGTTAACTGTTAAACCTGAAAATCTAGTGAAGAGTGTTATGCTTTACACATTTAATTCAGTTAATCTAGACAAACCAAATAGTCATATTACATAGACTAGTAGAAAAAAATATGGGCAATATAGATTAGTGAAAAATTACATAGTAATCTTACCAGACGTTCCATCATAGTCAGCAAAATGTTAACAACATCTAGACGATGACTAATATCTTCCCAGTAAGATGTCAGTGTTACTACAGGTTTAGTGGCTGACCATGGGAGATAGTAATAGAGGTTTCCTGTAAGTGTATAGAAGTAAGTTATCTTCCAGACTTATGGTAAATGGATTTACATGCAATATATAACAAGCGGTAATGGCTTTCTTCAGAATATTTAGGGTGTCAATAGGCTTTGGGCTTGTGTTGATGACATCAGTTTGACAGGAGTTTGAGAGCTTTCTGCAATCACATTTCATTGACAGTTTATTGACAGGTGCATTTGGCCTGCAGTTCACCTCCTTCTGACCTGCATTTGATCTGCTTCAAGAACGTTTTGCATTCTTATAGAATTGTATAGGAATGCAAAATCCATCTGGTGCAAACAAAAGTCCATCAACACAAGCCCTTAATGTTTCAGCATAGGAAACATCAGGTTTAAATAATATTGCCAAGCATGATTACATTTAACATTGCCCTAAGGCAAAATAAAAAACGGGAAATAAAACCAGGGAAAACAAAAAAAAACAAACATTCTGTAAAACAAACCCAATTCCATTGCTTCCTGGGGTTGCTATACCTATAAACAGGCACATGCTGAAGAATAAACATATTGAGACCTGTTCGTGTCCTCTTCCCCTCCTGAGCAAATCCCAGCTGAGCAGGTCTAAACCAGAAAAATTAACCTAAGCTGCCAAGAAGCACTATGGTCTTCTCTTGTATTCCATGTGAAGCTGTCAAACAAAATGATATATTGGAAGCAGCAAGTAGAGGCATTTGTTAAGGCTAACAAATCTAGTTTACTTTTATACGTGACTGTACTTTATTGTGTAACGAGTGCTCATGATGCTAGTTCTAGACAGGTGTATATAACTCCCAAAACATTGAACTGCTTTTAAGAATTTAGCCTACTCTAACCCATTATAAACACACACGGGTTCTTCAGAGGCGGGACAAAATGAGCTGCATGTGATAGACAGCACGATCCATGAGAAGATGTTACAAATTATAGCATCCACACTGCACAATAAGTGGTTTGCTACAATTTAAACTCCATGCAACGGATTATTTTGGGTTTCTAGCTTTTTATTGATTACGTGGACTCGAATGTGGAAGATTTGAATGTATCATTCTATAATTCAACAGTATATGCAAACTACTTCAGGTGTCTTACAGCCCTTCCCAATGTACTAATGTACTACTGCTCATTGGTTGCATTTATCAAGTGCATTAATAAATAGTTATAGGGGAGAAGGTATGCAGTGCCCAAAGAAACATTACAGTCCATTCCCACTACCAAAGTTACACTGATCTGGATGCACTAGTTTTATTATTACAGCAGAAAGTAGTGCAGAGTTTACTGAAGAGTGGATTGAAGAATATGAAATAAAATAACACTAGTTGAGCATCGAAAACTTTGTGATAATGGAGAAGAGGTCCATCACCTAAGGACACTGGCAAAAAACTTGGAACTTATGGAGTGGGGTAGGGCTTTAGGAGTACACCTACAGAACGTGCCCAACAAAGTTCTTCAAGTGTCCAATCAGGTGTCCTGAAGGTAGCAGCCTATAACCAGAGTCTATGAATATTTAGCCTGCGTCCTGTACTGTACAAGATCTACAGTATGTCTACTGCACACAAAGAGTGTGTATCTAGAAGTAAAAAACATATACCATCAAATACTGCGCGGCTGTACTGAGTCGTTGATGCCAAGGGTTTACAAGTGCTGTCAAACTTGTTGCCATAATTTCCAATGCTGAGTTCAAATTGTATAGCTTCACCAATATCTTGTAACATGGAGGCGGAATGGAAGACAGCACACAAGCTAAACTTCCGCCGGCGCTGATATTTCTGGAAAGAACATAACAGATATTAGCTCACAGAAAAAAAAAAAAACTTAAATTTAAGTTAATACATTACAAACAAGAGGGATTTATTCTCATTCACAATGTTTCATACTGGTTTACCATCAACTTGACACGGTTTTGTTTTACTTGAACAAATTTGTTACCATAGGCAAACACAGCTGGATGCCTTCATATCAATAGAAAAAACATTTCCATTTACTTTCTGGTGGTCTCAACTCTTTATATGAATGGGAGTTTATTGGTTACATACAATTCACCTTGCCAATAGCAATTTCCACACTAGAAATAAAGTTCATTAACTTATGCAGCACTGCATGCACATTCCAGCTGTGTGTTTGATATGTATAATGCCATTCACAAACTAGTTGCAGATCATGAGTATGCGGAAAAAGGATAGAAATTATAGATGTGGAAGGATTGCTTTTTTCCATATATGTAGTTTCTACATGGCCTGTGCTGCTTTTCCACACACAATTCATTACAAGGTTGCAAGTGTGTTTTGCAGTTAAACCTGCTTTTTTACTGCCCCCTAACCACTCTCCCTTAGGCAGCAAAATAGCAGGTGGGGGGTGTGGTGTACTCATGCCACAGTCACGATGCTTTGCATTGCAGCCACAGCAAGAATTCTCCCCCATCCAGGGCAGCCATCAGAAATTTTGAGGCCCCTATTACAGTTTTATATCGGGGCCCCCTGGGCCTGACCACCAACATTTCCAGGGCTGTCCCACTGAATCCGACTGAGTCCTTCAGTGCACCCACTTATTTTATTTCAACATTCTTGCAAACTAATATATGAAAGTGAAATCTCTATTCCAAGTCATCAGTGCTTTTAAGATTTAATAGTAAAGAATTATATTTTAGCCATAAAATATGAAGCCTGCCACCTCAACAAGGCAGGCCCCTACACTAACACTAACTGCGCTACCTTTTCAAAGCCCAATCTAGCAAAGTGACAGCCCCATACAGTATCTCACAGAAGTACACCCCTCACATGTTTGTAAATATTTTATTATATCTTTTCATGTGACAACACTGAAGAAATAACACTTTGCTACAATGTAAAGTAGGGAGTGTACAGCTTCCGGATTTGCGTCTGCGTGTTTCGTCATTATGACTGTCAAACGTCATTTGACAAAGTCGTAGTGATGAAACTTGTCAATAAGTGACATCTGACGCAAAGCCGGAAGTTGCCAGTGGCCATTTTGGAAGATGTCTGGTCCTTTGGAATCTGTACCAATGCTGATGTACATACTACAAATTATTTATAAATTCTGACGAGAGAAGTCATAGTGATATTGGGAGAAGACGACCACAATTGCTTACAACCTGATCCCCTTGCAGTTTGGTAAGGTGTATGGACTGCATGATGGTGGAGCATATATGATTTCATGTGATTGGTGATCAGTGGATTGGTAACCAGGGAGCACTGTGTGGCATGTTTTAAAGTTATATATAATACCACGCTATATACAATTTAATCTCTTGGGAGGGAAAGGTTGTTCATGAGGAAGGAAGTTGGAGGAAGCATTCACGTTTTTGGAAATTCATTTTGAGAGAGCTGTCTACACCTAGAGGGTAAAAGCAGGAATTAGGGACACAAGATGTGGAGTGATGCTTGGTGGAGTTTTTGTTGGGTTTGAGCACTTTAATGTGAGTGGTTTATAGTTTTAATTTTCACTGTGTAACAAAGATAATGCACTGTGTGTGGTTTATATATTCTCTGAGAATCAAAAGGAGGAAGAGCAGTTCACCATTTTCAAGATTTATAAAATCGAGAATACACAAGTTCTGGAGAAGAAGTCACGTGGGGGTTTTCCATTAAGGATTCCTGGGGGGGGGGGAGGGTGTACTTCTTGGCGACCAGGGGTTGTGCACAATATTTTAGAGGGTCAATTGAAAAGTTGGTTCATTTTGCACAGTGTACTCACTTTTGTTGCCAACGGTTTAGACATTAATGGCTGTGTGTTGAGTTATTTTGAGCGGACAGCAAATTTACACTGTTATACAAGATGTACAATCACTACTTTACATTATTACTACGAGTTTATTATTATTATTACTACGAGTTTATATAGCGCCAAAGGGTTTGCTCAGCGCTGTACAATAGGGGGGACAATACATGGCACAGTACAACAACAAACAACGTACGAGGGGTAAGAGGGCCCTACTCTTACGAGCTTACAATCTAGGAGGGAGGGGGTAAAGCTACAGTAGGAAGTGGCTGAGGGGGATGAAGTGGTGGGAGGAATGAGGGAGGATGGCAGTTAGGTGAGGGTGCCAAGGCTTCCCTGAAGAGATGGGTTTTGAGGGAGCGCCTGAATGTGAATAGGGAAGGCGACAGTCTGATGGATTGGGGCAGTGAGTTCCAGAGGATGGGGGAGGACCTGGAGAAGTCCTGCAGTCGTGCATGGGAGGAGGAGACCAGGGAGCAGGATAGAAGGAGGTCATGTGAGGAGCGAAGGGTACGGGTAGGGTGGTACTTGGTGATCAGGTTGGTGAGGTAGTCAGGGGCAGTGTTGTGAACGGCTTTGTAGGTCAGGGTTAGGAGTTTAAATTTGATGCGTTGGGCAATCGGGAGCCAGTGGAGGGAGAGGCAGAGGGGGGTGGCAGCAAAGTGTCATTTTGCAGCAAAGTGTCATTTCTTCAGTGTTGTCACATGAAAAGATATAATAAAATATTTACAAAAATGTGAGGGGTGTACGGACTTTTGTGAGATACTGTATATTCATCAAAGAGATGGCCCAATCCAGCAAAGAGGCATAGTTATATATTAAGCAAAGAGACATCCACATATATTCAAAGACATCCCAAACCAGCAAAGATATCTCCATATATTCCGCACAGAGACATCCCCCCCATATTCCGCACAGAGACATCCCCCCACCCAGCAAAGAGACATCCCCCCCCCAGCAAAGAGACATCCCCCCCACCCAGCAAAGAGACATCCCCAGCACACCTCCAAGCCCCACTCAGCCCTCACAGCTGTTCCCACTTCAGCAGTACCTTCCTCTCTGCCGAGGATCATTCCTCTGAAGCCCCCTGATCTCCTGCACTAGGTCAGAGCTCCAAGGGTCCCCCTCACCAGAGTCCAAGTTTCATTCTCAACAGCAGGACGGAAGGAGGAAGTCAGGAGGCAGAGCACTAGCATGCAGTGGAGCAGAAAGGAGGAAGCTGCATCCTTCTTTTCTGTCAGGTCCTCTGAAAATGTGATGCCTGGTGGTCCTAGCAACCAATAATTTTGACAGTGGCAGCCAACGGGAGGTTGAGACTCAGGAAGCAGTGGAGCCAGTGGCACCAACAGGAGTTGAGATTAGTTGTTTACCAGTGTAAAAAAACAAAGGAGAGGTGCCAACTTGGTGCCCAGGCCCCCCTACATCTGTATGGGCTGCAAAATGATTGTAACTATCCCCCCCACAATGGTGCAGCTAAAACTGCCCCCAACACAACTGAATGGAAAACTGCACTGCAACTGCAATCAAGTGCATTTTTGAAAATGTATAAGTTTGCAGGGAGATTGTGACATAATGCCTCCTAACCACTGTCACACACCCTCTACAAAGAGAAATCCACTGATCTCCTAATGCTAGCTTGGTAAACAGAGCCACATATGTGGAGTTGGTCCCACAATAATTACTTAACAAACAAATGTAAAGGTGATGGAGAACCAGGTGATTTTCATAAAAGTGTTTTATGGGTTACCTTTTTAAACCAGGTGAGAACATTTTTTTTTACAAATTACATTTATTTTAAAACTGGGAGAAGAAATTTGTAGGCTGCCATTGCTGATCACCTTTGAAAATGCTAGTTGCAGGCATTGTGGACATTTCCATCCTCGAACTTGCACTACTTTGTTCCCACAAACACATTAGAGATTAAAACACTAAGACTGATGATCATTGCTGGGAGGAGGGAGCACGGTAAGCTGAGCTGCTGAGAGAAATGGTTCAACAATTTCACTGCTTCAGCTGTGAGGGTGTGTTTTTTATGCTCATGTAATTTTACATGTTAAGAATAGGTTAATATGGGAACGTTGATAACTTAGGCTTAGGTTCATTTTTTAGCTACTGAGCCAGAACAACAGCTACACAACCAGCACTTTCATAAGGTAAGGTCAGCAATACAGCTTAAGTAAATGTTTCCTTTCATAGAGAATAGTGATCCACACAAGAAAAGGTCAACAGAGTAAGATGCTACCTAATACTTGTGTATCTGAAATGATTGATTGAAAGTCCAATTCTTTGGCAAGCGGATTTACTGTACTTTGACAAAGGATAGACATATAAAGCTTTTCCAAATATAAAAAAAAAAAAAATACACTGTATAGATCCAGTAAAAAGGTGGAATACTGCCTTGGTCTGCAAAATGATTGTAACTGTATCTTTGCAATGAATATTGCAGCTAAACTGTTTCCCATCCATACCATTGCAATTCAGAAAAAGGAAAACAAACAATGCCAGTAATATGAAAATGTATAAGTTTACTGTATCCACTTGACTAAGGCAGTGTCTAGACTTACCTCTACAACAAGAATATCATCACTGGGGATGTCCTCCATCTTTTTACCCGGAGTGCCATCAAGCTTGGTTACCAGCTCTACAAGGAGTCTTCCTCGGTAGGCTACACCTTCTCCCTACACAATTAAAAAACATCATATATAGCAAAAAGAATCTCAGAGTAAAACTAAAAATATATCTAGGAGTATTTCTTGCATTTTTTATAGTTTGGGATAGGGAAAGTACTCTTGTTAGGTTTTTACTGCTGTCAATGTTCCTTGACTGAGGAAATTCACAGTTTACGAAGAGGGTGGACACCGAGGCGGATGAGGAAACCAGAATTTTAGAGTTGTCACTGGAGCAGGACATGAGTCACCAGCTCTGGTGAAAACTATCCAAGAGGACATTTATCCTAATTTAGGAAATCTGTCCATTCATTTCCCATTGCATCTCAGGGACAGAAAGTAAAGGAAATCTCCTCAATAAAAACACACACGCACGCAAAAAAAGCAAAAACCACACAACCCTTCCCTATTATGTTAAGAAAAATAAAATTGGGTCTACATGCACTTTTATATACTGGGCCTGACTGATAGAAGCTGGAGAAAATATACTCATCAGGTAGCTTTTACCTTTCATTCTCTGGAAAAATTAAACAACTTTTAATCCAATTTCAAGGGTTTCACAATTTGGTCCTCAGAAACTAATGCACTTTTCAATTACAGAATTACAAATGGAATCATTTGAATGGCTGTTTTAGAATAAGAGGACACTTCTTGAAAGCTTTCCTACCTGGAAGTTTGGAATACATAATCTACACTCTTATACTGGCCATAAAGTAATATTTTTTCTGGACAGCCTACATGCTAGAAAAAAAAAAAAAAAAAAAAAAACACTATCACATTCCTCCATTCTTGCTACACCCTGCATCTCCAACTGTGGCCTTTGTATGATAAAAATTAGCACCAGAGGCTGTCAAATTCCTGAAGAGCAGCTGCATCTGATTGGATGCAGCCACTGTGCAGTTGACAGGTTTCAGGCCAACTTTGATTTTTTTCACAGTTTGTTGGGCAGGAGGAAGTTTACAGGGCCAACCCAAGGTGCAAAGTTTTTTTTTTCTGATGGTTATTTACAAGAAAACAACATTTTTCAAAGTACCTTTCCAAAGTTCAGATCGTCAAAAGGGTCAGGGAACCCAGTGAATTCTCTTGGACTTCCATAGAGGTTCAAATAACAAGGGCCAAAGGTGGGTAAAAACCCAATCTCCTTTTCATTCACCCCTGATTGAATTAAACAAAATTATTATCAAATAGACACCAATGGAAATCTATAGCACAGGTTGCTCGTATATGATGTTTACAGAGAGAATACTATAGCACATCTGAAAAGAGGTTTCCAACTTCCTGCAGCTGTCAATTTTCTAATGTATTTCTCAATTCCACAGCTTGAGCTTATCCAGAAAACGTTTAACCCTTTCATGACCAGATGGCACATTTAGCAGTGTCAGTATGCATTGGTTAACTTGACATTAAATAACTATAACCAATTTGTCTACTGAATTAATTTTTCCTTTTTCTAAAGACACATATGGCTTTCATTTGGTACAATGATTGGTAAATGCCCCTTTCAGACTTTTTATAGGCTGACAAAAAAAAGAAAAAAAGTTTTAAATTTCAAAAATGTTTTTTGTTTTCGTAAACACTGTACTGTCTTCAAAAAAAAAAATTTTTTTCTTTCTGTGCAGAGTGAACAGAGAAATACACTGGCAAGTGTCACCCTCAGCTGTTCACCTAGCTGGCATGCAATCATAATGAGAAACCACATAGATTGGTTCTCGACAGTGCAGTCTTGCAGCTAGAAGCTCATAGAGCTAGCATTGTATCAGGATTCTCTTAGTACAGGTCATCATACTGAGGAACGTTAATCTACAAAACTGCAGGCAGGAAGAGGTTAAAGAAAATTTTTTTCAGGGAAAAACTTCAAATTTTTAAAAGGATAATTTTTTTGCACATGGATACAAGAATATCATATAAGAGCAACCTGTATTTTATGAAAAGTCTATTTTATTCTGTATCCTTTTTGTGCAATATGTTAAAATTTTTTCTGCAATAAAAATAGTTACAGAATAAAATTGTCAAATCTATTTTTCAGAAACTGCAAATTAGTATTTTTAATATTTGGCTTTTTTTCTTCAAGCGATATGTATGTTATTCTCAAGTGCAATCAAGTTAAATCTCATATTTAATAACACTGGGATTTGTCTGTGCCTGTGAGGAGTTCCTGATAACTTTACATTAAAACATGGAATACGTTGCACATGGGAATTAATTGGTTCGCAATAATCAGTGGAGATATCAGGGCAAAAACGTAGATTTCAGACTTATATTCTGTTTTTTCATGATTGGTTTAATAATGATTTTGATCATGAGACAATTCATGATTTTACAGTAGCTTATTAGATGATTATATGAATATAAATATGATAATTATGACGTGATATTATGGATTCAGAGTGATTCAACATACTTTAACATTTTGCAGATGTCCGGCTTCTAACATGAAATGTTCTGCTGCCTCTGAGTTCTACCACCTTGCCTCTAGTTTTTACTGCATTTCTAAATCTAGTCATGTATTTTTAGATTTTTCTCAATCTGTCCAATGGGCTGAATGAGAGAAATTAATTAAATTCCCCCATCCACACTGAACAGAGCAGGTGGACAAATCTCCCTGCCGAATTTCTCCCACGGCTTGAATTGTGGCCAATTCATAGTAAACTTGCCAAAATTTGAGCTGTGTATGGCCAGGTTAATTCTTTGTTTTACAAGTACAAGGAAACAATGCGGGTAGTGTTTAAAAACTAGAGTGCCCCCCCCCACCCCATAGCAGGCCATAAGATTGCAACTATCAAATTTCCAATTCAAATTACAAAATTTAAAAAGGTAGACTAATTGGCTGCTATAGGCAAATATTCTTATCTAGGCTTTGTACAAGAGCCCAGGGTTTATTGCCGATTGCTTATGATTCCAGTCAAGTCTGAAATGCATACACTGGATGATACAGATCATACAGTCCATTAAATTTAGCAAGCTTAGGGCCAGTTTACATTAGAGTGCTGTCGAATCATACAGGAAAACCTATGTTTACACCGCACAATACCGCAGTGCACAGAAATGCATAAAAGTACAGGTACTTTGTAGTATCATCCATTTTGAAAGGTACCTAAACACTGCACTGCATGCATGCATGCTGTGGTGCACTGTGTTAAAAGAAAATGATGCAAGTCTTATTTTTAATGCACTGCAAAGTTTTGGCAGCTTGCTCAAAATGCCTGGGCTGCTCAGTGCCATACTTTGGGTTTCATAGATATTTCTTGAGAAGAATCAAACAAAAAAAAAAATGTAAAGGAAATCTGCTAGAAAAAAAAAAATGGCGCTGCCATTGCCGACTTCTTCTGAATAGATGTCATTTGTCTAGCCTCAATACTTTCATAGGCACTGGCACAAAAACATTTTGCTTTTAAAGGTCAGAGAAAATTAGAACGTCTGATCAGCCTACATAATGAATAAAAAAGAATTCATGTTTTCAGATGACATACCAAATAAAACAGGATTTTTGCACTCGCTGGAAAATCTTTTTCTAGGAGTAAATTGATCAACACAGGAAGTCCTGAACCTTTAGAATATACTGCTGCTTGCAGGAAGAGCAGACACTGGCAAACAAACAAAAACTGTATGCTAGCCCAGGATACCCCATTCTAATACCAGAACACCTACATTTTGTAGAAAAATAGTACCAGAGCATGATCATAAACACAGAGGTTTTAAACCTATGTTCCTTAGGAGACTCCAAGAAAAGCAGGGACATACCAGCACACATCCTTGATGTCCACAGATGTTCGAAAGTCTCCCTCGTGAAGTGAGGCAGGGACAGACCTGGTGGATACCATACAGAATTTCTGCGATTGAATTGAGATATTCAGTGATTTGAGATACAAGCTGGGACCCCCTTTGGGCTAGAAAACGGTTAAAAGATTTGAATGAAACCCCTGAATTTGTCCTGCCAGAGGAACATGGGCAATGATACGCTGGTCCATAGGACAGGAAAGGGTCCCTTGCTGATCTCTGCAGTGATAAAGGAAAGTTGGAGGTAAGAAATCTAGAGAGGGTCCAGGGAGTGAATTTGGAAACCACCTCCTGCACCCGAGATGCAAGCTGCCCAAGCGCCCACTTTCCAGTGTTTACTGTGGGGGGTGCACCTTCATGTAGAGGACAGTTTGCCTGAGAATTTGGCAGACTTTGAGCCTCTGCCTTCCCAGTCTGTATCATGGACTTCCTCCACTGAGGAAGATTACATAGAACACATGATGTATACATAGAGTGACAGCATAAAAAAAAAAAAAAAAAAACAACGAACAAGTGATGTATAAGAAGTCTACACCAAGCATCAACGATTTGGTAAAATAATATTTCTAATATTAGTTTTGAACTTTCCTTCTGCTAGTTTGAAGTCATGTCTTCTTGATCTTAGCTTCATATTGAAAATACTGCCCTCCTACTTAACTAGTTGAATATTTTTACTGCATCCTAAACAACAGTATTCAGAGTGGATCCAAAGGGCATGTAGATCTGATGCCTCTTGGACATGGGTTTTAAATTTCAACACTTTTTAGTGTCCTCCATGTGTGTAATGACAGGTCCATGCAGAGACAAAAACAGAAAACCTCCAGCAGCCCATTACAGTTGTAGCTTAAAGCTACAACCATTTTCTCTGCACCTGACAAAGCAATCAACTGCAGTAGTATCCAGCTCCCTTTTAAGGGACTTTACCCAATCAGGCAGAGTTTGGCAAAGCAAATCAACAGCTAAGACAGGTGAAGAGCAGGGCCTGTCACAAAGAAAGATCTATGGAAGACTTCCAATCCTTTATCACTTGGATTCATAAAAGAATGGCAGTTGCCTTGTTAAAGGAGACAATGACACATAAACAGTGGGAGGCAGACCACGTTTTAGCAAATTTCTTTTTAAACATATACAATGTTAATAAGCACTTGTCAGGGTGTTTC